TATCCTCTCCACACACCACCACCACCACCACTACTACCACTATTCTCTTTACATACCACCAACATTGAGAGAGAGAGAGAGAGAGAGAGAGAGAGAGAGAGAGAGTTTCGTCACACCCCACACTACTCCTAGTCACGTTCTATCCTTTGACACTGTCCACACTGCCTGACTGTATCCTCTTGCCTACATCCTCATCCTTCTCTGTCTATCTCCATCCTTCTCTAACTTCATCCTTCTCTATCCTCATCCTTCTGTATTCTCATCCTTCTCTATCCTCATCCTTCTGTATTCTCATCCTTCTCTCTCCTCATCCTTCTGTATCTTCATCATCCTTCTGCCTATCCTCATCCTTCTCTATCCTCATCATCCTTCTGCCTATCCTCATCCTTCTCTATCCTCATCATCCTTCTCTATCCTCCATCCTAATCTTTCTTTCTCAGTCAATATAGATCACATGAAGTTCAGCACCCCCAACTTATTTCACCTGAAGATTAACCACCCCAGCGCTAACCCATCACTGATCTAAACTAACGCTAATCTAACCTAATGCTAATCTAACCTAGCGCTAACCTAACTTAATACTAACCTAACGTTAACCCTATCCGACGCTAACCTAATCTAACCTAACCTAATCCGACGCTAACCTAAACTAATTTAACCCAACGAGATGTTAATCTAACCTAATTTAATCCAACCTGATGCTAACCTAACCAAACCACACGTAAGTATTTAATTCTAAGCAATGTGGATATAACCTTAGCTGAAAACAAATATTTATCGGGTTGACATATATATCAAAGCTTGCAGAAATATTAATGGAAAGACAATATAGAGATCACTTTTATTATAGATACATTCACTTAATGCCTGACACACTTAAGCGTCATTCTGAACGACAAATCTTTAACATAAAATCTCCATTTAGAGTGAAATTGTGACTCTGTGTTTGGTCAGTTTTACATCTATAGTTTTAAAGTTATTTATTTAAATTCTATTCCATCTTTAATTCCTACTACTTTTCTAAAAACATTTCACGTCAGTATCGACTGCGACATTTTAAAGAGATTGCATGTTAATGTTTATTTACACAGATGTACCAGCCGGGAGAGACAGGTGTTAGTGCTGCCGCTCACAACACCTGTGACAGCTCTGCAGTCTGCATGTTGGCCAATGTCACACAAATACTACGACCGGGACCGCTAAGTTATTTCTGTTTGTAAAGATAACAGAACTGACTACAAGCTAGCCCTAACCAACATAAAAATCTCAGAGTAAATTTAACTCGTGTAAGATATATTTAGATGACTCGTGTCTCCCGAGAAAGATACGATGGTTTTACGCTCTTGTTCGTAGTATTCTTTCAACATGATCATGTCGGTTGATATCACCCCCCAAATCCCTCCTTATCTCTCCTGTCAGGTACAGTAAGCTCTGAACTTCCGAGACAGATACAGCTAAAATGCCGCTTGAATTAATTTAAAATTAAACACATAAAACTATCATACCGAAACTCTATCTTAATTTGGTATGTTCCGTTTGTATAACATCTTAACTGATGCTACGTGAACTTACCTTAGGTCGTGTAACGGATATCATAGATTAGGAACCTCCGTTTATTTTACCCAAAGCTAAATTGGGGTTAGGATTGTTAGATCATATTTGGTGAGTTCCGGTGCACATTTAAACTCCGATTACATAAAAAGAAATATTCATCACACGAACTTGTACCCGACACATAAATCCTGTCCTGGTACTCCTGCCAAACCTATATTAATAACGGTTTCTCCACTATTTACTTTACCTTTTTCTAATTACTACACGAAGACCCTTCGGTGAAACGATCACATTTAGTCCTCTACCAGTCCATTTTGCTTTTAATATATACCCGAGAAACTTATTATATTACGGTTAACTTTCAATTAATAACAAGGTCACCATACTGTTGTTTATTTGTATTTCTGTGTTAATTAACAACTAAAGGTCTTTAAACATGTACTGCTCACTTAGCGTTTACCCTGTCTGTCTGTCTGTCTGTCTGTTTTTTACGAAATGTGGTGTAGTAGGTAATAGGCAGCTACCAAACAGGGAGGTACTACCGCCTGGGAAGATATTGGAAGCATAATGTGTTGTCTAATGGTAGACCCTGCTGCCATATGGCATCACAAAAATTGTGACCAAGTCCCAGGTTGCTGATCTGACTTTCTGCCTCAGACGAGGTCAAGTGCAATCAACGGTGGAGAGTAGGGTTGCCATATCTGAACATTCAAAAAAGAGGACGCTCCCGAAGACATCCCCCCCCCGCCCGGCACACACAGGCTAATATACAACATACATGGTATAGAAATCTTAAAAAAAAATACCTTTGCTTAAGGCTGAACATCTTCATTCCCTTAGCTGCAGTCTTCTTCCCCCACTGTGTGTGTGACTTGATGTGCCCATGCATACTTTTCTGTAGATCGGATCTTTTTCAGTATTGGCTGATTGCTCTTTAGAAAGGTATAGAAGTCACTGCAAGGTGTTTCTCGGAAGTTGTACTGTACAGTCAGAATGCCTTTCATTGTTTCAACACTCAATTTGTTCCTTTCCTTTGTCCATTGACTTTGCATCAGTGAAAAAACTCTTTCTACATTTGCATTGTGAGATGATATAGCAAAGAAGAATTGTGCAATTCTTAGCAATTCTGAGTGGCATTCAATGTTCTTTGATTTTTCAAAGTATCTGGTCCACTTTTTATGTGTTGGCAGATTACTAAATTCTTCATCACTCTTGTAATTCTCCACAAACTGCTTCAGGTTACTAACTTGGTCAAAACACTTCATTAACTTCTACCCCCCTTATCAATCAAATATTTGACAGCTAAGTTGACAACACCGTACAGGAGTACAAGTGACTTATCAGCTGACGAAAACTGAACGAGATCTCTACGGTTTCCACCTTCTCTCTCTCTCTCTCTCTCTCTCTCTCTCTCTCTCTCTCTCTCTCTCTCTCTCCCGTCATTACAGTTTCATGTTTTTTTTTCCGTGGAGAAAATGATGGATGCTGAAATTGCGGACTTTTGAAGAATTTTAAAAATTCCTTCCGGATGAAGATTTCGAGACCTAAATGGCGGACATGTCCGGGAAAATACGGACGTATGGCAACCCAAGTGGAGAGTCATTCAGACAAGGGGCAGCTATAAGGAGGGGCCATACTCCTAGATATAGTGAAGAATTATTATTGTACTGGGAGACAAAAAAGATACCTGTCCTCCACCCTCATTAGCAGGTGGGGACCATAACCTTACCTGTAAATCTCTTATAATTTTACACAATACTTCTCAACGTTATTTGCTGTTTAATCTTATATGAATTGAATTTAATGAAATTATATTACAGAAAGGACTTAAAAATCATTAAAAAAAATGAAACAAAAGGTTGAAAAAAAAAGTCTAAATATAATAGACTGCCTTAAAATAGTCGTTTTCTTTTATCCAAATTACGTGTACGTTTTCTACGGTTCTTTGAAATTGTTTACATACATATGAGAAAACAATACAATTTCACCGACTTTCCATAAAGGCGTGCAAACTTAATGCATAACTCAAACACTACAACACCAAGTACATCGCTTTTAATTAAGAAAATAAAGTATTACATCTCAAGGACTCGATCGTACTGACCCAGCGGAGAGTAAAATCAAAATGGCTTCAGTGAGTCGTAACCCTCATTAAGTTGCCTGACAGTTTCCGCATTACTTTGCTATGACACGAACCACACCTGACCCCAGACTCGGCCGAGGCCTCCTGGTCTGTGTTGAGGCCGCAGGTGTAGTTGAGGCATTATCGCCCGGCACTTTCTGCCTGAGGTCTGAGGAGTTTCCCCGGGTAGTAAGTCACCCCCGATAGCGGAACGCCCACCGAAAGCCTTCCTAATAACTGGTAAAATAGATATATAAATTAAGTGTTTTCTACTACACAGTTGGAGGTACTTTACATACTGCTCAGTATTTGCTTACAGTGTGTAACAGAGAAGTGACCGATCGCCCAAGAGGCCGAACAGTGGTGAAGAGTCAAGTTTCGACTATTTAGTTAAGCCGTTTAGGTAGATGAATTCTTATTAGATGAAAATAAATAAATTCTCAATTCTGTTTTTTATTTTTTTTAGATACTGATAGTTGTGATATGTCAGCAATGTTATATAGTTTTATTATGTTAATTTTCAGTTTTCAGTCTCATACTTTTACTGTTATCCTCTTCACCACTGATCGGCTCGTGAGTCTCTTGGGCGATCGGTCACGTCTCTGTCACACACTGTTGGCAAGTACTGGGCAGTCACCGGCTCCTGAACCTGCTCCAGTGTTGGTCAAGTCTGGTCTTGAGACAGCTCACACTCGGTGCCGTCACAACACTCTCTGGTAGATTGTTCCAACAGTTCACAACTCTCACTCAGTAAAAGTTTGCCCCTCACAGTTTTCTGGACTTGAGCTGTGACCCCTTGTGGGGCGAGCGTCTGCCAGCTCCATGAGACATAAAGGCAAGCATGAACCTAGCATGGTTCCCTGTTGGGCACTGTAAACGCTTCACCTTACACAGGCTGTAGGGGAGTGCCCAATAAAGAATAATAATAATAATAATAATAAAGGACACTTGCACTTCAAATATTCCCGCCTCTCCACACTCTATCATTCCAACATCTTTGTTTTGTCTTGAAATGAAGTTAATTACGTAGGGTTTTTTTTTAACTTTTCTATACAAAGTGAAAAAATGATTGAACATTAAAAATTCAATTGTTTTTATATGAATCAGATGTTTGGGTCAAGTCAGGTGATCAATGAGAGGATGAAACGCAACGAGAACAACACTAATAATATATATTCCAAAATCACCACAATTTGACAATTTAAGAAGTATTTATGAATTAAAAGAACTTATTTACCGTTTAATTATTTATTATTTGTTAGTAATAATAATAAAAATATATGGTTTAGATAGATCTTAATTAATTTAGAAATAGTTTGTACTCTCCAGCCATCAGATCCAAACAACACTTGAGGTGGTCACGGGTTGACAGGTTTAAGTCCTCTAGTTCACAATAACTTCCTCAAGATGAATATGAAAATTTGTGGCCCCAAGTGTTCCCTGTGTTGTACTCTGATCAGTGCATGGGGGATAGTGCAACTGGTAAGTGGAAACACGATATAGGGAGTGTATAGCTGTGGTGGAGTCAAATTTATATACTATACTGTATATATATTTACAATTGGTTTAGCTAGCAGGTATACAGGTCAGTATGCATATTTACAACGCATAAACTGTTTAAAAAATTATCATGACTGGATATTAGTGAAATTGTGAAGTATAAGTGTGTGACCGCATCTACACCAAGCTTTATCCCCCTTGGTCTATATCCAGTGTTAGTACAGGACACCAACACCTCAATGTTAATACCTGTACATATATCTATTTCAATCTTTGTTCCATCACTTTCATATTAAATACACACATAACTCAACTACAACCTCAGTTCTCTTGTTAAATGTCGAAATATTTGTTTATATAGATGAATATTATTTGGTACTGTATGTAAATGTTATTAATAAATAATAGTAGACAACATATAGTAAGGCAGTGTACAGTATAATAGGGAACTGTGATAAAGGCTGGTAAGAGGAGACAAAAATGAGGTTAAACATTACGGTAATCTTATGTGTTGTGGAACTAAATTTTTTTTGTGTTTTCAGGGAATCATGGGGATCCTATTCTGGGTCAGATCACCGGCCTTTATTGAAGACTTGAAGATAGATGACTCGATTATGCATCCTGCGGAAGTCGACATCCATGGGAATGCTAAAAGGTATCTGGAGGCGATGGATGACTCATTTCATACGGTAAGCGTTAGTTTGTGTTTGTAAAGTATGTGTGTGTTGAGTTGGCTACTCCTCAAATGATTTTTTTCTGAACTTAACTTTAGAAACAAAAATATATTACCATTGGATAAGAATTGTAGTCATATCGTTCAAAGCTCAATATGTACGGTATATGCTAACACTTGTTCCTCTTTTCTGTGGTCTAAACATTGGATATTGTAATGGTGAGTTTTTTCAGGGTTTTTATTTGAAACTTTATGCATGTATTTTAATTGGTATTTTGGTTTTTAATATGAAGAGCTTTTAATGTTGTTAGTACAAAGATTTAAGTACTGTATTGTACCTGTTGTGTATTGTTTGGTACCCCCTAATGTATAAAATATGGTACAGGTACTCCTTATGTATAGTAGGATGCACCTTCTGTATAATATGGTAGGCCTTATTTATAACATGGTACCACTTTGGCAGTCAAGTGGATACAACACATTAACTAATAGGTCAATTAACACACTTCATTTTTCTTGTGTTTACAGATCGCCTTGAACTGTTGGATAGCGGCTCTTCTGTACATAGTGACGCTGTTCCTGTCGGGGTGGCAGTTGTGGGTAAATAATAGAATTAGTGCCTAAGAATTGGCAATTGCTCAAGATCAGCCACTACTACAATGGATAAATTAGTCTTACTTGTCTCATATTTGAAGAGTAAAGTATATTAAATTTTTATTGTGATTGAGAGTATCCTTGAGCTCTGTTTTGGAGAATCATCGAGGTTTTGACAGTTATTTAGAAAAGATTAGTTGGATGTTTATTTTTTCAAAGTATTATTGAGATTTTATTTAGGAAATTTATGAGCTTTCTCTCTGAGGACTTAAGACCAGAGTAGTCACTTGTATGTCTGTATATTAGAGTTTATTATTACTCTTGTTATGATGAGGGTCATTTATGTAAATACATTTGATAGTTGTGAGGGAAATGAATATTGTTTAATGAGACCTTGAGCCTAAACTTTTGATTGAAGTGTTATATTATTTACGTTCGGTATTTCAAACAGCTTACTATGTAAAACTCCACATTGTGATGAAGATTAACCTTTATTGTCTATTTATATTTAATTCAGATTTTTTGTTCACATTAATTACATATTTCAATTATGTCTAATGTGATAAAAAAACAAAAACAATTGGGGTGAGCCATTGGAAGGAAAAACCTAAACCTTGTTGCCTGTATTTGTTTGTCATGCGGGCAGAACCAAGTTACGTATTTAAGTATTTTATTAGGGAAGCTACACTTGGTGACCATTCAGACTGTCATGTAAGAGCTCAACTTATCTACTAAAAGAGAAACTTTCATTTTTCATTTATTCTAAGTTTTGTTTTGGTGAGGAGAAGTTTGTGTCAGATGTCCTGAGTGTCACCACCAGTTTTGTTGGGAAGAAAGATGAAGTGCCTTATGAGAAGAGAAACCTTTTAATTAACAAGCATTCCAAGATCACTGCATGTAGGGATACATTATTGTGAGGCACAAATTGATAGAAAACCCTTAGCTGTAGAGAAACTTTTTTATTTATAATAAGATAAGTGTCCCACCATTGCAACTGGAAGGGGCTTACAGGAATGAAAAAATTAGGATGAATTAAACAAGTCGTCGTCTCGGTAAAATTGTCCCGAGCGACTTATATGTAAGGGTCTAGTTACTAATGGTAAATTATAGTTAAGATTATTAATATAGTTTTATGTATCCTATACTCTATGGCGAGAATTAGACCAATTTAGCCATTGCAGCATTATGTTCAGGGTAAGTATACACAATGTCAACACTCCTATATGATCTAAAAAAAACTGCTACTTTACTATCAAATATATGAGTCTTTACAGAATACTAACCTCTTCCCTTTCATTCTTTACCCAGATTTGTTTTTGTAGAGCCTATTGCACATATGTCCCATACTGGTGACATTATTATGAACTGTCTTGTTTCAGCACAATATTGAATAAGATTTTATTTCTTTACATCTTAAATGTTTTAAATAAGACAAACCTTAAAGTCACTTAATATACTTTCCCTTAATGCAAGAATGGTTGTAGAGTGAATAGTCCAACATTTGAATCCTGTACAAGCTATCACAGGGATCACCACAGTACAGACACTCCCCGGGTCACAGATAGGGTCCATAAACCAGGGTGTCTCTGATAAGCTTTATAACTCATAAAGTTTGTGAATTTTTGTCTTGAGTACAGTACATATTGGTGACATACATTACTTGGTTGTTACTCAGGTGACATGTTATTTACTCTGGTTGTGTAATTTGTTGTACCATCTTACTTATCTAAACAAATGTGCCTTTGTATGGTGATCCCTGCACTGATGTGTTGTACTGTACATATATGTAGGATTAATCAGTCTTGTACAGATGTATATTAATGTACATTCCAGAGGAGAATTGGTGTTCTGGTTTTACTGAATAAATTATATACTTATGTGTGTTATTAATTTGTTGACCTACAAACAAACGTATAAAAACACATCAAAGGTTACATGGAGTACAGACCGTGAGTGGTCCGGTACGCTCAGGTACCGTATTCATTGGCCCAACTGATATACCTTTATTTTTAATATCTGGAAATCAGAGTGATATATTAATGCAAGAATGCATAAATTAATAAAAAAAAAAAAATTTTATTATATCTTCCTTAGAAAATTAAAATACTGTAATTTGTATTAAGTTTTTCAAAGAATTTACAACCTACAGTAATGTTCAAGATAAGCAATGTGATATATATATATATATATATATATATATATATATATATACAGGGTGTCCCATACATAGGAAAAATTAATTTAATATGAAAATCCATTTTTATTTATATAATATGCTCTACATGACTACCATTCTGTTGAAAACACTCTTCAATGCGTGTCCTCCACTGCCGAAGAACACGTTCAAGCACAGCAGGAGTTATGCTTGTAATGGCGTTGGTGATACGTTGTATGGAAACTTATGGGACACCCTGTATATATATACGCAGTACTATGATCTTCATAGACTTTGCACTGTATGAGATAAACATGTTCAGATGAAAGAGGGTACAGATACCTTGTACTGTAGTAGCCTCATTGGGATAAAGAGGATTCAAAGTTAATGAAGCCCATGAGGTCTGTTAAATACAAACAAATCCCCCCCCCCCACAAAAAAAATAAAAACAAATAAATAAAAAATCAGGGTTATCAGTTTTTTAACAGACATTTTCCTTGCTTGTTTGAGTTAGCCATGATTACCTGATGGCATGGTACCCTGGTTCCCATCAGGCAAATTCAAAACAAGTTTTATATCTGGATGCCCTTTCACCAACCCACTTTTAAATGTGGAAACTGGGCATTATATACAGTATAGGACTTAAAACTATATCACACAGGCCTCATATGTCTGAGCATATTGTTCTGACAAGTTTTGTTATGCTATGCTTTCCTTGAGCAAGACAGGATACTACATGATTTGAAGCAGAGGTCCAGTCCTGGAGTCAACAGTGTGAAGTAGCCAGACAACCATAAGGTCCTGGGGACTCACTTTCAATACAAGTCTCCCAAGGATAACTTATTTATTCTGAGGTTCATAGAAAATGCTTAGCAGTCTTCAAAAAGCCATTAATGAATGGTAGATAAAGGACAATGTCCATTAGCACAAACTAACTTGGCCCTTGGGGTCAGCTGTGCTAATAAATTGTGGTAAAAAGTTTTTCTGATTGACAGACAAGATACACATACACACTGTTCTAAAAATGTATAACTATCAAAGGTAAAAATAAGATGATGTAACAAACTCCATTTGGTAATAAAACTTAGCTATGTTTATTACATATTTTCCTAAAATCAATCAATCAAGCAATGTCTTTTGTATAAAATACAAAAATATATTTCATTAACCTTTATTTCTTCTTGATCACTGAATGATAAGAGAAATTTTCATTTAATATTCTTAAGGCAGCAATATGTTTTGGACACAAGAATTCACTCACACACTCCTACTTCAAGTCACAACACATCATCACTAACTATGCAGATCACTTACGTTACTTGGTCCAAGAAAACATGTTTGAGGATTTATTTAAATTTTAATGTGACGTTTCCTGAAGTATTCCGGTGCAGTTTCAAACAGCCACTGAGCATCTACTGCAGAGTTGATGTGCATGTACGTTTTACCTGTGTGGACGAGTTCAGTGAAAAGGACATAGGCGGGCTTCCCACCAAACAAGACAGATGCTGGGTGAAGTGCTGCCTCTTGCCTTGAGTCTAAAGTTAGATATTTACCACCCAATTGTAATTCTGCAACATTAGTGAAGAGGCCGGCAATTATGCACCTGTTGACAAAAAATAAGACTGACATGAAATACCATTTTATGGCCAAGGGAACTGGTGAGTGACATCGTGACATAATCATTAAGTTCAGGATGATTTAGCAATCACTTATACTCTTTTCCATCACAGACACTCACTCTGCCAAGGCCAAAATTGATAAACACAAGTTATGATCAGTCACCCAGACTCATCCTAGATGCTTAAAGGCAAAAATTAAGTTTAATTTCATCATAATGCAAGGAAAACTATTCTACTTTTACAGTTGAAAGTTTTAAAGAATTCATTTAAGTACAGTTGGAGAGAGATGGGCATTGGCAACTTGGCTCCCTTATAATCAGCCCTGTAAGAAAGCTTATTATCACCACTTTCACCAGTGTATAATAGTTCACATCCATGTATATATATCAAACAACCACGGGGACATAACACATCCCTGTCAAACGTCCACATTTATTTCAAATGTTTCACTTTCATCATCATTTACTCTTACCGTTGTCCAGCTGTTCTCACAGAATGCTTTTACTACATTTAATAGCCTTCCTCCCACCCCTTACAGTACTAATGCCTCCCACAATGCTTTTCTGTTCACCCTATCATATGCCTTTTGCAAATCTACTATAAATCATTAAAACCATCTGTAAGTAATAAAAACCAAGAAAAATGGGAAAGATTAAAAAAATAATAAATAAATTGGTTTGGTTTCAACTGGCCAACCCTGGCTTAACATCTCACTCTGCAGGTTGACACTATACTGTATTAACAAGTACAGCAAATAACATTTTAATATAAGTTTAGTTTGGCAGCTTCAAATTTGAAGAAATATTTTGATACAATGGTGAATTACCTTCGAACAGAATCCAAGTTCTGTTGGCATGAGACAATTGATATGCCGCATCTCTGGCACACCTGAACTAACTGCTTCCGCACCTCAACGGTGTAACTCAAGTTGCGGTAGTTGAGGAAGTTTTCATGACACCACATCTGCAGGAACAAGGTTTCTATGTATCAGGTGGTGGCTTAAAATGTGTTAGTAACATGGTTAAATTATTCTAAAACTGTGGTTCCTCAACACAGTGCTGTACAGTATATGCCATTATCACACGCTGCTGAATTCAACAAAAGATTGAGTCAGCATCATCTCGTGCTTCCAAGATGTTATATAAACCAGACAGAACAACTTTTATAAACACATGAAGATTAGCCCTCCAGCTTATTCATCTGAAGATTAAAACGCCTTATGTTAATCTAACCAAGCCTAATGTAACATAGCCTTATCTCCTCATTTAGCATTAGCGTGTTTAATCATGAGGTCAAATATGATAATATAGGAAGGTTAAATTTCTGGTGTCCCATCTCTTCACCTTATTCTCTTTGGAAGCTTTGAAGGCTCGGTAGATCTTAAGCATGGTGATGTGGTCTCCTTCTACAGAGGAAAACTTGCGTCTAGCATTTACGGCAGCTTCCTTCTTCCCGCTGGGGTTTGTGTATATAGATTCACTGGATAAAATAGCCACAATTGTCAGGACCTATAAAAGATGGTAAAATCATTCAAGGTTAAAGGATAAATCACATCATACTAGTAATAAACATACATAGAGACATTGTAGTGTACTGTAGCCCCAAGAGTTTTGCTAATACTGTACTGTATAACTGTTATTTATGAGACAATATACAAACACTTCACTGAAAATATCTGAAACACTAATAGATCATACACAATGGATATACTGTACTAGCAATATTGTGGGGCTAATGGGGACTAACTTGTCTTCTATACATTACGTTCATCTCTACATACTAGCTCATTATTTCCATAATCCCAACTGCATTAAATCACAATCTGTCTCCTCAAAAGTGATGGAAGTTAGTTACCTCATCTGTACAGCCATAATCTGGTCCACTGAGAAGGATTTTAGCATAACGTGGGTCAAGGGGGAACTGTGCCATCTTCTTCCCTGTTTCTGTTAATTCAAGCATGTCAGACTTTACCACCTTAGCAGCGTCAAGTAACGTGAGTTGTTCCACTGCTTGCTGGACATACTCTGTACTTGGCTTATCTATAAAGTCAAAAGTCAATATATTCTTTATACCCATTGCTAGAAGCTGTAAGATCACACTGGACATATTTGACCGCAAAATTTCTGGCACCGGGTTAACAGCCATGGCATTAAATTCCTCTAAAGTGTACGCTCTATAACAAAAGCCTGACGTCTCTCTGCCAGCACGACCTGTTCTCTGCCACGCTTGAGCTTGAGATATCTTTTTCACCTTCAAGACATCAAACCCACTTCCAGGGAGATAATTACGTACTTTTGCTCGTCCCGAGTCAACAACGTAGCGCACTCCAGGGATTGTTATGGAAGTTTCTGCAATATTAGTGCTGATAATCACCTTTCTCTCCCCAGCAGCTGTTGCTCTAAAGACATCTAGTTGCTGATGTGCCGGTAAGGCTGCATACAGTGCATGAACTCTTATTTTGGGGAACTCCGCTAAGCTGTTGTCTTTAGCAATCAGGCGGATGTTATGTACCACAGCATCAATTTCTTCCTGGCCGGTTAAAAACACTAATATGTCATGCTGTGGAGGAGCTTCTTTATGTATCTGAATCACTGTACTCATGGCAGCCAGTACATAATCCTCCTGTTTTTCTCTGGCATAGAACATCTCTATCGGATGCTGCCGACCTTCTATGTACAACACAGGACACTTATTAAAATAGTTACTAAAATGATCAACGTCCATTGTGGCTGACATGATAATTACTCTCAAAGGATATTTCGCAAAAGCTTTCCGACTCTTCTGAGCATCTTTAATAATGCCAAACAAAACATCTGTGCTGACGGTCCGCTCGTGGGCCTCGTCCACTATAACCCAACTGTATTTACTGAGCAGAGGGTCGGAGATAGCTTCCCTCAGCAACATGCCATCTGTCATGTATTTAAGTTTTGTGCTCGGGGATACAGACTCCTCAAAACGAACTGAATATCCCACCAGTTCACCCAAGTTAGTGTCCATCTCCTCAGCCACCCTTTTGGCTATGGTAATGGCCGCCACTCTCCGAGGCTGAGTGACGCAGATGGCTCCCTTGCGATCCAACCGCTCCTCGTGTAAATACTGAGGGATCTGCGTCGTCTTCCCGCTTCCCGTTTCACCGATAACAATAACAACATCATTTTTCTTCAACTCTTTCAGTAACCTTGGCCGGGCAGGAAATATCGGCAGAGCGTGTCTTTGCTTAAGGATCTTCAACTGGTCGGAACTTTTAGTGTTTCTGTTGGCTCCATTACCCTGGACTTTTGGCTTGAAAGTTGCAGGACCTTTGGGAAACAAGAAATTACCAGCATGTTGTTTATTGTTGAAATGTCCATTGACACCTCTTATTGGACTCTGTTGTACTGGCAGGTGGGAGTTAAATACAAAGTTCACATCGGTTTTGGGCTTCTTGAGTGGTGGCTCCTGGAAGCCTGCCATTTTTCTGAAATAAAACAAAAACTGGATGATAAAACTCCACACTTCATGCTCATATTATTGAACAGTTGTGACAAAAGTCTTGTACTACTGCTAGCCACCGGCAGAGTTAGCACACCTATGTGGAGCTGGATAAAGGAGGTTTGGTAAGGTTAGGTATGTTTCTTTGGTTGGTTAGGTTAGGATTTATCAGTTTCTAGTAAATGTCGCCTCTTTTAAAATGCTTCCTATAATAATAAAAGCATCTGTGTAAAAAATGAGCAGTAAATTTGCATTTTCACCAATATGGCTCTCGAGTTGAGTAATGTGATTTTCCAATGGTTTAGACAATTTTAAGACACCTTTCTTCTATGACGCTTCCCTTGCAAATGAGGGAAGCGTCATAGAAGAAAAGTGTCTCAAAATTGTCTAAACCATTGGAAAAACACATTACTCAACTCGAGAGCCATATTGGTGAAAATGCATATTTGGTAAATTTTTCTTGTAGCACCGTTCACTTGTAGAAAGTTAAAATTATATTTTCCTAGTGTATTTGTGTGTGCTGAGACCGAACATGACCTTCCTTTTTGGCGGAAATTAGCCGGGTTTTTTTTAGCGATTTTTTTTCGTTTGACATTTTCCGAGAAAAAAAGTGCCTAAGAGACTAACAAATACACAATAAAACACTAGAAAAAAATAACTAAACCTAACCTAACCTGACCTAACTTAACTCTCACCATATGATGGAATCACCTATTTCTTACCTTATTGGCCTGGTTCTTGTTAGTCGTTGCATTCTGGGATTCTCACCCAATGCCACATATGTTGGTCTTTGCGATATTTACATTCAGTCTTGCTCTTAGTACACTTTACTGAGGCTGGAAGAACACCATGCGATCGACAAATGCTAGTTTCTACGTTTTTTTCCCCCAAAAACTCGCAATCAGCTCCATATACTTTAAGTGACATCCATCGCAGACTTCCATGGTCGGAACTGAAGTTGAATTTCAAAATATGAGACCCAAAATAAAACTCGATTTTGATTGAGCCAAATATACTCTGAATTAGCAAAAACGCTTTTGATTGGCCGCGTGATGTGTACGGGTACGCATGCGCGTCATGATTTATGAAGGAGACGAGAGAGATACGCAGTGTTGGGTGAGAGGCAGACGATAATGGTGGGAAATAATGGTAGAAAATATACATTTATTTGGAAAAGCTTTCTCCGTTATTATACATTTCCGCCGGTAATGTAATAGATAAAAATTATCTTATAATTAGACGTCTTATTCGAATATAATAATAGATTAGTGGTAGGAATGAACGGTGCTACAAGACAATAATACAGCATATTTACCAAATGAACACAATGGAATAGTAAAATTATTGTTTCGGTCATGTACCAATTTTCCGAAGGTCAGAATCGTTCAAACACACATAAGAAAACCATCGGAAAAAAATATAATTTCAACCTAACCTAAACTTAAATTCTCTGCATGACCCAAATGATAATACCAATCAAACTACTCCTATAGGTAGTGGTGTTCTCGGTGGGCAGCAACTTATGATTATTCTGGTTGTGAGAAACAATGGTGAAGTGTAATGGCATGAGGGCAGACTAAGGGTTCTCCTGTGGACCAACTCAAGTACGTGGCACTTCAGGGTCTCTTTAAGGGGTGATCACAAATGGCTTTAATACAGAGGCTAAAGTTAGTTATTCTCTATCATATCCTGAAACTAGGGCCACTACTGAGTTAAGTTTGTATGTCTACTCACCTCAGCACCTAAGTTCGGTTTTCTCAAGAGGATAATACATTATAACGGTCAGGTAACACATCCAGCCCTGAGGCCCGTCAACGTGTCTCTGTCTGGCAATGTTTATGTCCTGTACTGAGGGACCCGTTATATAAACCAACTTACATAGTTTTTTATAAGAAAGTATCGTAACTTTAATATTGCCTATCGCAGTATTATATCGTAAGAAATTATAATAGATATTTTCTTTTAGATTGGCCACCGAGGGGGCTAGTTTATTGAGCACCCCCTTACATCCTGTGCAAGGTGAAGCGCCCATCTGGGAAGTATGCTAAGTTCATGCTTGCCTTTATGGCTCATGCATTAAGGACGTAGAAGCCTGAAGAGGAAATTATAATATATAATCTGAAATTAAGAATGAGTATTTATGTAGAATTATAGATGTTGTTGTAAAGGACAGTTTTGTCTGCTACCCTTTTTACTTTTACTTTTATCCTCTTCGCCCAAGCTGTGGAATCAAGAACAGTACTTAGCTTCAAAATATCCTGGCCTCCTTCCCTCAGCATGGCCATATATATATTTATATATTTCACAAGGGAGAGCGAATCACCACACCATTGTTTACATATTAAGCGACCATCGCCGAGCTCAAGCAACATGAACAATCTTTAAGGAATACCACGAACAGAACCAAGTAAAAGTTTCTTTATGAGATATGAATAATATAACCAAACCTAAATCAAACGAAACTTTAAAAGATCTGTAGAAAATATAAATTTATGTTGTCTGTTTTCTAAAAATAAATTTATTAGCAATGACTAATAACATATATCAGTAATTTAATTTGTGGTTGTCTGCCAACATAGACTGTTTTGCGTCATGGCTGTGAGGGGACACCCAGCCCTGCGTCTTGTTCTTCGGCAAACTCTCCGGGGATATGGGGGTGACACCCAGAAGATCAGGCAGTTCTCTGGTGTTGGGACGTCCCTGGTGTACGAGGAGTATGGCGATCCCCAGAAAGTTGTTGTACAGAGAGAAACTAACATACCTGGACTAAAGGAGGATCAGGTGAGGCGTGTGAGGAAACTTTGAGCCTCTGACATTATAGTAGACGAGTGATGATTTTCATTGGTAATGATGGAGGAGGCGGTTGTCACCCGAAGGAGTTTATAGAATCAGTTCATTTTCTCCGGAGGCGTTGTATGGATTTTACCTTATTTACCTAATGTTCACCCACGAGAGGTGGCCATGCCAAGGGGATGCCAGTGGACTGTGCTGGATCATTCCATTGTTCTTGATAATTTTGACAGGGGCTATTTAGAAGCCCTGTACTGTTCTTAATTCCACAGCTTAGACTAGTAGACCAATCCTAAGGTCTACATCCGTGTACAAAAGTATTTCCTTATAACTTGGCGAGTTTATTTCCCCTCGTGTTGGAAGAGATTAAAAAACTTGTGGTGATCCCATTAAAATTGTCTCAGTGAATTAACTAAACTTATCTTTCAGGTATTGGTTCGAATGCTTGCAGCACCAGTCAATCCAGCTGACATAAACACAATCCAGGGCGTTTATGCTGTAAAGCCTCAACTCCCGAGTGTGCCAGGCAATGAAGGTGTCGGGGAGGTCTTAGAAGTTGGTAAAAATGTTGAGAGTGAACTGCAGCCTGGAGACCGGGTCATTCCCAGGGTCAATGCTCTGGGTACCTGGCAGACCCATGCTTTGGCTGCCTCCAGTGATGTGATTAAGGTAAAGTTGTACAGATGTGTGTGGAGGATTCAATTACTCCTTACTTTTTGATGACATACATAAAGTTCTGGATGAAATTTATGTGCATCTAAGCCATTATACTGTATATGATAATAAAGGCTACAGTTTTATTTAGTGTATACAGTAAACTCCATATCTTTGTTATCTTTTGAACCTTGTAACAGTGAGTTGGGTAAATGACATTTAAAAATTCAAGTTACAAAGTTGATGTATCATTCCAGATTCCTTCAGGTGTTGATTTGGTGACAGCAGCTACCATCGCTGTCAACCCTAGCACAGCGTATAGAATGTTGAAAGACTTTGTTCCTGTCAAGAGAGGTGATACTGTTATCCAGAATGGTGCTAACTCTGCTGTTGGTCAGGCAGTGATACAGGTAAAGTATTAATACCATATAATACGTCTACAAATGTATTTCTTGTCATACAACTACAATAGAACCTTCTCAAAACATATACTTCAGAATTGTATGAAAATGATCAAACAATAAGGATGGTCATTCTTCTGGGCTTTACCACATCCTTAAGAAAGAAAAGAACTCCATGTCATTTATGTTTCAACTCTAATAATGGAAAAAATACAAATTGTGGGTATACTGTATATTGTTTTGTTGCACCGGTAGATAGCCGCAGCTCTCGGCATGAAGACAGTTAATGTGGTTCGTGACCGGACATCTATTAGGGAACTGAAAGAACATCTCACTGGACTGGGAGCAACTGTGGTAGTAACTGAGGCTGAACTGAGGTAGGAACCTTGAGTGTGTCCCCCAGAAAAGCATTTGAAAATGTTTTAATAAGGTCACCTATTTTAAAATAGACTCATCCATAATTTCAAGATTAACAGAATACTTCAATCCATGACTGTAAATTCTGTCCAATATTCAATGGTCTTTATTTCACTGTACTGTAATTTGTATATAGAGAGGCTAAGGTTATTATAGAACCATCAATTATAAGAACTTTTACCCTGTACTGTACCATGATGAGTGATGCAGTGGGGTTATATACAAGATTACATTTGTATTAACAGGTACCTTTACCTTGGTGTAATAATAGTTTACATCACTTAACTGTATTTGGTGCTGAGGCTGTTTTATATATGTAAAACAAACTTGTTATTGAGTAAGAAAGGGTTCACCATCACTGGATATTCAAACCTGTTATGTTGTCACTGATTATATTTATACAAAGTGATGATAAATTGAAGTAATATTTATATCAGAAAAACAGTGAATTGATTAAAGAACTTATTTTGGTCTTTAGAAAAAGTGAAGAAGTAAAGGCATTACCACCACCACGTCTTGCACTAAATTGCGTGAGTGGCCGCAGTGGCACAGAAATTCTGAGGCAGCTCACACCACAGGGGGTCATGGTAACTTATGGAGGCATGTCAAGACAGGTATGTAATTAAGTAAATTTGTTATATTGTAGGTTCACTTAGTTTTAGTGATCAGTGTGACTGGTTGGTGGTCAAGTCACTACACACAGCAGATCACCAACCTTGTTACCCATAGCACCTCATATAGTACTGTATCATGGCTGTTAGAGGGAGTCTTTTTTTTGCTTTTCATTCTGGCTACCCCCATCATAGTAGGAAAAAGCTTATGTGTGAAAAATAAAGAATGTACAGTCACCCATAAAAGTCCTGTCAGCTCTTCTGCCGCTCCACGAACCCTGTGAACTCGAAGCAGCAGACACTGAAGCACTGTTCTGTCCATAAATACTTCGGATTCACGAGTCTGAATCTCTGGGTTTGTGGAGCGGCAGAAGAGATGACAGGACTTTTGTGGGTGACTGTACAGCACACTGATGCTATACATATGAAGGTAGGACTCACACTAAGACAAGTACCGCGCAAGATCCACACGAATACAAAAACCGCCATGACTGATGCTGCATTATCCGGATCTTTTAAAAAAGCAAAGTCCAGTGCATCAAGGTTTTACTGTACTTAATATTATAAGACATTTATAAACTCTATCATTCTTACTCCTCTCCCACTTAGAAAACAATATGTGTGAATGATGTAAGGAAAGTAGAAAGTGACAAGCAAGGTATAATTAAGTAAAAATATTATCATTCTTTCTCTAATATAATTCTTTTATTTATTATATTTCAGCCAGTAACTGCACCAGTGGGGGCGCTCATCTTTAATGATGTTACCTTAAGGGGTTTCTGGATGACTCGCTGGAACAAAGAACATTTCAGTCACCCAGAGAGACTCCACATGTTGGACGAGCTCTTCCAGCTAGCACAAGGTGGTCAACTGCGCCCACCTGACCACACACTCGTTCCATTTTCTAACTTCCAGGAAGCTCTAAAAAATGCCATGCCTAGTGAAGGAATGTTAGGTAAAAAGCAAATTCTTATATTTTAAATAACTGTGCTTATACATTCAAATTTTTTAAAAGTATTTACTCTAAAATAATTGTGTACAGTACTTACTATATTAGACAGTGGGGATATCACCAAAATCCTGTTGTGCAGTAAAATAATATATATCTTACAATATTCATGTGTCACCAAAAAGAAACTGAATAGTAAAAGATAACAGCATATGAACCAAAGTAATGTGTACAGTACTGATGCCTTCAACGTACACAGATTACTGATGATGTTAAAAGTTCTTAAATATTCTTACAAACATTCTATTGATACACTATATTGTTATTCACTCATTTTCTTGATATTGAAAGTTTTTGTGCTACTGAATCCAGTGTCATCCATGTTAAGCTTTCATTTCCTGTATCTCATGTAGAAATTGTGATTCAACTATTTATGCAATACAGTATTTATATTTAACTGAGAATCCACAGCCTGTATACAGTACTAATATTTCATATATCCACATATACAGTAGTGAGTGTCAGTCCTTACAGTAAAGTACATTGTTACTGGAAGAATTTTGCTTAAATACAGTATACTGTACTTGAGTTGCCAAATATCTACATATTCTACCAATTATCAGTTTATATTACCATCTCTGAATAGGTTTTGATTGTGAACTGGCTGGAAAAATTCTTCTTATGTCTTGGTCAGTTCATGTTGTAAAAAAAATAAAAATTATTTATTGGTATATTATACTAAAATTACTTTCAGTACAGTATAAAAAAATCTTGCCCAGCAGTCAGACATTAGACTATCAGTCCCCGGTGCAGACATCAGGAATGTCATAAAGAAGTGGTATACATTCTATATAAGAGAACGACATAAACAAATAAGAAACTAAAAAAAAAAGTACAATTAATGAAGGTGATTTTTTTACCATTGTCAAAATTTCTAGGCCAAACATTCCACAGTATGATAGGCAACAATAAAAAAAAACTCATTATCAAACTTGGCTTAAATCCTTGTGATATAAACCTGCAATTAAATAGATAACATGACGATTATCACCCCTAACTTATTTCACCTTAGGATTAACCAACCTAATGCTACCTGTAGGGGGATGAGGTTAGGTTAGCATAAAGGCGGTTAATCTTTAGGTAAAATAAGTAGAGGATGCCAATCTTCACGTCATCCGAGCAAATTTTTTATTGATCTGCACGAGCCTTTTCAAGATATTGCATGGGAACAACATTCTGTACAGATGGATGGACAAGGATGATGCTACATTATTGTCCTGTGTTCTCTACTGAGGTTATGAGAAAATATCATATTATTTTTATCTCAGACGGATGATTTAGCGAATGATGGTCGAGTCACAATGGAACGGAGAGTTGACATAATGGCCGAAGGGTGAATGCCTTGTCGAGCAGCCGTTTTCTCATGTTCTCCCAAATCTTCACACCTCTGTGATGCTTCTTCAGATGATTTAAGTACCTGGTGAACACAAATTAATTTTTTTTTACATATTTGTTAATGTACCAATGATAATCAACACAAAAATCCAATATACATCAAGTCCCACCATCACCATAATCTAACATACAAAACCATTCAATCTCTTGTTACTCTTTCAAACACGATTTGTTCTCAGGAATGATAGAGCAGTTCCCTGTCGATTTCTATATGTTGCTGGACTGTACTGGATATACAGTATATAAAGTTCCCTGATCTACAAAGCTAGTCTGTTTATTTGTCTTTCCATGGACTCCTACATTCATCAGCTTACACAGGGATACAGCCACTCTCTTAGATATAGTACAATGTATCTGTAAGTCTTCATCTGCTTCAGGTATTTGCAGATTTAAAGTGGCATATACAGTGAATGAGGTTCTGTTCTTCATGTAACAATATAAAGAATCTAAGGGTACAGTAAGCAAGCCCAGGATAAAGCAGTTTGGTGCAAGACAAGTGTAGAAAAATACAGGAAAGGAATACCTATGCCCACATAGTATTGGCACATATATATCCATCTTACTCTCAGTTTGTATATTTAGCCTTCTTATTTTTACATTATGATGAAGTCACAAAAGTGCTAACCGGTAAGGTAATATAAATTGACCAAAATTTTCCATATTCACAATTATTACCAAAGAACATTTTTACTTATTATTTTGATCTAAACTTTTGTATTAATCTCATTAACCTCTACTCTTTTATTATCTATTATTTACTCACATAATTCATTATCAAGTTACCACATAGCTACCTGAGTCAGTGTTGCCAGTTTGATGTTTGCCTCATGAATAAGTGGACCTGTATTAGGCAGCTCCAACTGGGTGGTAGAGTTCGTCCAGGGAGCAATGTATGAGGAATAGACGCCTTGAAGCAGTTCCTGTTGTTTAGTGAGCCTTGACACAGCCTCACACACACTACCCTGTATCTCACGTTGCTCTTCTGTTGACAACCTGAGTTTCCAGCGCTGTAATGATGGGTAGCAGTAAGATGTATGAAACGAATGACATTTTCTTAAGAATACTTGATCATGCGAGACATTACGCATGACGAGGGCGACCCAGCCATTGTGCTAACCTAACCTAACTTAACCTGACCAGCACAATGGGATATGACTGAGCAAGATAGGTTAGGTTAAGTTCCGTTCCATTATGTTAGGTTAGCTTATGTTAGATTATATTAAGTTATGTTATGTTAGGCTAGCATTAGGTAAGGTTAGATTAGATTAAGTAATGTTAGGTTAGGTTTAGATAGCATTAGGGTGATTAATCTTCAGGTGAAATAATCTGGGAGCTAATCTTGTTGGGCCACACAACCATATACAGGTAGTTCTGCTATAACGCGATAATTGTGTTCTTGTAAAATATCGTGTTATAGAAAATCGCGTAATAGAAATAACAGGGCTTATGGAGAAAATAGGGTTAGGTGCAGTTTACTCGAAATCGAAAAAATTTAGTAGTTAGCCTAACACAAAGGATAGCACAGTCTAAATAAATGTTACATTCATATCTAATAATGAAATCATACAGTAAATTTAACACTTTACCTTGAAAAAATATGAATGTAACTTGATGGGGAGAAGGGTGATTTTGAGGTTGATAACATCAAGCTTCTCTTCAAGTGTTATATCCTTTCTTTTACGATAATCACCGGGAATTCTATCATCAGAATGCTTTTTGGAGATATTCTTCTTTACCATATTCACAGTTAATACCACAAAATTGGAGAAATAGTAAGCAAAAATCGCGTTATAGCAAACAAGCGATCGCGTTATACAAATATTGTTCCGAATTCATAAATCGCGTTAGAGCAAATTCGCGTTATCAAAACACGCGTTATAGCAGAACTCACTGTACAATGTTTCATCAAAATCAAACTGAAATTGTTAAAGACGCATTCATAAAAAGTCTGGATGGATGGGTGGATAGATGATGGATGGATAGATACTGTACTAGTATTCCCATAACCCCTGTTGCTTGTCTACCACTATCCTAGCCAGGCTCGTCTATTAGGGTATGTTTTCCTCTAGTGTGCAGTGAGCTAGTTCACATGTTCATCAAGTTAAGTAAGATTTCTGACTTACGAGACTGTGAGAAAAAACACACACACAAAAATACTCTTAAGCCTTATTTGGCAGTGTAGGATTCTGCATCCCTCCTCCCTAAAGCAAAAAGATAAAATATGGTCAACTAAAACTTCCCATAAATGGTCACTAGCATTCCAACAGCTAGCTACAGCCTATGATGACCAGCATTAGAAAGTTAAGATCCATTATATTACTTTCTAGAGAACTAAAAGATGAAACAAAATAGTAAAATGTGTAAATGACTGAATGCAAACCTCATCCATGGTGTTATATTTCTCCATTGCTTCACTATGATGTTCTTGGGTATCCAGCAGTAAGTCAGCTACAGGAAGGTTCTGCCTGACTCTGCACCACGCTCGATACTTCTCCTTCAGGTCTGCTGGTACGACTCTTACACCTCCCTCCTGTGATTATAGGGATATACTAAATTTTGGATGACAAGCGCTGCATCAGGAACCTTATCCATAAAAGTGCTTTCACAATCTCAACAGATATATAAAGGCACCACAAGTGGGTCATGTACAAACCCTCATTGTTGGCTGCAGGTGTGGGGAGTGAGCCAGGTGATCCAGAAGCAAATTGGCTGCTCGAGATTCTGCTCGCTGCTTACTGGCTCCAGGTGAGAGCTGACGCAAACGGCTTATACTATCAAAACACACACACCAGAACTGCAACTGTGCTGCTGCTGGTGCTGTCCCCTAAAATGGTGAAGTTAAGTGTCTTGCGAGTGCATGATGAACTTTGAAAAATATGTACAGTATCCACTTTCCATGAATTAACATACAACGTGGTAAATGAGTCTGGTGGGAACATGGAATAAGTTGCATTCAGAATTGAGATACAGTACTGTACAGGTAATCTTAAATTACTATCTAATATTTTCATATAAGTTAGGTACAGTGCAACACACACATTCACCCACACCCACCAAACCACACACACACCCATGCTCACTCATCCATATATATATATCCATGCTCACTCATCCATATATATATATCCATGCTCACTCATCCATATATATATATATCCATGCTCACTCACCCATACCCACTCACAAGCACACCTTATCCTCTGGCCACCAGGGCAGGAGGATGTTACTATGGCACTCCATAGGATGAGCAGCCTTGGTTTTAATGTAGACCCCTAACCCCCACCTCAACTCCACTCCTACAGGATACACCAACACACTACCCCACCAAGGAATCAGTGCAAGGACTGACAATCAATTTCTCGACCGAGACAAGAGTGACAATTTCATTTAAAAAAGAGTGGAAGCAGTGTGGAACAGTGCTGATTGGCAGATGTGGGCTGCTGTAGGGCAGGGAAGGCAATTCTGTCTTCTTTGCACTTACTTAAGAATTCTGGAACCTTGTTTGAGTGAACTGAAGCCGACAGCATCCAGCAGCCTCCAATACACCCTTGTCAGCTGTGAGACAAAACAATGGATGCCTGGATGACAGCATTGTTATTCTAATAAAATCCCAGTCGTCTCACAATGGTTCTTTATCCACGTACAGTTGTTGAACACCACAGCCAAGACCAACCTTATTCCAACCTCTGGGTAAACTACCAGACCCAAGTTAACTTGTATGTTTATCCCACATTTCCTCCACATTTTATACTGAAAGATTTGGTTAAATAAACCACCCTCCAATACCACCTTAATAATTTCTCTTCATTCTGTTCATTGCATATTTTTGCATTTGGCGGCAATTTTCTATCAATAAACAGTTCATTATTATTACACCTTACACTTACCCCCTTTACACACACACACACATACACACACACACACACACACAAAGGTCATAATAAAAGAGGTTCTCAATACTTACATGAATGACATCAGAATCTCCTAATCGACATATTCCCATGCATGATAGGGACTGAAGTATTCCTGTGAGAAATAGTGAAGATAAGTACCATTATACCAAGAGAAATGCACAATATTGGAGAGTATTATTATATACAAACTAAAATATCCTCTAATTATAAGACTCATGCAATACTTCTAGATTCTGTGGTTTAGTACTTAATGGGTGAGCATAGTGTAAACAGCATCATGACTATAATCAGGAAGAGAAGATTTAGTCCAGTTCCAGTTGAAGGACACACCCATGGATCATCAACTGAACAGTGGTAGAAACTATAGCCTTACTATGGATGAGTGAATGCTGTGGTACTGTGGCTAACTCGGCAGCTTCTGTCGGACACAACTGACTCAGTACCCACATCATTAGTTTTTGCCTCGGTCCCCCAGCAGTCAGGAGCACCGAGCGCACCCAACTTGGCTCCAGAGTTTCCATATCATTATACTCAAGTGCCTGTAATATAGAAACACAAGTTATGATATGAGACAAAGTTCCATAAACCATTCATCTGCCTATAGGTAGTTATTATCAGTGGATGTTAGCTGTAGGGACGGTGGCCATCATTAGGTGGAGCAGCCTTGGTGAATGGGATAAATTTGTGTGTGGGAATAAATATAAAACAAAAAGATTATGTTCTGATTCATCTTAAGTGTGAAGTTATAATATATATCTCCATGGAACAGAGTAGGTCGACCACGGAACCTCGTATGTGGCAGAAAACTAACAGTGAAGAAGAAATATGTATCAGTGCAAGAACCGATAAACGTAAAATTACATAATGCTGCTTTATCAAAGTTAGGGAGATAGGTAAGGTTAGGTAGGCTTGGTTAGTTAGGTCAAGTTATATTATATTTTATGCACTGTCGTTTCCAAATATCACCTCCAGAAATTTTAGTTCAATTCCTTACCTTATTTCTACTGCTAAATTAGTTATACACCTTTACCAAATTAACTTACTATCTAATAATAAATACCTGAACTAAATGTGTACATGATGAATCAATTTGAACATATGTTACGATTTTATGAGATGAATACACACAGCCGTCAAGGTCGACTGAGGCTCAACGAACACTAAAAACTTACTTATTCTCATCTAAATCACAAAAATACAAACTTGTACATAAGTTAATGATATTTATGGTTATAAACATGTATTGATAACCTTAATACACTCACTTGTATCTGAGTAATGATGTATGTAATGACTTCTTCCTCTTTCGGTCCTGACATCTTCTATTTGTAAACAATAAACATACCCGCCAGAATGACCAGTGTTAGAAGAATTACCACGAACACGGCCACTGACGTATTTGTTTATTCATTCACTTACTTCTAAAATTTAAAGTAGGATATATGTACATAATCTATATTTAATATTAATATGGTTATTTGTGTTTGATAATGAGCTTAGTTGATTAAAATTGACTAGGAAATAAGCTATTGAACAGTCAAATTCGTGGAATAATTTTAACACTGGGAATTTGATAATCAATTGAAAAAAAATTACACATATCAATATAACATTTTCAGTACTACCTTGTTTTATGTTTAGTGTCATTAGACTCAAAGTAAAAACCATAAGTCGGCAGTAGGGTAAAATTTGTTGAGTAGAATATCAAGAAATGATTTAGAAATAGTAGGCTAATTAATTGAAAAAACAACAACTAAAATTAACTTTAATCAAACATATATTAAGCCTCTATATTTATCAATCAATCTATCTTATGTATGTCTAGGTATATAAAGATAGATAGATAGAGGATGGGGTGGAGAGCAGTCGGCGGGATGGAGGCCGGCAGGATGGTGGAGTGCAGGATGGTGGAGTGCAGGATGGTGGAGTGCAGGATGGTGGAGTGCAGGATGGTGGAGTGCAGGATGGTGGAGTGCAGGATGGTGGAGTGCAGGATGGTGGAGTGCAGGATGGGCTGGAGGATGGTGGAGTGCAGGATGGAGGCTGGCAGGATGGTGGAGTGCAGGATGGAGGCTGGCAGGATGGTGGAGTGCAGGATGGAGGCTGGCAGGATGGTGGAGTGCAGGATGGAGGCTGGCAGGATGGTGGAGTGCAGGATGGAGGCTGGCAGGATGGTGGGTGCAGTGCAGGATGGTGGAGTGCTGGCAGGATGGTGGAGTGCAGGATGGAGGCTGGCAGGATGGTGGAGTGCAGGATGGCTGGCAGGATGGTGGAGTGCAGGATGGAGGCTGGCAGGATGGTGGAGTGCAGGATGGAGGCTGGCAGGATGGTGGGTGCAGGATGGAGGCTGGCAGGATGGTGGAGTGCAGGATGGTGGCTGGCAGGATGGTGGAGTGCAGGATGGAGGCCGGCAGGATGGTGGAGTGCAGGATGGTGGAGTGCAGGATGGTGGAGTGCAGGATGGAGGCTGGCAGGATGGTGGAGTGCAGGATGGAGGCTGGCAGGATGGTGGAGTGCAGGATGGAGGCTGGCAGGATGGTGGAGTGCAGGATGGAGGCCGGCAGGATGGTGGAGTGCAGGATGGAGGCTGGCAGGATGGTGGAGTGCAGGATGTCATGTCTTCAGGCGACCGTGATGGTGACGTTGAGAAGCGGTTATCACCCTCTGACCCTATTCACTCACGTACGGTACTTCCTTTTTCACGGACAGTGTATACTTTCTCACAAATAAAAGGACAGCTAAAGGTTCAGTAATACAGACGCAAATAATGGTACAAAATTATAAATATTATTACGGGTACAGATACAAGTACTGTACCTATATATAGATTACTGAGAATGAGGTCATCGTTTGCCAGGGAGGACGGACCAACGACTGTTAGTGCTTGGACCAGTGACCTTTGACAGCAGAAACAGTCACCAGCTTATGTTTAAAGACTATTGTTTATTTTGTGTCTGTCTGTCTGTCTGTGTCTCGCATTAGCATCATCAACGAGTGTAATTCATGAATGGTGTTAAGAATATTCTATGGTATTTTGGTGTGGAGTTGATGGTGGTGGTGTGATGTTATGTGCTGGTGTAGAGATGGTGTGGGTATGGTGTGGATGTGGTGTGGAAGTGATGGAGGTTACGAGAGAGGCTGCTGGTACGGGCTGGTACTGCCGAGAGAGAGAGAGAGAGAGAGAGAGAGAGAGAGAGAGAGAGAGAGAGAGAGTCAGTAAAACCATACAAATTCACACTGGCTCATCATACACATCGATAACAACAAATATATAAGATATTTTGTTACGTAAATCATATATTTGGTAGCGAAAACATGATTTTTTTTGTGTGGCGATAACAAGAATTTTATAGTTTAAAAATAAATTGGTGTAATAAGGGTTATACGCAGGGGCCCTGGCAGGAGATTTCGCCAGATCTCTTGATAAACATTTCACTCACCGTCATTGTAAAATCTACAGGCTAAGGGTGAATTAATTACATAAAAATCCTTACTTCCTCTTCACTAACTGATGTAGGGCTTCTGCAGTCTCGGCTGTAGTCAGAGCTTTGGTGACGTCAAACACTATTATACGTAACGCATGTTTTGAAGAACTTGAAAACAATAACTAGTATGTATGTATGTATATATATATGTATGTATGTATGTATGTATGTATGTATGTATGTATGTATGTATGTATGTATGTATGTATGTATGTATGTATGTATGTATGTATGTATGTATGTATGTAATATGACCCGAGCGAGAGGTCAACACTAAGCCGACCATGTACAGTACGTTTACCTGGAGTCGCTGAGTTAATCCAAGTCATATAGGGTCATGTTATGCACCCCCCCCTCAGTCCCCCCTCACCCTGACCTAGATCTAACCTTCCTCCCCTCACCTTTGACCTTCCTCCCCTCACCTTTGACCTTCCTCCTGCTTGGACAATTCTCGCAGGCGCTTGGTGGGAGGTAATTTGAGGTGTAAGGTTAGTTTAGGGTTTAGGTTAGGTTGAGTTAGGGATGTAATGGGGTAAGTAAGGTTAAGTTAAATTAAGGGTAGGGAAGTTTAGGTTAGGTTAGGCTGGGTTCAGAGAGGTGAGGTTAGGTTAGGTTAGGCTGGGTTAGGTTAGGCTGGGTTCAGAGAGGTTAGGTTAGGCTGGGTTCAGAGAGGTTAGGTTAGGTTAGGCTGGGTTCAGAGAGGTTAGGTTAGGTTAGGTTAGGTGGGTAGGAGGTTAGGTTAGGTTAGGTTAGGCTGGGTTCAGAGAGGTGAGGTTAGGTTAGGTTAGGCTGGGTTAGGTTAGGCTGGGTTCAGAGAGGTTAGGTTAGGCTGGGTTCAGAGAGGTTAGGTTAGGTTAGGCTGGGTTCAGAGAGGTTAGGTTAGGTTAGGTTAGGCTGGGTTCAGAGAGGTTAGGTTAGGTTAGGTTAGGCTGGGTTCAGAGAGGTGAGGTTAGGTTAGGCTAGGTTAGGTTAGGTTCAGAGAGGTGAGGTTAGGTAAAGGTTGCGTTAGGTTAATATTTAACCTAACCGTTCAGTTAACTTATCCACACAACCTCTATATCACCTTAAAAATTTTGATCACCAAATAATTTTTTTCCCTCTTTACAAGAAATACAAATCGCACTTGTTCATTTGAAATGTTTTGCTCTCACGACTAACTAATATCATTCGTGTTAATCCTACTAGCTAAAAAGATTGATCACGTCCGTATTTTGCATTTTTTCATGTTTATCACAACATATATTTCTTCTTACTTAAAGAAATATAAATAATAAATGTTCAGGCATTAAGTGTTGTCTAATGGTAGACCCTGCTGCCATATGGCATCACGAAAATTGTGACCAAATGTTTCTGATCTGACTTTCTGCCACATTTACACACAATTGCAGGGTCTCAATTGTTTCTCTTACTATTGATAATATAACATACATATAATATTTCTCACTATTGATCTTATTTAATTTTTTTATTTATTTATGGTCCTATATTATTATTATTATTATTATTATTATTATTATTATTATTATTATTATTATTATTATTATTATTATTATTATTATTATTATTATTATTATTATTATTATTATTATTATTATTATTATTATTATTATTATTATAATTATTATTAATATTATTATTATTATTATTATTATTATTATTATATTATTATTATTATTTATTATTATTATTATTATTATTATTATTATTATTATTATCATCATTATTATTATTATTATTATTATTATTATTATTATTATTATTATTATTATTATTATTATTATTATTATTATTATTATTATTATTATTATTATTATTATTATTATTATTATTATTATTATTATTATTATTATTATTATTATTATTATTATTATTATTATTATATTTTCACCCCCCAGGACCTGATTTGGGTCAGTGATCTGTGCCTGGGTGGCCTAAGCCATGTAAAAAAAGGAAAAACGAAAACAAAAATATTGACAACTTGCCATTGACGTCAGTGGGGATGGAGTAAACAAGGTTATAGTGCAACACTGCCTCGCCAAGCTTGTACTAAAGGCTTCACTTACTCCGCCTTGAGACTTAATCTGCAGTCCATTTCTCAGCCTTTGTCTGTTTGTCTTTATCTCTGTTTAATTTTTTTTACCTTTTTATTATATCTTTTCTTCTATGAGTCTCTCTTTCTCGGGGCGCAGGAGAGTTGACAGGGGTAAGGATGATGAGAGGGGAAGAAAGGGGGGTGGGAAGGAAGGGAATGTGATGAAATAATCGCCCTGTAGTCAATCAGCCAGGGAAGGAGTTTTGTCAAGGTGAACAACGCCAATATAACAATGGAACTAAGTCATAGGAACATAAGAATTATCTTCGTCAGTTGTATGCGTGTGTAGGTAGTCAACGCGAAGAACCACGATGTTTAGATTAATAACGAATATCTCTCTTAATGCTGTTTGTGTACACCTTCCCCAGCTTTTACTAACTGGACAAATATGAAAGGGAGACAGTCAATCCTTCATTAAATCAACACAAGAGCAGATGCGTCTTAGCGGTATCACAACAAACACAAAATGGACAAAAGGAGCGGAGTAGCCTAGCGCAAAACAACACCAGGAAGTTCATATGATTTCTCTGGCGTTTTAGTTTTAAAGACGTTAGAACATAAGACCATAAGAAAATAAGGAGTCTGCAATCGGCCGGTTGGCCTGTGCATGGCAGCTCCTGTCGGGAGTTACTACCACTCTCTATCATCCATGAATCTATCTAGCCTCCTTTTGAAACTTTCCAGCGTTCCAGCACTTACTACAAAGTTGCTAAGCTTGTTCCACTCGTCCACCACCCTATTTGTGAACCAGTTCCTTCCTATCTCCCTCCTAAACCTAAACTTATCCAACTTAAATCCGTTGCTACGAGTCCTATCCTGCTCGGATATTATAATTTTTTTAAATCTATATCGCCTTTATTGATTCCTTTCACCCACTTAAATACTTCTATCATATCTCCCCGCACTCTTCGTCTTTCTAGGGAATGCAAGTTTAGTTTCTTTAATCAATCTTGATATGGAAGGTTTCTAATGCTAATTTATCGCCAATTATGGGTTTCTTAAGTGCAATTTTGGTGTTAATGTCTTATTCTGTAAGTATTTAATTAGTTAAATCCCTTAAATTTTAATTCTGAGAGAAAAGTATATTTTGGTCGAAAAATTACTAAAGTGTAAGACTTACATTTTCGACACTTTGGGCCCAAAATTAGATTTTGTTGAAAATCACATTATTGGTACTCCTGAGCATGGTGATTCCGAATATATGGTCCACGATTCGATTGGGGGGCATATTAGGGGCAGCGGCGGTAGTGTTAGGGGCCCTCCCAGGGCAGCGGCTCCTCCAGCGGCTCTACCAGGGGCGTCGCGCCCCATTACTAGGTCTCTTTCACAAGTCGACGTCTCTAGGTTGATGTTGTTAAAGCTGTGTACATTTACAGTATTTGTTCTTCCAATATTAAGTACGCTGCACTTGCTGGTGTTGAATTTCATTTGCCATTTTTCTGACCACCCCTGCAGTTTATTTAAGTCTTCCTGTAGTGCATTTGCATCCTGCCCTGAATTAATCTGCCGCCCTATTTTGGTGTCATCCGCAAACTTGCTTATGTCACTGCTGATCCCAGTATCTAGATCGTTTAGGTAGATTATGAACAAGAGTGGGCCGAGTACTGACCCCTGGGGAACCCCACTGGTTACACAGCCCCACTCAGATTTAAAACCTCTACGTTGACCCTCTGTGTTCTACCGGTGAGCCATAATTTTACCCAATTTATAACTTTCCTCTCGATACCATGAGCCTTAACTTTTCTCAGAAGCCTCTGATGCGGTACTCTGTCAAATGCTCTGCTAAAGTCTAAGTAAATAACATCGTAATTTTCGTCATTATCTACTACCTCGAAGACTTTCCTAAAAAACGTCAGCAGATTTGTTAGACAAGATTTTCACTTTGTAAACCCATATTGAGAGTCGTAGATTAATTTGTTTTTCTCTAAACGCGATCGGATGCTATTTGCTATAATTTATTCAAAAAATTCCCCCACTACTGACGTCAAACTAATCGGCCGGTAATTTGATGCTGATGTTCTGTTTCCCTTTTTAAAATGGGTACTACATTTGTCTGTTTCCACAAGTTTGGCACAACTCCCGTGTCTTATGATTTTATAAATCAATTTACGAGGGATCCGCTAATCTGTTCCTTACACTTTCAAAGCTGGAGAGAAAATTTCATCCGGCCCTGGGGATTTTGTTTTCTTTAATTTATTTATTTTCTTAAGAACATCCTTCTTTCTGATAGTGATATGCTACAGGAATTACAACATCACATGAGACATCACATTAATATTGGCCTAATATGGTCGTGGTGTGTGGTCTTGCCTGCAACGTTAACCTCACTTTCCGTCCCTGACATTTGCTAGACCGGTTCAGGCACCACACAGGCTTCAAGATTATCACCGTTATCACATTTATTACATTATCTCTCTCTCTCTCTCTCTCTCTCTCTCTATATATATATATATATATATATTTTTTTTTTGGTTTCCCAAGCAAGGGCCTCTGGCTGTGTTTAGGGTTTCTCTGGAAATGCATAACTATATTGAGTGGATGAGTTGTGGTAGTAAGGTTTCCTAAATGGTTGTTCGATAGTTTAAACTCTATGTTAAGGCGTTACAGCGTAGGTACAGGTAGAGTTCAGGTACAGGTATATATACAGGTAGAGCACAGGTATATATACAGGTAAAGCTCAAGTACAAGTGCAGGTCCAGACAAATGCCGTAATAAGTACAGGTGTCACTAATTAACAGGTGTTGGTCCGTAGATAAATTCATGAGGAAGGGCTGCGAGAATCACCCTAATATTACCTTGGGGTTAGGTTAGGTTAGGTGAGCGTTAGGGTGGTTAATCTTCAGATGATCCGGCTGAGTTACCTTTGGTGTGGCTTCTACTTTTGGTAATTTCAGTACACACATTAACAGGTGTTTGTAACTATACGTCTGGTGGCTGAGGCGACAGTTGGGGAGAGAGGGGAAAAGGACGGAGTGGCTGTAACTTTCCCACTGTTATAATGTATATCTTAGCAACACCTCCATTACGACAGCATTGCGTATGATAATTAACGAATCCCTTTCTACTTTTAAAAAATATTATCAGGTTATGACCACTACCCTCCCCCCTCTCCCTCAGACATCAACCACAACCACCACGCAGACGATGGTCACTTCTACCAATTGTGGCTACCGCTCGCGTGTGATGTAAAGGTTCAGCGTAAAAATAGATTGCTGACAGATGGTTCCAATGTTTCTTAAGTGGTGATGGACGCCGTTGCCTGGAAGACGGTCGGCGGTGAGAGGGATACAATAAAAACCTAATACAAAGATAAACAAAGAGTATAATTAATAGCTATCTACCAGTGTTTATTATTATTATTATTATTATTATTATTATTATTATTATTATTATTATTATTGTTATTATTATTATTATTATTGTTATTATTATTATTATTATTATTATTGTTATTATTATTATTATTATTATTGTTATTATTATTATTATTATTATTATTATTATTATTATTATTATTATTATTATTATTATTATTGTTATTATTATTATTATTATTATTATTATTATTATTATTATTATTATTATTATTATTATTATTATTATTATTATTATTATTATTATTATTATTATTATTATTATAATTATTATTATTATTGTTTTTTATTGTTGTTGTTGTTATTATTATTATTATTATTATTATTATTATTATTATTATTATTATTATTATTATTATTATTATTATTATTATTATTGTTATTATTATTATTATTATTATTATTATTATTATTATTATTATTATTATTATTATTATTATTATTATTATTATTATTATTATTATTATTATTATTATTATTATTATTATTATTATTATTATTATTATTATTATTATTATTATTATTATTACTTTATCTCTCCACCACCACCACCACCACCGCCTTTCCTTCCTTCAAGATAATTGTCTTATTTAAGGTCATTCCTCTACAAAAATTGTGGCGTGGCTGTTACGAAAGGAGTGTAACAGGGGACAAAGGTGTGACAGGAGTGTGACAAGGGTGTGCAAGGGTTCGACAGGTGTAAGATGACGCAACAACAGGTGTAAGATGACGCAACAACAGGTGTAAGATGACGCAACAACAGGTGTAAAATGACGCAACAACAGATGTAAAATAAATGCATAACTAAGACTAACCTACAACCCACACTGAGAGAAATATTAACTCACTCGCAACTCTGGAGGCCATAAAACCAAGTGACACGATCTCATTTGACCTAGTTTACCTGAGCGCACCTGACGATAGCTTGGACGACACCTACAAACACACTACCGCTACCATGGTTGTCAAGCTCCAAGTATTTAAGAAAAGTTCCCCAAATAATAAGGTAAGACACTTTGCATTCCTAAAATAGATAAATAATAAATAAATAAATAATAAATGAATAAACACAAAATATACGCTCTCGTTTTTATTAATAATTTGTTCACATTATTATATCTCCATGTTGAGACCTGCCTGTGGTTAAGTTGACTATTTAATTTCAGTCTTTTTAAACTATTTTGTCATTATCAAACTCTACCTCAGCTTATTTTAGGTGATATATACAGGTAAATACAGGTATAGGTAAATACAAGTACAGGTATAGATTACAAGTACAGGTATAGATTACAAGTACAGGTATAGATTACAAGTACAGGTATAGATTACAATTACAAGTATAGGAAAATATATTGTAAATAACTAATAGTACTCAGACAGTACTCAAAGCATCAGTCTATTGTCAATCCTTGAGTACACTGCTTAAACCCAGTGAGTACAATGGTTATCTTGACATTGTACTCAGGGGTATAAGGCAGTGTACTCAAGGAATCAAGATATCTTATTCTAGGGGTTAAGTCATCGTACTCAAGGGGTTAAGTCATCATACTCAAGGTGCTAACTCATCATATTCAGGCTGCTAACTCATCATACTCAAGCTGCTAATTCATCATACTCAAGCTGCTAATTCATCATACTCAAGCTGCTAATTCATCATACTCAAGCTGCTAATTCATCATACTCAAGCTGCTAACTCATCATACTCAAGCTGCTAATTCATCATACTCAAGCTGCTAACTCATCATACTCAAGGTGCTAACTCATCATATTCAGGCTGCTAACTCATCATACTCAAGGTGCTAACTCATCATACTCAAGGTGCTAACTCATCATACTCAAGCTGCTAACTCATCATACTCACGGGGTTAACTAAAAAAATTCTAACCTTATTTAACCTTATATTTCCCGAATGATTTTGTTACCTGATAAAAATATAACTTTTTTTTTTACACTAATCTTCCCTTCAGCTGACACTCTACTTAACCAAGCGAGATTATTTCGACCATGTGACACACGTTGACCCGATAGGTAAGGTTATGTGGCGTAGTTGTCGTAGTTTTAATTCGTATCTGGCGTAGGTGTGGTAGTTTTAAGTCTTATCTGGCGTAGTTGTGGTAGTTTTAAGTCTTATCTGACGTAGGTGTGGTAGTTTTTAGTCTTATCTGACGTAGTTGTGGTAGTTTTAAGTCTTATCTGACGTAGTTGTGGTAGTTTTAAGTCTTATCTAACGTAGTTGTGGTAGTTTTAAGTCTTATCTGGCGTAGTTCTTCGTTAATTTAGCTCTTCCTTGACTTGGTTTGCCGTTAGTAAACTTCTGCGTTTGCCTAGACAAGGTTCAAGAAGATTTGTGGTTGTTTATTAGGTTATAATACACATGTAAGTTTATATATGAAAAAAAATTGAAAATAGCAAAGTTGTTAGATTTTCACCACTTTCTTTCTTACTCACCACCTACACCTTTGTTATTATCTTCCATATGTTGTTGACGACGCGGGATTACAGAGGGCGTGTTAGTCCTCGATCCCAATTACGTGAGCGACCGCAATGTGTACGTTCAGATCGTCCTCACCTTCAGGTTCGGGAGGGAAGAAGATGAATCGATGGGTTATAACTTCGTCAAGACTATGTACCTAGGCACTACCCAGCTCTACCCTCCTGTCACGTGCTTCCCGCCTTCTGAGATACAGGTAATTGATACAGCTATGCAGGTTTTGAATTACTTAAGAGTTAGTTAAAAAAAACTCATTCTTACCTGCCTTTAAGTTGGAGAAGAACCAAGTAAGATGTCTCATATCAGGTCTAATTCAAGGATACCGGTGTGAATTAAAGATACAGGTCGATACAGGTAAGATATATAATCAAGACCTAAATAAAAAACTACAAGTAAGATGCTGTTTAGTATTATGTCACCATTATTGAGGTTAGGTTAGGTTGGGGTCTATTGGTCCTGTAAGAGTCATTTATTACACCAGGTAACACAATCTCAGTTCACTTGACACTCGGGGTTAACATACTTGTGCTCTCTCCCTCGTCTTCCTCTTCCTTCTATTCCTTCACAACAGTATAAGGATGAGTCATATGTCCTCCGTCCTTGTAGTCCCTTCACAATACTGACATTACTGACTTGGTTTTCCTGATAATGTTTGACCTCGTTTCCTTGTTTCGCGGTGTAAACATGCATTTCCGTAACACTGGTCTTATTGATTTTGTTTCAATTATGTCCCCGGCAGCGTAATCTCATCTCCAAGCTGGGGAACTTCGCCTTCCCTTTTATGTTGGAGTTCCCGAAGCTGTCGACGCCCTCTTACACCATGATGCAGGGCTGGGAGGAGGAGGGGAGGCTCATTGGGGTCGAGTTTGAGGTGATGGGGTTTGTGGGAGTCAACGAGCAGGACTGCCATAAGAGGTCAGTGTGTGTGTGTGTGTGTGTGTGTGTGTGTATGTACGTGTAGGTGTATGTTTTAAGAGGTAACACATTCACAAGTTTTAAAAAGATTTTGGTCTTTCATTTCTCCCTTACAATACCTAACTCATTTTCTCAGTGATTCAATGTATTCATGACCTCGCTCGAAGCCTGAACTGGTTTATTAAGAGTTTACACCTTCGTCTTCGCCTTCCACAGGAGTAGTTGTCGTCTGACGGTCCGCCGCCTGATGGAGTGCCCTGCCCGGCTGTTCGACGCCCCGGCCCCCCGAGGCAACATCACCAAGACTTTCCTCACTTGCTCCGGCTCCGTCACCCTGGAGGCTTCCCTCACCTCTAACGTGTACTTCCCCGAGGAGGAGATCCCTGTGCAGGTCACCATCAAGAACAACACCACCAGGGAGCTCAAGAAACTGAAGGTGGGCTCCTCCTCCTACCGTACAAGACAACAATATAATAGACAACAACAAACACTAAAATATAACCCAGTACAGCATAATACAATCACTGTTATACAATACAATGCACTACATTATACAACAGTTCTCTGCAGTACAGGACACAATGATACAGAAGATAACATAAAATTAGCACAATGGTCAATTTGTAAAGAGATTACGAGGCCATCAACACCATCGTTAACCTAACCTAACCTAACCTAACCAAACCTAACCTAACCAAACCTAACCTAACCTAACTTAACCTAACCTAACCTAACCTAACCTAACCTAACCTAACCTAACCAAACCTAACCTAACTTAACCTAACCTAACCTAACCTAACCTTAACCCCTAGGTATAATAGCCTTAGGGTGCTTAATATTCAGGTGAAACAAGCGGTTTACATAGTCCTATTTTTTGTAAGTGGATGTCTCAAGTCAAAGATTCACTTAAGTATTAAAGTGTTGACCAGAAATCAATGTAAAATCAGTAAAGAACAGGTAATGAACGAGTCCGTGTGTGTGTGTGTGTGTCCTCAGGTGAAGATCGTACAGATGAGTGAGGTGCCAATCTTCAGTAAACAACAGGTGAGAGACAAAACACTCATGAAAATTGACAACAACATCAACCTGCCAGCTGGGGCCGACACCAGCAAGAACTACACCCTCATCCCCGCTGTCCCCTCCAGAATGTAAGTCACACCAGAAGTAAAGTATTCTATTGTGGGTCGTCTGTATCCGTCCGTCCGTCCGTCCGTCCGTCCGTCAGTTCGTTTGAAAAGAAATAATGTCCACACAATAACTTAAGTTTGATAGGATTCATTACAATCAGACTTTATACGTTAGTTCCTTACACACTATTGATGTGACCTATTGAGTTTTATCTCGGTCAGGTAGAGGGGAAAGGGAAGGTAAGGGGAAAGGGAAGGTAGGGGGAAAATGAGAGGAGTGGAAGGGGGAGGGGGTGAATTAGCCATTTAATTGATGGTTCTTGTCCTTTTGTCTAAGAATGTGAAACTCTCACCGACTGCCGGGTTGTAGAAAAAAGTCTCACTTAACCTAACCAGCGAATCAACGTTAGATAGGTGAATAAAAACACAAATAGACAGATAATCTAACATATTTTTATAGTTAGACAGACAAAGCTAATACGATAGACAGACACCCTGATTTTTTTTTAAACTCGATCCAAACAAACCGAACTAATGTAAACATATTCCTAGGGCGCGGGGCCAAGTGTTCCTTCAATCTGAGCTGCAGGGTAACACTTCTCCTAGCCTGGCGCCCTCCACCATCCTGAATCCCGAGGTCGACAAGAGAGATCTGTTTGGCGTCCACGTCACCTACGCTGTCAGGATCAAGGTCCCATTAGGTACTCTTATTGGGGACACTATACTCGACGTGCCCTTTATCTTGGCCGTCCAGCAAGGGGTGAGTCGCTCTGTAATGTAATGTTATGTAATGTAATGTAGTTATTGTAGTACAGCTCATTGTAATGTGTTAATGTGTAAAAAAAACGCACTAAAGGAAATTACAGTAATATATGGTGCAAAGTACACACACACACACACACACACACACACACACACACACACACACACACATACACATACACACACACACTGGGCACACGCTTCATGGTGTTTTAGCGATATGTTTTTTTTTTGGGGGGGGGGGGTCAGTTTGAGGCCGGACAAGTGAGAATTAGATAACAGGTCAGGTCAGGTCAGGTCACGGAGAAGCCATATGGGACAAACATTACTCAGCAGCTCAAGCGTAAGAAGATTCACATGACCTGATCTGAGGGTGTAACTGAGCTTTGCTCTGACTTAAAATGAGACCAGAGGATACTACTACTACTACTACTACTACTACTACTACTACTACTACTACTTTTTTCTTTTATTTAAACTGGCCTCCAGCCTCCCCCAATAGCCACACCTTTGCCGCCATTTTATTACCTTAGTATTAAATATCCTAATACATAAGTAGCTATCCTGTCTGTGTTGAGTTAGTTGAGCCGCAGATCTATGCCGCATTCAGTGACTGTAGCCTCATAGTCAATATCTGCAGCAGTTGTCGGCTTTGGGGCCGATGCTCTCGTTCCCCTACTACTACTACTACTATTACGACGGAAACATAATAAAATATAGTATTTTTTATTTTTTTTCTATATCCCTATTAGTATGAAGTTCAGTTGTTTACCTATCCCTAATCTTAACCAAAGCCTTTTTTCAGAAGGAGAGAGAGAGAGACGGTGGGCTCTATACCACAACTCACCACTATATGAGCTTGATCTAAGTTTACACATAATCTCTTCTTCATTACAGCAGTGAGACGAGGAGACGGTGGTGGCTAACAGGAGACGGTGGTGGCTAACAGGAGACGGTGGTGGCTAACAGGAGACGGTGGTGGCTAACAGGAGACGGTGGTGGCTAACAGGAGACGGTGGTGGCTAACAGGAGACTAACGGTGAAGATAACAACAAACTATCTTCAGATCATTATTACTGAGAATATCACTTAACCAACTACTACTTTTGTCCCTTTAACTTACGAGGAGTCTATTAACGTGTTGCTTGTGTCTCTTCATTAAACATTAACATAAGAATTATTACTATTGTTCGGGTTAATAGTTTACGTTTCTCATTATATAGGTATGTAGATTAAGTCAAGTTTGTTTATGTAATGGATTCAAGCTGTGGTTAGGTTAGGTTTGGTTAGATTAGGGTGATGACAGGTCTGTAGAGATAACTTTACCAAGGTAGAATATTGTAGGAGTTTAGGCAGTAGTTTTTACATTAAGTTGTATTATTCACCTTCATTCTTCACCCCCTTGTGTGTTCTTGACTCCTGATGCTGTGTTGTGGATAACTTATATTCATTTATTCATTGTACACCAATTAAGAGGGAGACATATGGCTCGTTCTTAATTCAACAATACACACAGGAGAACGGCGACTATTAACAAGGAAATTGGCAGCTGAAGAATCATTTATAATGTTTTTTTTTTAATAATTGTTGATGTTGATTTAATTTTTTTATTTTACTTATTAATATAAAATGGTTATTGATATATTGTATCTCTTATTGTTGTTAGTGTGTGTGTGTGTGTGTGTGTGTGTGTGTGTGTGGTCGTCTCATTTAGCTTTTAGGATGAATCTGAATTTTTCTTCATCCATAAAGCTATAATCATAACTTCCTCATATCCATCATAGAACAGTATAGCTTTAACTCAGCTAACTTATATACCACGTAACTATGATCTATACGATTATACTTCATACTTTTAATACCAAATGTAGACTTTTGTGTGTTTACCATTGATGAAAGGAGACTCACCTGCTCGTAACCTGAAGTAATATTTGTTATTTTATTTATAGTTCATATCTTGTGGAGTTTCGGTCAAGTCTTGGGTGTTATTCTTTCAAGTATCTCTCTTTATTTATTTCTCTGTCTCTCTGTCTGTGTTTTTATATACCTCTTTCTGTCTGTATGTCGTTCTACCTCCCTTTATCTGTCTCTTCCTTTCTCTTATTTGCCTGTTTCTCCCTATCTCTCTCTCTCCTTCCATGTATATCTCCTCCTCTCCCCTTTTCTCTCTCTCCCTCTTTCCCTCCCCGTCTCTCAATCTCTGTTTGTCTCTGTCTGTCTGTCTCTTGTTTATTGTCTCATGAAGTGTATTGACGAAACACCTGGACTACCAATACCTGAATAACTCTGCCTAACTCTTCAGATGTCCCCAGGTTTTTATTCATATCATAATTGTCTGTTTGTATGTATCTATTAGGCACTACTGATCAACTCATATACAATGTAAATAATGAATTAACGATGAATAAAGTGTTATGTAAAAATTACCTTGTTTCATTGTAGGTGAAGCTTGGTGCTGTGTGTGTCTCTGGGAGATGTGTGTGTGTGTGTGTGTGTGTGTGTGTGTGTGTGTGTGTGTGTGTACGTATTTATTATAGAGGTTTGTCATTAAAGAACCTTTGTAAGAGTGAATGATTATACACATTAACCTAACCCTACCTTAAAAATTTTTATACATGACTCTCCTCGCTGTATCATTATGTAACTGCTCACACACCACTGTCACACCACACCACTGCCCACACCTCTCACACCACTGTCACACCTCTGTCACACCTCTCACACCTCCTCACACACCACTGTCACACCTCACACCACTGTCACACTCTCCACACCACTGTCACACCTCACACACCACTGTCACACCTCTCTCACACCACTGTCACACCTCTCCACACCACTGTCACACCTCTCACACCTCCTCACACCACTGTCACACCTCCACACCACTGTCACACCTCCACACCACTGCTCACACCTCACACCACTGTCACACCTCTCACACTGTGTCAGGTCTCTGTGAACCACTGCCTCCTAGCACTGCTTGGCAAGGGGTTTCTCAGTTCTAAGGGTCACACGTTGGCAGCACTAACCTGGTCTCACGGCTCTCCCCCTCCTTTCTCTCTCCTCCTCCTTTCTGCCTCCCCATCCCCTTCCCTCCCTTCCCCTCCCACCCTCCCTCACTCTCTTCTCTCCCTCACAGCCCTCCTCCCCCTTCCCTCCTCCTCCAGCCCACCCCCTCCCCCTCCCTCCAGCCCCTCTTCCTCCTCCTCCTTCCTCCTCCAGCTCCACCTCCTCCCTCCAGCCCCTCCTTCCTCCTCCTCCCTTCCCCTTCCCTCCTCCAGCCTCCTTCCCCCCTTCACTCACCCCTCCTAATCACTAACGGTATCTTACGTGGCACTATCAGCCAGGAGGTCAGGCTGTTCTTGTTAGACAGTTCTGTTGACTTTTAATATTATTGTTTTTGTAAGTATTTAGGATATTTATTAATTAATCTATATATTGTTATTTTTTTAGTTTTTTATATCTTGCCATTTTATTATTTTATATATTGCTATATTTGGCGGTTCTTCACATTATGCATTAAAATAATTATATACGTAATGCTAAGAAAGATCTTTATAAATCAGTAAGTAAACAAACCTAACCTAACCTAACCTAACCTAACCTCACCTAAACTTCTTTGTTTAGTAAATAATTAAATATTCTTCTTATTTAATTTGTCATCTCTTAGTTTCTGGTTAATACCGGGTAAAATTATATCCATATATAATTACTACTTGTTTACTTAATATCTAAAGAGTGTTACATTATAGACAACTTTCATTTCTGTACTAAGTAATGTCTGTTTGTGCTAAGAGGTTGAAACAAACAACTATGGCTATTTCGTTACTGTATGTGCCTGAGTAGTCATTATAACTACTACTAAATTCATATACTATAATAATGTTGCTATTTACTAATCATCTACACTATTAATTACTAAACTTACTAAAACATGACAGGATTTACTTTATGGTTAGGTTAGGTTAGATTAGGTTAGGTTAGGTTAGATTAGGATAGGTTAGGTTAGTTCCTGTGGCTGGAAATTTTACGGGATATTTTTTTCTTAATAAGTGTAGCATCATACTCAAAGGGTTAAGATGTCGTACTGAAGGGGTTAAGATGTCGTACTCAAGGGGTTAAAATGTCGTACTCAAGAGGTTAACATAAGAACATAAGAACATAAAAAAATAAGGAGTCTGCAATAAGCCGGTTGGCCTGTGCATGGCAGCTCCTGTCGAGAGTTACTACCACTCTCTATCATCCATGAATCTATCTAGCCTCCTTTTGAAACTTTCCAGAGTTCCCGCACTTACTACAAAGTTGCTAAGCTTGTTCCACTCGTCCACCACCTTATTTGTGAACCAGTTTCTTCCTATCTCCCTCCTAAACCTAAACTTATCCAACTTGAATCCGTTGCTCCGAGTCCTATCTTGCTTGGATATTATAAGAACTTTATCTATATCCCCTTTATTGATTCCTTTCACCCACTTAAATACTTCTATCATATCTCCCCGCACTCTTCGTCTTTCTAGGGAATGCAAGTTAAATTTCTTTAACCTATCCTGATATGGAAGGTTTCTAAGTCCCGGAATCATTTTTGTCATTCTTCGCTGCACCGACTCTAGTGAATTTATATCCATTCTATAATAGGGGCACCAGAACTGAACCGCATAATCGAGGTGCGGCCTGACTAGCGCAAGATATAGTTGCAATAAGACCTCTGCACTCTTGTTACTTACACTTCTAGATATAAAACCCAATACTCTGTTTGCCTTATTTCGAACATTAACGCACTGTTTTCTAGGCCGTAGGTCCGGGCTTACAAGTACCCCTAGGTCTCTTTCACAAGTCGACTTCTCTAGGTTGGTGTTGTTAAGGCTGTATACATTATAAGTATTTGTTCTTCCAATATTAAGTATGCTGCACTTGCTGGTGTTGAATTTCATTTGCCATTTTTCAGACCACCCCTGCAGTTTACTTAGATCCTCCTGTAATGCATTTGCATCCTGCCCTGAATTAATTTGCCGCCCTATTTTGGTGTCATCCGCAAACTTGCTTATGTCACTGCTGATCCCAGTATCTAGATCGTTTATGTAGATTATGAACAAGAGTGGGCCTAGTACTGACCCCTGGGGAACCCCACTGGTTACACAATTCCACTCAAATTTAACACCATCTACGCTGACCCTCTGCGTTCTATCGGTGAGCCATGATTTTATACAATTTAAAACTTTCCCCTCGATACCATGAACCTTAATTTTTCTCAGAAGCCTCTGATGCGGTACTCTGTCAAATGCTTTGCTAAAGTCTAAGTAAATAACATCGTAATTTTCGTCATTATCTACTACCTCGAAGACTTTCCTAAAAAACGTTAGCAGATTTGTTAGACAAGATTTTCCCTTTGTCGTAATCAACATAAGAACATAAGAATGGAGGAAACTGCAGCGGGCCTATTGGCCCATACTGGGCAGTCCCGTTTACACCCAACCCCTATTGCTCATATATCCATCCAACCTATGTTTGAAGCTATCCAGCGTATTTGAGTTAATGATGATGTTTGGTAACTTGTTCCACTCATCCACTACTCTATTTCTAAACCAATGTTTACCTATTTCTCACCTAAATCTAAATTTGTCTAATTTAAAACTATTGTTACGAGTTCGCTCCTGGTTGGATAGTTTGAGTACCTTTGTAATGTCCCCTTTGTTTAACCCTGACTTTCATTTATACACCTCTATCATATCGCCCCTCACTCTACGTCTCTCGAGGGAGTGCAAATTAAGACGCTTTAACCTGTCTCTGTACTCAAGGTTCCTAATGCCCGGGATTAGTCTTGTCATTCTCCTCTGAATTCTTTCTAAGGATTCTACATCCATTCTGTAATACGGTGATCACAATTAAACTACGTAATCCAAGTGAGGTTAGGTTAAGTTTGTGGAGTTAGTGGATACAGCTACTAGTCTTAAGGGCCGGGGGTACTATCTGGGAAGACAACGTAAGGACGTGATGTTTCTTGACACATATAGCTTGAAGTCAGGGTAGAGTCTGCTGCTGGTCCACACTTGTATTGGTTTCAGTGTATGCTATTTTAGACCATAATTTTCCTTGTTGTTATTTTAAGACTCCCCCTCGTCCCGTATTTCCGTTTATCATCAACCTTCTAACTCATTTTGTTATCATATTTATCCACTTTACGGAGCTTTATTTTACCTACTACCCCGATCAGAAACTCTAACAGTATCTTAGTCCCACCTATTCTTCCTCTTAGGTGTCTCTATGGGTGAGATATTCATAAATGGGTAATGCTTGCGTGTGCCCCAAAGTGCATGATCTTGGCTGTAAATAGCATCAAGGTTACATTTTCCTATGGCGGTGATATGTGTGGCTCGCTACAGTATATAAACAAGGGTTGGGAAACACTCGACATCATGTTGTTCTTACGCCCTCAAGGATGATGGTAAGACCTGATACGACGTTTACCTTCTGTTCTCAGGAAACTTTGAGGTTATTAGTGATAGCGTGTATAGGTCCTACATGGTGGTATAGTCGGATATAAAGTGTTAGGTGAGTTTTTAACGCCATTTTGGGACGAGAGATGGCTGCAAATGAGTGTATGTGTGAGTGTGTGTGTGTGTGTATGTGTGTGTGTGTGTGTAGTTATCAGGTGTGCATGGGGGGGGGGGGGTGTATTTTAGACTGATTATAACGTGTGACCTCCCATAAGAAGGTTACCTGTTGGCTGGGTCTCAGGTGTGTACACCAATATACCTGAAGCCTAATTGAACCTACTGACAGTAATTTACACCACCCCCCAACACATTAAAATCATATTGATAATTTTTGCGATTATTTTTTGTCTTGTGTTTTGTTTTATTTAATACATTTTTATCATGCATTGTTTTTTATTGACTTTGAAAATATACTTAGGTGCTTTTGACACATTTATTACGAGGTTGAGTAATTCTTAAGTAGTTAACTAAGCGTTGTGTCTGTGTCTGTATTGTGCTCAGTGTCGATCAACCAGTGTTTAGGAGCAATAACAAAAGACATCAGCTAACATTAACACCAGCTAAGACACAAGGAACAGCTAATCCTTACAGCAGCTACCACAGGTAATGTTTCCAGCAGGTAACAGCTTAGGTCACCAGTAATGTCTCCTTCCAGGTCACAGCGGCGCGTCTAGTCATCCTATCCCTGGTGTGCTATGCTGCAGCGGCACAGGAACCAGCAGAGCAGACGGCACAGGAAACGGCACAGGGAACCAGCGAAGGTATAACATCGTAGTTAATTGGGCCCTGAGTCCTTATAGGTACCCAACATAGTCATTAGGATTGTCTATTTTATTGGGGTTTGGTGCGTATTAAGATAGGACCGATTAGGAGTGGTACTTGCTTGGACTAGAACCTCATCTATAATCATTAGAAAAGATTAGGTTAGATTAGGCCCCATTAGGACTGGGAGCCCATTTGACCAAGCTAATTATAGTTTCATGTATACCAAAGTGAATTATTATGACCAGGAAATTGTGTCCAGAAATATGAATACAAATACAGATAAAGTTTAGGTTAGGTTAGGTTAGGTTAGGTTAGGTTAGGTTGAGTTAGAATAAGTTGGTTTAAGTTATAATAAATTTGATTAGGTTAACTTAGGTGAGGTTAGAGAGAGAGAGAGAGAGAGAGAGAGAGAGAGAGAGAGAGAGAGAGAGTAATAATGGTTGTTTCTACAGATGGAACACCAGGAGAAGCCAAGTTCTTCATCAAGTCTTACTCCACCACCACCTGGACCATCCTTTCCTCCCTGACCTCAACTATCCCCTACACCTGCTACGACAGTAAGTCCCCAGTAGTGTAACCTGACCTAACCTAACCTAACCTAACCTAACCTAACCTAACCTAACCTCCTTTAGCGGGCAGCCCCACACTTAATTATTATCTTCATATTATCCGTCACAACATGATAATAAAAGTCACAGAGTACATGATGAAGAGTACAGTCTAATGGAGTACAGAAAAGCTCTCTCTCCCCTGAATCTCATAATGTGAATAAATATCTATTGTTAGTGTGTGTTTGTTGAGTGGTAGGTATTCACACTCAGTCACTAACTCGGTCTTGTCCTTAAAGCTGGAGGCGTCGTGCCGCCTGCGTGTATGGGGCGAAGACTCCGCCGCTCAAGAGGCCTGAGTAAAAATGTCGAGATTCAGGACGCCAGCGACGTGTTCACCAGCATTGACAGTACCTTGTTGTCCGAGGAGATGGAGAGTGATCCTGACCAGAAGTTTCTCTTCACGGTGTGGAGGACCAGCAGGTCCACCGCCACCATCACCACCTTCTCCACCAACCGCTCCGTCACTGTGTCTGTGTCAATCGCGTGTCTTTATCCTGGAATAGTTTACAATCAATGTTAGGACGACGACTCTCTGTGTTACCTCATCTCTTGTTCATCCCAGACCCAACAATCAGAGAATTTCAGTACTGGATTTTTCGCTTCGTGTCACTCATCAACACCCGTTCCCGCTGAGGCTTTGGTGTTGGCAGCCACTTTACTCACTAGCTACATAACACACACATGACAGTTTACACAGTTATACGCATAGAGAGAGTCTGGAACCTTATGATGATCCTACGTTGTTGTTGATTGATGTGAATTAGATACGGCTTCATACCGTTGCTAGAAGCGTTGTGTGTTCATCCGGTCATTTGTGAACGCTCTTTATTGTGGCAGATACGTTCGTTATTCACGCTATATAACACAGAGACCAGAGGTATATTCGTCACAGTGTTGAGGTGTGGTGGCAAACTCTCTCTTGTCATGCAAATACAATGACTTTTTCTTTGTGTTGCATGATTGTACAGGGTGGCTCAGAAAATGTATGCCACTTCCTGTACATACAAGCATATGCAGTTACGTCTACATATATTGCTCATAAAAATGTGTTGAATAATCCTGTGCCTTACAAACAGGATTATTAGACAACAACAACAACGCCAACAACAACAAGAAAAATCAACCACCACACCACCACCACCACCACCACCACCACACCACCACCACCACCACCACCACCACCAAACAACAACATCAACAACAACATCAACAACAACATCAACAACATTACTAACACTATTAATTGATCATTCAAATTCAATACAGTATTTGTCAACTGAACCTCCAGTGGATACAATGAATTAAACAAACAAAAGTTAATGGGATGAACAATAGTGAAGATAAATGAACGTGGAATGATCTTTGTAATGTACTGTATATATACATTTGACCCCTGTAAGTATAATTGATATATAAATACTCCACAAACACCTGAATATTCCTATCCTTGTGAACAAAGTTGTATTGAACAGCGAGTATTGACCATTACAGCCGCCTCAAACCTTCGTTCATGCCGGCCAGACGTTATCCCATCTGTAGTCTTCTGTCTCTTGGGAATATTTGTGTTTGGTAAGATTATCCCAATGTATTTATAGTTTTAAGGAGTAATTTAGTTTCATTCATAATAAACTTAAGAATACCTAAAACATACAAGGCTCGGCTGATGTAGTATACTAGTATAAGCGTCAAATTACAGGCCGATCAGTTTGACGTCAGTAGTGGGGAAATTTCTTGAATCAATTATAGCAGATAGCATCCGATCGCATCTAGAGAAAAGCAAATTAATCTACGACTCTCAACATGGGTTTACAAAGGGAAAATTTTGTCTAACAAATCTGCTAACGTTTTTTAGGAAAGTCTTCGAGGTAGTAGATAATGACGAAAATTACGATGTTATTTACTTAGACTTTAGCAAAGCATTTGACAGAGTACCGCATCAGAGGCTTCTGAGAAAAGTTAAGGCTCATAGTATCGAGGGGAAAGTTTTACATTGGAAAAAATCATGGCTCACCGATAGAAAGCAGAGGGTCAGCGTAGATGGTGTTAAATCTGAGTGGGGCCGTGAAACCAGTGGGGTTCCCCAGGGGTCAGTACTAGGCCCACTCTTGTTCATAATCTACATAAACGATCTAGATACTGGGATCAGCAGTGACATAAGCAAGTTTGCGGATGACACCAAAACAGGGAGGCAAATTAATTCAGGGCAGGATGCAAATGCATTACAGGACGATCTAAATAAACTGCAGGGGTGGTCTGAAAAATGGCAAATGAAATTCAACACCAGCAAGTGCAGCGTACTTAATATTGGAAGAACAAATACTTATAATGTATACAGCCTTAACAACATCAACCTAGAGAAGTCGACTTGAGAAAGAGACCTAGGGGTACTTGTAAGCCCGGACCTACGGCCTAGAAAACAGTGAGTTAATGTTCGAAATAAGGCAAACAGAGTATTGGGTTTTATATCTAGAAGTGTAAGTAACAAGAGTGCAGAGGTCTTATTGCAACTATATCTTGCGCTAGTCAGGCCGCACCTCGATTATGCGGTTCAGTTCTGGTGCCCTATTATAGAATGGATATAAATTCACTAGAGTCGGTGCAGCGAAGAATGACAAAAATGATTCCGGGACTTAGAAACCTTCCATATCAGGATAGGTTAAAGAAACTTAACTTGCATTCCCTAGAAAGACGAAGAGTGCGGGGAGATATGATAGAAGTATTTAAGTGGGTGAAAGGAATCAATAAAGGGGATATAGATAAAGTTCTTATAATATCCGAGCAGGATAGGACTCGGAGCAACGGATTCAAGTTGGATAAGTTTAGGTTTAGGAGGGAGATAGGAAGAAACTGGTTCACAAATAGGGTGGTGGACGAGTGGAACAAGCTTAGCAACTTTGTAGTAATTGCGGGAACTCTGGAAAGTTTCAAAAGGAGGCTGGATAGATTCATGGATGATAGAGAGTGGTAGTAACTCTCGACAGGAGCTGCCATGCACAGGCCAACCGGCCTATTGCAGACTCTTTATTTTGTTATGTTCTTATGTTCTTATAAGCTCTTTATATAGAAGCTAAGATGCGTTTCGTATATCCGCATTGTTGTCTGGGAAGCATTCTGAAGAAGGTGTTGTGTATTTTGTATTTTAAAGACGACTTCGGTATACAGTCGGATAAGGGAAATGTACACGTATGTTTCAGAAGCTTTGTTATGGTTCGTCTCTTTATACAGACTAGTTGACTATACCCGACTTTGTCCGGATAGCATGACCATCCTTGTCCACCCGCACCTCCCTACCCAATTTCAGCTCTCTATTGTCAAAACTGTGGAAATTGATGTGGAAAATACACACACACATACACAGATGGATGTATATTTTCTGTATTTTATTAGTGACTGAACATGATAGCCATTAACCTTTTAGAGGGGGAAATATATCACTTGGGTATTTTAAGCTAGCCAACATCAGTCGATTTTATTCAGGTAAGAGAAGCCCTTGTTCTCTGAAGGGTTAAGAGCCTAATATCCGCCATTCACTGTTTTCATTTCTCAATCAAACCCCGTCGCTTAAATAACAACAACCAGCACGTCAAGTTGTATCAGCTGTACTTCACCGAAAAGACTATTTCAGACTTTACAAGACACGTTAGATGAAGGAGAATTACAGGAGTGAATAAAAATGAGGTTAAGAGTTTCAGAATCTCTTGTTTATAAAATTCTGGTATCTATACAACCCCATCTGGCCCGCCCGTAGTGTCGTTTGAGAGGTATAAACAAATATTGGAATGATTACACCAAAAAACTTTAATAATATATATCATAAGAGTGAGGTGTTTGTTGGTACCGTTCATTTCGGAGTCCTCAGATCGCCGTCTCTTGGTGAGGAATGAGGAAATTTTGGCCAGCCTGTTAGTCCCTTAATGAGTAAACATACGCCATCTATAGGCTCGTCCCTGAACCCTGTCCATATTGAGGCGACTTTTCCTCCTTTGGCGTCACGTTACTCCCATTATTTGCCTCTACATTTTCCTCCTATAGGTTGCCATACTCCCATTATCAACCATACAAGTTATCACTGTTGGGTTATCATCTTAATATAAAGGTTAAATGTATCACCTTTCAAATCATGTTTTTTTGGGGGGTCAGGTAGAACACATTTGACAACAGTTATTCTTGTTTACAAACTGAGAGATTAATTTTGTTGCGTATTTCCTAGATTATAGGGTTAAGTTTGTTGATGTAGGGTAGCTCTTGGTGCCCTTGAGCCACATTATCTCAGTATATAAGACAGTGTAGAGGCGTGTGTGGGACAGTGTTAACCCGAGTGTACAAGATGGTAAGATCAACAAGAAGAGGTGTCACAGTATAACCTGGGAATATAAGCAGTGTTTAGAGTTGGTGATCTTCTGTAGGTCTGAGAGGAACAAATGGGTGGTTATCTGTATCACTCTAAGACGTGGGGGCTTAATTTTACGTTGACATCACCTATTTTAGCCCAAAACACCTTATTATAGCAGTGATTTAGCAATTTAATAGGCTAAACTATCGAATCTTCGGATGCCATGTTGAAATTCTTCTTCTTCTTCGTCTTCTTGCTTCTCATTGGCCAATTTTTCAGTCGGCAATACAAGACGCTTCGTGATTGGCGAATCTGTGCTCCTCCAGGCTGTATCGAAGGACCACAGGACAGAACCTCGTGTGTTTTCGAAGGAGTTACTCGGCCCGCTAAGAAGTTCCATCATATCTTACGTGTGTCAGTTAAATGCGTCATTATATCAGCAGCAGTTAGTGGTTAATCTTACGAAACTTTGAGAATACGAGCTTAGACAACACACAGCCAGGCTTATAATGTAACAGAGGTCGACCTTGAACAGGGTCTTGAGGTCAACCTTAAGGTGATGAGGAACACAGCGTAACTCTTTGATGTGACGTCACCGGTTTAAAGTATCTCACTCTATGACAGACTCTAACACACTCTCCACTAACCTAACCTAACACACTCTCCACTAACAGAAATTAAAAGGACTTACTATTGCTGCTTAAATTAGTACCTTTTTATTTCTGAATGTGTACAGAAAGTAAGAAGATGGAAAACAGTATTCGAGAGAGAGTACTGAATCTCTTTTCCCCTTACAGAAAGCATTAGCCGGTCTCTTGGTTATCTGCCTCCTTGGGTCAGTGGCCGCCAGTCTCCCGGAAGACGATAAAGGTGTGTATGACCTAATTGTATCCTCACCTGTATGTGATTTATATACATTGTGGGCTATGTAGACAGTTACAATTGTCTATGGTAAAGAAAGAGACTTGTATCGTTAAGTTATATTATCTTTAACAGTTAATTTGTCTTCCTCAGGTGAAGCCAAGTTTTTTGTTAAGTCGTATTCCACCGTGACCTGGACCTTCCTCTCGTCACTTACCTCCACCGTCCCTTACACCTGTTTTACCAGTAAGTGAGGCTGCTAGTGGTCAAGGATGTCTTACTGAACACACAAATCACCTTATGTTAATTAAGATGATCTATAGTTTCTTCCCACACACACACACACACACACACACACACACACACACACACGCACACACACACACACACACACTCATATCAAGTTAAATTGTTAGATAATACGAGATTCTTGGAAAAAGTGATTCTATATAACTATTTAGATAGATAGATAGATAGATAGATAGATAGATAGATAGATAGATAGATAGATAGATAGATAGATATATAGATAGATAGATAGATAGCTAGATAGAAACTTACCTTACTTTGTGAGAGATGCTCGGGGTACAGAAGGTCGAGTCAAATATGGATAATGAAGATCAATTATAACAAGAGACTGGAGGCGGGGGTACAGACTCTTACTCTATATTTCCTTATAACTTATCAAACTGTTCTGATTATGGTCTTCTGTATCCTTGATGTCACTGATGTTGAGACTAATATCCGGACACTTTATGGGACTTAAAAGATAAGGGTGAGACGGTAAGTTCTGATTTCTTCTGTAAAAGATAAAAATATTTCATTCCGGCCGAAGGTACGACAATGGCTGAGTTTATTTAAAGACTCAGACTGTTGTCCTTGCAGCCTGTATTTATTTCTAGTACGTTAGCCTGGCTTTCTGAACCTGCCTGACCCCGTTTCCATTTCTACCTCAGCGGACGCTGCTCCCGAGGCCTGCCCCGGACGCAGACGTCGCCGAGTTAAGAAGCTCTCACTGGACACTGACACCGACAGCGCCTACCACAGCCTTACCAGCAGCAGCGGTGACATGATCAAGCCTGAAGACAAGACATCTCCCGAAGAGAAGTTCTTCTTCACACTGTGGAAGACCTCCAGCACCACCGTCACCATCACCACCTTCTCCACCAACCGCTCCATCACCGTCTCCGCCTCGGTCATGTGCACGTATAGCGGACTAGTTCTTAACGTGTGTTGAGGCGGGGAACTCTGACACAAGCGACTCTCTGGTCTTCTGTTCATCCACTTTATTTTGATTAACCTGTGAACGTCATTTTACCCTTGGTTATAGCGCTACATATTACTGAGTCTTGGTTGGCATTAGCATTAGTTTTACGTTTTTAGAACATATTTGGCGCAATTTGATGAAAAAACAAAACAATGTTATATAATTTATACTGGATAACCTGCCAGTGATAGTGATTATGCCCCCTCCCCCCCTCCTAGACACAGACCCTCTCATGTCACCTTCCTCCATCGCTTGCCGACCGTGTGTTTCCACTCTATCACAACTTGTACTGTCTATAACGTAAGACGGAAGAAATAACGTTGATGAACAAGGGGACAAAAGTTTTGACAGGATGCTGTTTATAATGTATGTACATAATTGACCCCTGTGAATAGATATAAGTATTAAAAAAACAAAACATTATTTGTATTTTTTTTCCCAACTACAATATACGGAGTTAGAATGTTGTGACTACTGATGGAAGAGCCAAGAGGGGTGTGAAGGTTAGGTTAGGTTAGGTGATTTAATGGTGTTATAGTGATCTTCAATGACTAGTAATAGAACGTTTAATGTTCACCGTTCAACCATACTTTGCAAGAACGGTTATGGGGTGTACCGATGCCATTTACGATGACCTTCGTGCCCTGATCTTTTTTCAGCAATATCGCCTTTAACACATGGAACTCTGCACCTTTCGAAGATTTGGAAGAGTCTCGAAGCAAGTTTCCTGGTGGGAATTAGTAGCTAGGACTGTACTCAAAATATAGAAACTTCGAGATCTCTCCAGAGCTCCGAAAAGGTGGTATTCCTGAAACAAGATCAGGGCAAGAAAGTCATCGTAAATGGCGTCGTACACCCCATAACTGCACCCTCCCACAGCTAGTCATTAGATCCGCCCACAGCTGGTCAATTAGGCCATCTTGTTGAGGCAAGACACTGTGCTACCGAGAAGGCTTTTCGCATTACAGTATATAACTCTCCGACGATCACCATCAAGCATATAGACAGTAGACACTAAGGACAACTCAGGCACTTTCCTTCTGTGTTTTAAATATCTATTTTTCTAATAACCTTATTTAAATATTTTTATTGTTAAGGGAGTCATATAACTTACTTATAAACAAAGAGTAAATAAAAACAGAAAGAAGAAAGCTTGGAGATGGCTCTCACACCCGCCTTGGGGGACGTTAGAGACGACGTAAACAGTTTATCGAGTCAACTCTGTCTTACCTTCACGTGAGTCAGTTGCGAGCCAGAAAAAGAATTGCTGCAGAGAGCCATCTTGATGACAAATACTATGACTAGCTATCCATTTTCAAGTTCGATGTCATCAATTTGTGGAAAGACATAAAGTTCTACATATTATACCCCGATAAATCTGACAAAAATTATAGGCCCAATAACGTTATTGAGTATTAGTCCACAATATCGCGCAACTTTTCCTCTTCGACACTAGGGGTCACAGTCCTGATTTCTACAGCTATACAGATTTACAGCAACATTTATATGGAAATTGGCTTCATAGAAGGAAAGGACCTGGTTTAAGAAATTAGATCCATCCTCAATAATACAGACCACAAAATTTCAATACAATATAGGTTGTCCTGAAACACTGACTAAGGCTCCGGGCTAAAAAAACAAAAACAACAACCTGGTATGTACTTGGTTTAGGAAAACCTTCTCTCGTTCTGGCTCTGTGGTGCTAGAGGATTGGCACAACTGGCACCATTGGTAAACTTAAATCTGCTGAAAGACAATGAACCTAAGGGTAAGATACAGTGGGACGAAAGTCCTCAAATAATTAATACAGCAGAGTTACCGAACACAGGCACTGGGCTAGTTTATCGGACACGATGTCAAAGAATTACAGGGTCCAACAAGGAAGTTTTGGTGTTAATGTCTGACATCTTGGACTTAGAAAATAAGAGGGTATGAGTGCCTAAGGGGCCACTGGTTATCTTGGCAGGTTACATATAGTGAAGGAGGAATAAGTGTAAATAGAGAGGATTCCCTGTACAGGTTCATCAGTTTACAGCAAAGTGTGGTCGGTCCTTAATGTTGTCAAGTGTCATAAACACTGACAACAGTGAGGGACATATCTCTTAGTGTAATTGTCATGCTGTGTGCGTGAGAAAGTGAATTATCAAGGGTGAGATCCACGGGGCGGAAGGGAAAGTCCCTTTATGACATGGATATGTAAGCCACGTGAACGTCCTTGCTGTAGTCTGCAGTCCTTAGGGAGAGCTCATCATGGTGGGGTGTTTAGCTAGAGTGAGAAGAGTGAAGAGAGCAGGTGTAGGGCCCACACTGTGGGCTGCAGGAGGCGGCATGTTTGAGGTGCACACCTTGAGGAAGTACGCCCTTGGGTCCAGTAGGGGGGGGGGCAGGGACGAGGTAGGAGTCGGTGTGTGTGTCGCAATTAGTGCTGAAGGCATCGAGCAGGCAGGGTCAACCAGGACAGCGAGGGCTGAGGCAGCAGTATTGGACATCAGTGTCCAGGAGGGCCTGGAGGGAGGGGTGTATAGTTCATAGGGCAGTCATCAACTTTAGCTAGTGATGTTTCTGTTATCTACTGCTAGTAGGGACTAGCTGCTAGCTGTTGCTGCTGGGGACTGATGGTGGGGGTGGTTAACTGCTGCTAGCTGGGACTCTGTTAGATGCTGCTAGTGAGGACTTTGTTAACTGCTATAAGTGAGGACTGTGTAGCTACTGCGAATGGTGGATTGTGTTAGCTATTACTAGTGGGTACTATGTTTGCTATTGATTTGGTAACATTTGCTAGTGAGGACTCTGCTAGCTGCTTCTTGTGGGGACTGTGTAATCTGTTGCTAGCAAGGACTGTGTTAGCTGTTGCTGGAAATTAGAACATATCAATACAGATACAAGGATGCGTCCTTTGCGTCCAGGTACTGAGCAGCTTCTCCTCCGTGTGTGGACACTTTGTTTATGGGATCACACCAGAGGTTTGATTTTGTCTTGATGTTGTTTTTGAAAGATGTGTTTATATGTAAGGCTTTTTATCGTGTTTCTGTGTCAAAAGATTAGAGTCATGACATCTTTGAAAGCCTTATTTTAATATATTATAAATATTACCTTTGTCCACTAACACATAATATTTCCCAAAACAGTATCACGACAATTTTAAACCCCTGATATACCACAGTAAGAGAGGTGTTGAAGCAGCAGCTCCATTGTGACAATTGCAAGGCCGTGCGCCTTGCAATATGTATATTTTTTTTATTTTCCACACTCTTTCCTCCTCTAATTTTAGATTTTAGTTTCCTGCGTGGGTACGATAATTCTTGACTTGCCTTTCGTTCTTGTTTGGATCTTATATATTTTGATTTCATGATTTTTCAAGCTATATATTTACATGAAGAAACATTCCTGTTTTTATAAAGCATAATAGACACAATAATAGACATGACGTCCACAGTGAGGTTTGTGATATGATGTCTGAACAAACTTTACCTTCAGCTTCCTTCGCAAGTTTCCTTTTTTTGTATCACATGCTGGTGGGGGAAGTTATATATATATATATATACAAGAGAAACCAACAGAAGTCACTTACAATCCCTAGGAACGCCACAATGGTAAGAACTTGTGGAAAATCCCTAACGCGTGTTGGTGCCTCATAAAGATTTACTTATTACTTTTACGACTTTGTGTCAGTCAATATGTGCTTCAGTTTAAGGCAGTTTTGAATCTTGTCAGTCGTCAGGATTTGTGTCTCAACAAGGAGATGACACTACTTACTTCACTCCGGTCTTTACTGAGAGTATGATAAGCGGTGATGCTGGTCGAGGTGTTCTCCAAGACCCACACCACCACAACAACAGCTAACATCTTCTTTATCTTAACTTACAGAAAGTTTCGGTGTGTGTCGTCCTCCTCTTGATCCTAAGCTCTATGGCAGAAGGAGTTCAAGAAGAAGGAGGTATTGTGTGTAGGGCGCCGTGATTGATTGATTGATTATACAAAACTTGCATTAATAACTTAGTGTAAATTGTCATAATATAACTTACTCTGTTTGATATATGAGGCTGTCAGGGATTTTTAAACCAGATCCTATCACCAGTCTAACAAATTATGATAATTTCCTTCCAGATGGAAAAGAGGCCAAGTTCTTCATTAAGAATTATTCAACAATCACCTGGACTTTCTTGTCATCATTCACCTCAACTGTCCCCTACACTTGTTACCTAAGTAAGTTTCCATCACTCAGTTGGATACTAAGATAATTGGGCAGTACTGTACCTTCCATGTACGTGGCGAACTGTAGTGTAATAGTCAGCATTTTTGCCTCGCAAGACAGTGGTCCTGGGTTCGCTCCCCAGACAGGGTGAAACTCTGGGTAAATTTCTTTAAGCCATTTTTCTCTTATTAACTCACACTATTTGGTAACTTGGATGTTAACTGATTACAGATCGTGGCGAGCTGTCCTGTCTTGATGGTTTATTCCTTGACATAACTTCATACAATTCAATAGGTGGTCCTACGCTCGGTCAGCCTCGATCACGAGAGGAGCAACTGTGGGGAATTATTTGTAGAAACTTTTATTATACAATTCATGGTGTAATAAATGTTATTTCCGGGCGCTTGAGTGGTTTATAACGATACATTAATGTTTTATACTTTCCCGAATTCCACAATTTTCTGCATTACTCCTTGTGGATGTGTGTTGTAGGTCTTGCTGCGGCTGAGGGATGCGCAACAGGCCGTCGACTTAGACGCTCCAGAAGTCTTTCCTTAAACCATGAGGCGACCGTCACTGATCTCCTCAGTAGTACTGACGAAGGCAGTTTAGACGTACTTGACGGATTGTCTAACCAGGAAGAAAAATTATTCTTCACACTGTGGAAGACCTCCAGTAGCACCGTCACCGTCACCACCTTCTCCACCAACCGCTCCGTCACCATCTCCGCCTCCCTTATGTGTATTTATCCTGGAATAGTAGCCAATCCGTGCTAACACGGACACTATCGACCACTGTACGATGTTCCTCCTTCCTTAACACTATACTCACTCTGTTGTTCTTGCGCTCACTCTGGACCCACCTTTTGGGAGGTCACATTTTCAAGACTTTATTACGGCTGAACGTAAACTAGATTAACTTATATTAATATGTGAATATTGTATATACATAACTGACCCCTAATAAATACATGGACTTGCAGATTATCTTCTGTTGTTTTATATCTTTGTTTATTTTTGGTGATTATTTGATGTAAAGTTTTGACAGAGGTATGGAGCCTGAGGGAGAGGAAGGGGTGAGGGGCCGCGGGTAAAGAACCACATGTGTTTATGGACACTGAGAACATGTTTGTCGGCAGACACTTTGCTCTGGACATAGATAATTGTGTAATAACTGCCTTTGGTACCTCCATGTGAGCACATGGGCAGAACATACCATACAGAAAACTCAGATCAAACAACGATGACCCCAAATGGATAAATAATTATTTGAAGAATATTATTGGACAAAGGAAGGCTATAGGTTAGAGAATAAAGCGTGGTGAAGTCTACCTCTGAGATTATTATAAGGTAGTAGGGTTAAGACCGAGATAAGCAAAGCAAAGAAGAATAATGCACTGGAGGTAGCAAGGGAGGCGAAGTCAAACACCAAGGGATTCTTTAAAATGTATTAAACTAAAACACGAGAAAAGATTGGGCCAGTTCAGTCAAATACCGGCGAGCTAACTGATAACGACGGGGAAATGAGCAATAATCTGAATAGATATTTTTCAACAGTTTTCACCACCGAAAATTTAAATATGATATCCGAGGCACCGACTCTATTCAGAGATAGTGAAGAAAACAAATTAAGCGAGATAGTAGTGACTAGTAACGATGTTAGTAAGCAAATAGACAAACTAAAGCCTAATAAGTCGCCTGGTCCCGATGAGATATTTACATAAGAACATAAGAAAATAAGGAGTCTGCAATAGGCCGGTTGGCCTGTGCATGGCAGCTCCTGTCGAGAGTTACTACCACTCTCTATCATCCATGAATCTATCCAGCCTCCTTTTGAAACTTCCCAGCGTTCCAGCACTTACTGCAAAGTTGCTAAGCTTGTTCCACTCGTCCACCACCCTATTTGTAAACCAGTTCCTTCCTATCTCCCTCCTAAACCTAAACTTATCCAACTTAAATCCGTGGTTCCGAGTCTTATCCTGCTCGGATATTATAAGAACTTTATCTATATCACCTTTATTTATTCCTTTCACCCACTTAAATACTTCTATCATATCTCCCCGCACTCTTCGCCTTTCTAGGTAATGCAAGTTTAGTTTAGTTTAGCTTAGGAATGTAAGGAAGAGCTTAGTATGCCCTTAGCAAAGTTGTTTAACATGTCCCTAAAAACGGGTGTAGTACCAGAATCCTGGAGGATAGCGAATGTAATACCGATTTTCAAGATGGGAGATAGATCACTATCCTCTAACTACCGTTCAATCAGTCTAACATCAATTGTAGGCAAATTACTGGAAGCAATACTTTCAAACTTTATTCGAAATCACCTGTAGAAGCACAAGTTGATCAATGATTCCCAACATGGCTTCACAAGCGGGCGCAGTGCCGGATTTAGACCTGTGGAGGCCCATGGGCAGCCTCTTTGTGGAGGCCCCCTCATTATAACTACCCAAGAGTTGTGGGGTGGCGAGTGAAGCGAGCCTAAACATCTGGGAGTTCCGGGGGGCGCTGTAAGCCCCCCGGGAAAATTTTGAAATTTGAACACTTCTGTGGAGAAATTTGAAGCCATATGCAGTTATATTGAGGAAATTAGAACATTAAGAAATTTTTAATTAACTGTATATTTATTGATAGTGTACAAATTTCCAACACACGCACACACACACACACACACACACACACACTCACACACACTCACACACACACACACACACACACACACACACACACACACACACACACACACACACTATACCGCCCTTCAGGATTTATTGAACAGTCTCCAAAACTGGGCCACCAACAACCATGTCACCATCAACCATACCAAGACCATGGTTATGCACATCAACCTCTCCTCCGACATTGTCCCACTTCCTTCCATTACTCTAGGTCCGAACACACTCCAGGTTGTAGATTCCACGAAGCTCCTCGGCGTCACCATAGACAACAAACTAAATTGGAAACCACACTTAAGTGAAGTTGTCAAATCCTCCAGTTTCCGTCTCCACCTCCTCCGCCGACTCAAGTCCCTCGGAGTTCCCGCACACGAGCTCCTCAGTGTATACACAACATTCATACTTCCCAAGCTCACCTATGCCTCCCCCACCTGGTCTTCCTCCCTAAATGCCACACAACGTAAACACCTAGAAAAAGTGCAAAAGAGGGCATGCAAGATTATTCTCTCCCCTTCCTACTCCACATATCAAGAAGCGCTCAACACACTGACCCTTTCGACTCTCACTGACCATCACCACGGCCTCATCTGCAAATTTGGTAAGAAGCTTCTACACCATCCCCGACACCGGCCCCTACTACCACCTGAGATCCCCTGTCCGAGAATTGCTGTTCGACACCACAACCGCATCCAGCCCATACGTGCACGAACTGATCGCTATAACAACAGCCCAGTCCCAACTATTGTAAAAATTATCAATAACTTGTAATAAATCAGTGTATTCACTCCCAGTAAACACTGCTCCTTACACTGTCACTATGTTGAAATGAACTGTAGTTTGAGTTTTTCCCCATCTAGTTATTATATGTCTTATTTGTGTCACTTATGTTACTTGTATATTATTTGTAATTCGTAACCCATTCCCCAAATATGTAACTGTATATTTTCAGCCTTCTGGCTGCCAAGCTCTTTCAATAAACCGTTAATTATTATTATTATTATTATTACACACACACACATTCGGATAGGCCCTCACATTATCACTGCTGGTCTGTAATAAGTAAGACATCCTCAATCGCTGATATCGTGCTATCAAGTGAGCTGGTTGGTGTACTGTAAACTGTTTATTTCACCTCTGTTTCCATCATTGTTGGTTTGTTTTACCCAGACTCCTGCCGACATTATTACCCACAATGTTGTATTATTGTGACTACCTTTAATGCCAAGATTGTAAACAGCTGTCGTCCAAGATGATGATAATAATGTGCCCTACAAGGTGGAGTTGTCATGGACGCGTCCTTGAATGTGAGCTTCGGGTTATTAGGTGTTGAAGCGTATTAATAAAGTTGATATAAAGTTTATATCAACTTTATTAATTCTCGTGTGATAACTTTGGTCGTGAGTGAGAAAGTTTTACAAGTGTGGACAAACCTGCGCTAAAAAATAATCTCGTACAATAACCATACTTGTACAATAGACTAGTACTTGTAATGACCCAGACAATTAATACTACTTGTTGGCTAAGGGAGATCTTTTCATAATCTAGTAAAAGTCTATCTAGAATAATCATGAACTTGTATTTGTAATCAACTTTGTTAAAGAAATCTGAAATTATACTTGGCAGCTGAAGTTGGATAATACTTAATGAAAAGTTAACAATGATGACGATGACGACACTGGGTATTTGTCATAAGATCTCCAAACATTTTATGCAGGATGAGGAAACCCGCGGATACTTGAAATAAGATACCATGGTTGGTAGAGACGGCGTACAATATAATAAACCGTGGATGGTAAACCCGCGGTTGGTGAAGGTAGTTCATTTCCTTTCACTGAATAAACTCACATAGTTGTTTAAGCCAATAAAGACCAGTATGAACCAATCACGTATTGCATAAGACAAATTGATCAATAAATCCCAACAAAACGTTGCTCTTATTATGTCTTGGCACAAACTGTTTCACACATCATTAGTGTCTGCCGACAAACATGTTCTCAGTGTCCATAAACACATGTGGTTCTTTACCCCCGGCCCCTCACCCCTTCCTCTCCCTCAGGCTCCATACCTCTGTCAAAACTTTACATCAAATAATCACCAAAAATAAACAAAGATATAAAACAACAGAAGATAATCTGCAAGTCCATGTATTTATTAGGGGTCAGTTATGTATATACAATATTCACATATTAATATAAGTTAATCTAGTTTACGTTCAGCCGTAATAAAGTATTGAAAATGTGACCTCCCAAAAGATGGGTCCAGAGTGAGCGCAAGAACAACAGAGTGAGTATAGTGTTAAGGAAGGAGGAACATCGTACAGTGGTCGATAGTGTCCGTGTTAGCACTGATTGACTACTAATCCAGGATAAACACACATAAGGGAGGCGGAGATGGTGACGGAGCGGTTGGTGGAGAAGGTGGTGACGGTGACGGTGCTACTGGAGGTCTTCCACAGTGTGAAGAATAATTTTTCTTCCTGGTTAGACAATCCGTCAAGTACGTCTAAACTTCCTTCGTCAGTACTACTGAGGAGATCAGTGACGGTCGCCTCATGGTTTAAGGAAAGTTTTTTGGAGCGACGCAGTCGACGGCCTGTTGCGCAATCTCCAGCCGCATCATCACCTACAACACACATCCACAAGGATTAACACATAACATTGTGAAATTCGGGAAAATATAAAACATTAATGTATCGTTATAAACCACTCAAGCGCCCGGAAATAACATTTATTACACCATGAATTGTATAATAAAAGTTTCTACAAATAATTCCCCACAGTTGCTCCTCTCGTGATCGAGGCTGACCGAGCGTAGGACCACCTATTGAACTGTATGAAGTTATGTCAAGGAATAAACCATCAAGACAGGACAGCTCGCCACGATCTGTAATCAGTTAACATCCAAGTTACCAAATAGTGTGAGTTAGTAAGAGAAAAATGGCTTAAAGAAATGTACCCAGAGTTTCACCCTGTCTGGGGAGCGAACCCAGGACCACTGTCTTGCGAGGCAAAAATGCTGACTATTACACTACAGTTCGCCACGTACATGGAAGGTACAGTACTGCCCAATTATCTTAGTATCCAACTGAGTGATGGAAACTTACTTAGGTAACAAGTGTAGGGGACAGTTGAGGTGAATGATGACAAGAAAGTCCAGGTGGTTGTTGAATAACTCTTAATGAAGAACTTGGCCTCTTTTCCATCTGGAAGGAAATTATCATAATTTGTTAGACTGGTGACAGGATCTGGTTTAAAAATCCCTGACAGCCTCATATATCAAACAGAGTAAGTTATATTATGACAATTTACACTAAGTTATTAATGCAAGTTTTGTATAATCAATCAATCAATCACGGCGCCCTACACACAATACCTCCTTCTTCTTGAACTCCTTCTGCCATAGAGCTTAGGATCAAGAGGAGGACGACACACACCGAAACTTTCTGTAAGTTAAGATAAAGAAGATGTTAGCTGTTGTTGTGGTGGTGTGGGTCTTGGAGAACACCTCGACCAGCATCACCGCTTATCATACTCTCAGTAAAGACCGGAGTGAAGTAAGTAGTGTCATCTCCTTGTTGAGACACAAATCCTGACGACTGACAAGATTCAAAACTGCCCTAAACTGAAGCACATATTGACTGACACAAAGTCGTAAAAGTAATAAGTAAATCTTTAGGAGACACCAACACGTGTTAGGGATTTTCCACAAGTACTTACCATTGTGGCGCTCCTCGGGATTTTAAGTGACTTCTGTTGGTTTCTCTTATATATATATATATATATATATATATATATATATATATATATATATATATATATATATATATATATATATATATATATATATATATATATATATATATATATATATATATATATATAACTTCCCCCACCAGCATGTGATACGAAAAGGAAACTTGCGAAGGAAGCTGAAGGTAAAGTTTGTTCAGACATCATATCACAAACCTCACTGTGGACGTCATGTCTATTATTGTGTCTATTATGCTTTATAAAAACAGGAATGTTTCTTCATCTAAATATATAGCTTGAAAAATCATGACATGAACGAAAGGCAAGTCAAGACTTATCGTACCCAAACAGGAAACTAAAGTCTAAAAGCTTACGAGGAAAGTGTATGTTAAATTCTCTAGCGAATGGCTACAGGGTCCAAGAGAAGAATTTATGCCCTACAGCTTGCAGTCATCCCAATGGAGCTGCTGCTTCAGCACCTTCATTACCGTGTCACGTCAAGGGATCAATATTGGTGTCTTACTGTTTTGGGAAATATTATGTGTATATTTGTGTTGCAAATATTTATAATATATTAAAATAAGGCTTTCAAAGATGTCATGACTCTAATCTTTTGACACAAACACGATAAAAAGCCTTACATATAAACACATCTTTCAAAAACAACATCAAGACAAAATCCAACCTCTGGTGTGATCCCATAAACAAAGTGTCCACACACGGAGGAGAAGCTGCTCAGTACCTGGACGCAAAGGACGCATCCTTGTATCTGTATTGATATGTTCCAATTTCCAGCAACAGCTAACACAGTCCTTGCTAGCAACAGATAACACAGTCCTCACAAGAAGCAGCTAGCAGAGTCCTCACTAGCAAATGTTACCAAATCAATAGCTAACATAGTACCCACTAGTAATAGCTAACACAATCACAAATAATACCACCATCACCAGCAGCTAATACAGGCCCTACTAGCAGTAGCTAACATAACCATCACTAACTAAAGCTGATGACTGCCCTATGAACAATACAATACACCCCTCCCTCTATGCCCTCCTGGACACTGTTATATATATATATATATATATATATATATATATATATATATATATATATATATATATATATATATATATATATATATATATATTCACGGCAAACTTCAAGTAATGAATGCAGTGTCTTGATATATGAGCTCTGTTCATCTGCTTCCTATACTGTTCATTCAGAACCGATTTCTCCATTTTATTCTAATACAGGAATGGCTACTCCTATCACTACGGTCTTCTTCTCGTAAGCAGTATATTAACACATCATCATCCATCAGCACAAATGTTAGCCGATATTCATATTAATATCCTTCCCATCTCTTTTCGAGAAGTTGTCTTTCGAATCAAACTGCTCCGTTGTCAGTTTCACTCTGTGTTAGTGGGAGGGTCGGCCTAGAGTTCTGCCGTCCAGCAAGGGTGCAACAGGCTATGCGCCCTTTGCCATTGGTGTATAACGAACATCAGAACGGGACTGTACTTCCTCAAGGTGTGCACCTCAAACATGCCGCCTCCTGCAGCCCACACCTGCTCTCTTCACTCTTCTCACTCTAGCTAAACACCCCACCATGATGAGCTCTCCCTAAGGACTGCAGACTACAGCAAGGACGTTCACGTGGCTTACATATCCATGTCATAAAGGGACTTTCCCTTCCTCCCCGTGGACCTCACCCTTGATAATTCACTTTCTTACGCACACAGCATGACAATTACACTAAGAGATATGTCCCTCACTGTTGTCAGTGTTTATGACACTTGACAACATTAAGGAAAGACCACACTTTGCTGTAAACTGATGAACCTGTACAGGGAATCCTCTCTATTTACACTTATTCCTCCTTCACTATATGTAACTTGCCAAGATAACCAGTGGCCCCTTAGGCACTCATACCCTCTTATTTTCTAAGTCCAAGATGTCAGACATTAACACCAAAACTTCCTTGTTGGACCCTGCAATTCTTTGACATCGTGTCCGATAAACTAGCCCAGTGCCTGTGTTCGGTAACTTTGCTGTATTAATTATTTGAGGACTTTCGTCCCACTGTATCTTACCCTTAGGTTCATTGTCTTTCAGCAGAGTTAAGTTTACCAATGGTGCCAGTTGTGCCAATCCTCTAGCACCACAGAGCCAGAACGAGAGAAGGATGGCCAAAGTTACGTTCCATTGTTTTCCTCTACCAAGTAAATACTATTTTATTTATTTTTGTTTTTTTATCCCGGAGCCTTAGTCAGTGTTTCAGGACAACCTATATTGTATTGAAATTTTGTGGTCTGCATTATTGAGGATGGATCTAATTTCTTAAACCTGGTCCTTTCCTTCCATGAAGCCAATTTCCATATAAATGTTGCTGTAAATCTGTATAGCTGTCGAAATCAGGACTGTGACCCCTAGTGTCGAAGAGGAAAAGTTACGCGATATTCCAAAAGTGAATACTTACTGTGGACTAATACACAATCACGTTATTTGACCTTTAATTTTTGACAAACTTATCGGGGTATAATATGTAGAACTGGTATCGAACTTTGCGATGTAACAATGCCTCAAACGTCGGCAGATAGGAAACGGTCTGCCTCTTTTCGCGACTCCCACTTGTTTCCATCTGAAAATTTTTCTTTGTCCACACGTAGCCTGTATCTTTCACTAATAGTTCATCTATGGAAGTTACGTTGGTCATCTCTCCAATACTGTCAGTCGTTATCCAGTCTTGCCATTTAACACAAAAATCCTGACGACTGACAAGATTCAAAACTGCACTAAACTGAAGCACACATTGACTGACACAAAGGCGTAAAAGTAATAAGTAAATCTTTATGAGACACCAACACGTGTTAGGGATTTTCCACAAGTTCTTACCATTGTGGCGCTCCTAGGGATTGTAAGTGACTTCTGTTGGTTTCTCTTATATATATATATACATAACTTCCCCCACCAGGATGTTCTAATTATATCTATGTGATACAAAAAGGAAAATCGTGAAGGAAGCTGAATGTAGAGTTTGATCGAGCAACACATCATACAGTTCATTGTAGACATCATTTTTTTTATTGTATCTGTTATGCTGTAGTAAAACAGGAATGGTTCTTCGTGTAGATACTTGGCGACATAAACGATAGACAAGTCAAGAAATACCATAGCTGAACAGGAAACTATAATCCAAAAACATATGAGGAAAGCAATGGCTAAACTCGCTAAAGATTGGTTGTAGGGCCCGAGCGGGGAGCTTATGCTATACAGTTTGCAGTAGTCCCAATGGAGCTGCTGCTTCAACACCTCTCTTACTGTGTAATATCAAGGGTTCAAAATTGTCGTGATACTGTTTTGGGAAATATTATGTGTAAGTGGACAAAGGTAATATTTATAATATATTAAAATAAGGCTTTCAAAGATGTCATGACTCTAATCTTTTGACACATAAACACGATAAAAAGCCTTACATATAAACACATCTTTCAAAAACAACATCAAGACAAAATCAAACCTCTGGTGTGATCCCATAAACAAAGTGTCCACACACGGAGGAGAAGCTGCTCAGTACCTGGACGCGACCTTGTTTCTATGTTTATAATGTCTACTTTCCAGCAACATATAACACAGTATCCACTAGCAGTAGCTAATAGAAGTCCCCACTATCATTAGCCAACAATGTCTCTACTAACAGCAGCTAGTATATTCCCCACTAGCAGCTGTTAACAGAGCAGTAGCTAACACAGACACCTTTACTAAGCGCTAACACAGTCAACATTTGTAATAGCTAACATAGTCCCTACTAGCAGTTGCTAATAAAAGTTCCCACTAGCAACAACTGACACAGTCCCCATTAGCAGCAGCTAATAGTTCCTACCACCAGATTCTCCAATTTCCAGAAGAAGCAGCTAACACTGTCCCTGCTAGTAACAGTTTCCACAGTCCCCACTAGCAAAAGCTAAAACTGTCCCTACTAGCAGCAGCTAACGCAGTCCCTACTAGTAACAGTTACCACAGTACCCACTAGCAAACGCTAACACGGTCCCTACTAGTAACAGTTACCATAGTCCCCACTAGCAAAAGTTAACACCAGCCCTACTAGCAGCAGTTAACTGTCAGCGTCATCAGTTAAAACAGTTCCCAGCAACTGCAGCTAACACATCCTCTACTAGCAGCAGCTAACAAAGACATCACAAGCTAAAGCTAATAACTGCCCTACATACACACCTCTCCGCACACACACACACACACACACACTGTTGGTTGACAATACGATCTTTTCAGATATTAGATTATGGGATTAATTACCTATGGGTTTCTTATACACTGTTGTTAATGGATAATGTACCTGTATATCAAGGGAATATAGCACCTTTAGATATCCCTGTCGTCTCTTCCACTGTTGGTCATTATTATCCAGAGTTCTGTGTAGCATTACTGTCTTGCCTGCATGTTGTACAGTCAGTTGCAAGTGCCACATCTCACTGGTGATGAAGGTTAGTATAAGAACACAGTAGAGCCAAGCAGTATATAAAGGAGAAAATATTTTAACTTGAAGGTACGTTAAATCGTTCACCCGGAATATTTAATCAATTAAGTAATATTTGAAGACTTATTTATTTAACTTATTCTAGCCCCGGAGACTCTTAAGTAATTGAATCTCTTAATATTTAATTCTTGGTTACTATTATAATAACTAACTTAGAATGTGGTTCTATAGTCCTTAGTTGTTGAACCGTACTAGTACTTTATATCAACTTTATTAATTCTCGTGTGATAACTTTGGTCGTGAGTGAGAAAGTTTTACAAGTGTGGACAAACCTGCGCTAAAAAATAATCTCGTACAATAACCATACTTGTACAATAGACTAGTACTTGTAATGACCCAGACAACTAATACTACTTGTTGGCTAAGGGAGATCTTTTCATAATCTAGTAAAAGTCTATCTAGAATAATCATGAACTTGTATTTGTAATCAACTTTGTCAAAGAAATCTGAAATTATACTTGGCAGCTGAAGTTGGATAATACTTAATGAAAAGTTAACAATGATGACGATGACGACACTGGGTATTTGTCATAAGATCTCCAAACATTTTATGCAGGATGAGGAAACCCGCGGATACTTGAAATAAGATACCATGGTTAGTAGAGACGGCGTACAATATAATAAACCGTGGATGGTAAACCCGCGGTTGGTGAAGGTAGTTCATTTCCTTTCACTGAATAAACTCACATAGTTGTTTAAGCCAATAAAGACCAGTATGAACCAAACACGTATTGCATAAGACAAATTGATCAATAAATCCCAACAAAACGTTGCTCTTATTATGTCTTGGCACAAACTGTTTCACACATCATTAGTGTCTGCCGACAAACATGTTCTCAGTGTCCATAAACACATGTGGTTCTTTACCCCCGGCCCCTCACACCTTCCTCTCCCTCAGGCTCCATACCTCTGTCAAAACTTTACATCAGATAATAACCAAAAATATAAAAAGGATATAAAACACCAGAAAATTATCTGCAAGTTCATGTATTCCAGCCAAGGACTCCAGACACACGTTCTTCCCCAGCACCTTAGGGATACAAGAACTATCATAGAATGCTTACTCTGACCAGACAATACAGTCTGAAAACAAAGGACAAATCTAAAATACGAATTGAGTTTAAGTGATTATATCGAGTCAAAACTCACTGGAACTTTACTTTACATCTAATAGTTGCTGGTGAGGTGAAGGAATACTGTTTGATGATAATAATACAACACAAATAACAGTGACGAGGTTGACACGCCAGGGTGAAGCTCTTGTGACTTTATAACAAAAAGTTTTAAAGGTGAGCATTCACGAGAGAGTTCTCTCTATCTACATATTGGTGCAGGTCAAACTTCCGGAAGTTTCGTTCTTCGTGAAACGTTCAGGATACAGCAACTTGTTCCTCTTTGTTGGCATGTTCTTCCAGAACTCCAGAGCCTTAGGGATATAAAGAACATTTATTGAAAAAGCGGATTTCACTTGAAGATTAATCATCCTAACGCTATCTGGGATTATGTGTTTAATTTTAAGCTGAAATAAGCTGGAGGCTGATTGATGCAGTTCACGGCACCAAGGTGACTAGTACATACAGTAAACAATATGATCCTCATCACAGGTGTCCACTCAATGTACGACACCTGAGCTTCACAACTATCACCTTTGATGCTGTGTTGTTTGTATCAACTACCAGGTAAGGCGTGTGATGCATCATGTAGACCACGTCGTGCATCATGGTAGTGACTCACCTGAACAAAAACCGTCTCTATCATGGTAGTGACTCACCTTATCGGGCAGGTCGTCCCTCATGGTGGGGGAGGTGGTGAGGGCCAAGTACCACTGACGTGACTGGGTCGTCGGCCACCATCTGAAGCCGAGCGAGCCGTCAGGTGTCGGGTTCCTAGAAAGCACAGTACATGAATTATTGCTCATCACTTTCTCTTTCTTAAACTGACACATTATAATTATAACAAGGGTTAGTCATCTGCATCAACTATGGGTCTCGCCTTGATTTACTGCTGTTCATAAGTTAATCATATTTTACGGGGAGAGAAGGTGGTTTGCTTGTATAGTTGTGGATAAAACTAGATATGTAAAGAACAGCGAGAGTTTAACAATGGTTATGATTTCAACAGTAAACTTCTTATACACTGAGTCATACACAAATCATGATTCTAAAATGATATAGTCGTCATATTACCCAGTAGCAGCGAAGTTGGTCCATAGAGTCAGCATTACGTCCCTCAAGAAGAGGTCTGCAGGTCGTCCCAGAGACATGGTTATGTTGTTAATTGTTATATTGAAGATGTAGAGCAGGTCGTCTCCGTGACTCACCCCTGTAACAGTTATGTCTTGAGATAATATATAATGATAGATTAGACTGGTACAAAACAGACTGGAAATTTTAAGAGAATATCAGGCATGGATAAGGTTCCAGGATTCATAAGGAGACATTACTTCACACAGAGGATGGTAGACCAATAGAATAGTCTACCGGCTCAACCTGTAGAAATGAGGAGAGTACTGGGTTTTAAAATAGCCCAAGCCAAGGCTACAAACTACCTAACCTAATCCAACCCTTAATCTGCTGATCTTCCCATTTTGATTGACTTCTGTGGTGTTGTGGTCCTGCAAAAGACAAGACGCGTCAACTTACAGTGTTTTGGAATCGCTGTCGTTGCATTGGCGAGATCAGAAATGCTGTATTGTGCACGGTGTTGCAGCTCATACTTAAACACTGAGTGAGGTTTTGACCAGGTCGTGTGTAGCTGAGCAGATTCCTCTTGGGGAACTCTTACGATTCCGTCAGTTATCATCTACAAGAAAAAATAAATAAACTTGTTTCCCTTTGTTGATGTACGAGTTAGTTATTGCAGCTTAAGTTTATTTTAATCACTTAGGTCATCCTGGTCTTACGTAATGTATATGCCAGTTCAGCGTTGAAGGATGCCTAAACATTATACTAAAGGCACTATCCTAACTTAAGTGTATAGTAATTAGTGTATGACTTTGAAACTAAGTGGATAAAATACTTTCCTTACTTTTAATAAACGTCACTAGGATACCGTAAAGTATACACACCATCATTTATGTATAATTAATGTAGTTTTACTTACTTGATTTATTTCCTCAATTTTTTCCCCTGATAATTTTGTTTCCCCGAGATAATGGTAGTAGGCACGACGAGCCATGTACACTGGAGACTCTTCCCATGCCCCATAATACAACGATGCTGGCCCAGCTGTTGTAAATTCACGTTCCAACTTCTCCGCTTCCTTTTTCAAACCAGTCTTGATAACTATGTAGACGTGATTTCATGTTAATGTTTTGTATATGCCATTATTTTAAAATATTATGTATTTTTTAATTATTGCAGTACATTATTGTATAATAATTATGATTCCCTCAAAGATCTGAACTACAGCAGTGATAACAGCATTGGTCAGTATTATGCAGGACACGTACGGGCAGCAAACATGGCTCCTTCGTGTTGGGTGTGACCGGAGATAAGGTCCACTTTGTTGAATCTTCCAGTCTTTATCAGTGTGGCTGGGTGGTCTGGCAGGTAGTCTCCGTCCACTCTAGGTGTCATTACCAGAGGCTGTACGTACCACACCTGTGAAATATACTATATAATAGGAACCTCGCTAAGTATTTTTGATCTTGCCCGTGAAAGTTACAAGTCGCCGTGATCACAAAACCAAAGTCATGCACTGCCATATATTTTCTCTTCAGTCACTGGCAATCATTCATTATAAATCCATGTGAAAATGCATACAGGTCACGAGTCTGAGATGGCTTTGGGTACTAACGCGAAAGGTGTTAGCCACAGGCACGAGTTTCTCAAAAGGGATTCTCTGGAGGCAGGCGAGAAGCTGGGTGCTGTCCAGGGCGGTGGAGGATGGACTCGAGTCTGAGCAGTTGAAGATGTTACCCACCTTGATGGCCACCTGTCTGTGACCCTCACTCACGGCCCAAGGACTCAAGGCCGAGCCTGACTGTAGGATGGCCCGGTTGAACAACCCTGCAGGTGAAATACAGAGAAACATTGTACAATGCTGTGAGATATACTGATGAAACACTATACAATACGTGTGAGGATATTATTATTATTTCTGTTGTTCAAATACATTTGATCATTCTATGCAGAATGTAATTCACCACATATGACATGGATTGTGTACTGTACTTTACTGTACAAAAACATATGGGTTACCCCTGGCGTATGGTGTGAGCATCTGAAGGTGAGCAGAGCCACCCCCAGAACTCTCCCCGAAGATGGTGACCGTGGTTGGGTCACCGCCAAGGTCCTGGACGTTGTCCTGCACCCAGCGGAGGGCCAGCGTCTGGTCCTTCAGCCCCAAGTTACCCGGCAGTACTAAATCCTCCGTCGAGAGGAAACCTGATGAAGAACAAGACAGTGAAAACTTTCTCACAGTGACTGAGGTGGGTGTGAAATGTGACGTTGGGATTGGAGACCTTGTTCAGACACGGCTGGGTAGTGAGAGCATTGTCGAAGTCTTACATAAAGGTAAATTGAGGTGGTTCGAACACATGGAGATTTTGGAGGAGTCTAGTTGGGTCATAAAATGCATGAGGCCAAGAAGGAGGAGAACTAGCGACAGACCAGTAATGATGTGGGGAAGAAGTTGTAAGAAATGACCTCAGAGATAAAAACATGACAAGAGAGGCTGCAAGATACCGTCCTAATTAGGGAGCTGCCAACAGGTACTCACGACCAACTCACCCAAACATATAACAAATTGATGACGATGACTTACATTAATCCATCCCAAAATTTTTATCCATTTAGACAACACTAACCCAGAGTTCCTAGTCGATACTGAACGATGACGAGGACGATGTCTCTGGTGAGGAGGGGAAAAGGGGTGTACAGCTCCCCAGAGCCTGAGTTGAATCCGCCGCCATGGAACCAAACCATCACAGGCAATCCAGATGCATGAGGCTACAGGTGTGAAAATTAATTGATTATATTTAAACAGTACGTCATTAACGGGTGATGATTGAGATATACCATAATCATACTTTAATGTTAACAAGGATCAACTCACAGTATTCTGTCAAGTGTGGGGTAGGTTATTCTGTCAAGTGTGGAGGTATTCTGTCAAGTGTGGGGTAGGTTATTCTGTCAAGTGTGGAGGTATTCTGTCAAGTGTGGGGTAGGTTATTCTGTCAAGTGTGGAGGTATTCTGTCAAGTGTGGGGTAGGTTATTCTGTCAAGTGTGGGTAGGTATTCTGTCAAGTGTGGGGTAGGTTATTCTGTCAAGTGTGGAGGTATTCTGTCAAGGGGTAGGTTATTCTGTCAAGTGTGGAGGTATTCTGTCAAGTGTGGGGTAGGTTATTCTGTCAAGTGTGGAGGTATTCTGTCAAGTGTGGGGTAGGTTATTCTGTCAAGTGTGGAGGTATTCTGTCAAGTGTGGGGTAGGTTATTCTGTCAAGTGTGGAGGTATTCTGTCAAGTGTGGGGTAGGTTATTCTGTCAAGTGTGGAGGTATTCTGTCAAGTTGTCAAGTGTGAGGGGCGGCGGATTGAATACATTCTAGGGACCTCCCATTACATTTTTATGTTAAACAATAAATATGTGTCAGTCAAGTTGTATTAAACAGCGTAAGGGGAACCGACTCACTGAAGGAGTATAGACAGTGAGGTAGAGACAGTCCTCGCTCCCTGTCACATTTTCCTCGTTTCCCAAGCCTAAGCCAAGGCTCTGGGGGCAGGCAGGAAGGGGTAGGGAGCCATTCCTAGGTTCCGTCCACCCACCTGCAGGAATCGGGTCCTGCAGGATATAATCAGAGTATATCCTACTATTCATATTATGCAGAACATTATTTGACTTTATACAATATATATCATCCTTTATATTTCAGTATCTAAAATACATAATTTCAAATTCAAATGAATATTAATCTCTGCAACTTACCTTAAACCTGAGGTCACCGACGGGAGGCTGGGCATAAGGGATACTCTTAAAGCTGTAGAAATACCTTCCTTCCCCAGCCTCTTCCCTGAACCCTATGATGTTGCCTTGTTTTAGCTGCACCTCTACCGTGGCCTCAGGAGGTTGGGCTGACCCGTAAGCCTTCACCGTCACCAGTAACACTCCTACTATTGCTATTAAGTATTGCGTCATACTGAAAATAGGAAACAATTCTACAGAAAAACTTTTACGAGTTCAGTAGCTGAGGTTTACGTGTATTTTGCCATTGCGGAACGATATACGATATTCCTGCTGTGGTTTGTGTCTACTGCCACACCCGAACTCCTGAACTATCATTACAAATACACAGAGCAGTACCTCTAACCACGTATAGAGGTGCTAAACATTATACGGTACCATTACTGTAAGACATATTGTCGATAATTTTCTTCTTATACGTTATGTTTACAATTATCGTATGGGTCCAGCTGCAGAATATGCCACAGGATGGTAACTGATGAGATGCCTTAATACGTTCTTACTGTATAAATAGTTCATAAATAAGCGCTTTTTTTTATGGGGATTAGCCTGGGGGGCGAAAATGTAATACTACTAATAATAATCCATAATAAATAAAATTTATAATAAAAAAATAAATAAAATAATAATAATTCATAGTAAATAAAATTTATAATACAAAATACAAAATTAAAAATAAAATAATAATAATATAATAATAATAATAATAATAATAATAATAATAATAATAATAATAATAATAATAATAATAATACAGGTAATAGATTACTGCCGTAACAGTGAGGTTATGCAACACTTATATACTGAAAGTTCATGTTTGTCAGCTGCAACATTACGAACCTTGCTTTGAGAATCCCGGTCGTGGAGTGACGGGCGGGCAGTCGTTGTCAGAAACACCAATATACTGTAGGAAGGTAAGGTAAGCATGGCGCAATATCAAGGGTTGTCAGAAGAAACAGACACAATTTAATTTAAAGTATCAACGCCCACATTTGATTGATTAAGTAAAGCCAACGATGAGATGATTTTCTGGACAACGGTAGGAGTTCTTCGCCTTGAGAGCTGTAAAGTGGAGAGCAGGACTGAGTTAAATTCCTCACCGCGCGTTTAGAAAGATCAACTGGCAACTGGCAAAGAACTCTCTGTACCTGCTAACCTTGGTCTTGCCTCTCCGTCATAAACAGGGTATAACCCAACCTTTTTATCAGCTGTGTAATATTAGAAATTCCTGGTCACGTGAAGATTCAACACCCGAGCTTACCTCACCTGACGTAACATACTGTATTCAAACCTAATCCACCCTGCCATAACCTAACCTAACCCCACCTTTAGTATTAGGTGAGTAAAATGGGTGTGTACCGTATGTATGTAAAGCACTTTGCGTTGTAGTGCCTTTACGACAGCCTGGTTCAAGAAACAGACAGCCACGGTACAGGGTGTTTAATGATCAGGTAATAAACAGTGTTCGTAATCCTTTAACTTTTTTATAACCAAACGGTAAACTAATTTAATTTTCAATCCCTTATAATTATTGGTTCAGAGAACTATGGGAAAAAGCTTTCAGTTACAATGCTATCTCGAGAAAAAATCAAAAGACACTTTATTTTAATTAACCTTCCCTCTGACACCGTGGATTCAACTTACCTAATAGGAAGGTCAGTCACACTGCCTGGCCCAGTAAAGTTTTCCTAGTGTGTGTGTGTGTGTGTGGTCTTCTTAGTACTCGAGGTATTGTGTAACTGCACGTGCGCTTTGCGTGTGTTTATGTTAATTAAGTAAAATTAATAGTTCACAATAAAGTGATACAATTTATGGAGTTAAATAGTTGCTACTGACGTTAACTAAGAACATAAGAAAATAAGGAATCTGCAATAGGCCGGTTGGCCTGTGCATGGCAGCTCCTGTCGAGAGTTACTACCACTCTCTATCATCCATGAATCTATCCAGTCTCCTTTTGAAACTTTCCAGCGTTCCAGCACTTACTACAAAGTTGCTAAGCTTATTCCACTCGTCTACCACCCTATTTGTGAGCCAGTTCCTTCCTATCTCCCTCCTAAACTTACAGTAAACTTGTCCAACTTAAATCCGTTACTACGAGTCCTATCCTGCTCGGATATTATAAGAACTATATCTATATCTCCATTATTAATTCATTTCACCCACTTAAATACTTCTATCATATCTCCCCGCAATCTTCGTCTTTCTAGGGAATGCAAGTTTAGTTTTTTTAACCTATCTTGATATGGAAGGCTTCTAAGTCCCGGAATCACTTTCGTCATTCTTCGCCGCACCGACTCCAGTGAATTGATATCCATTCTATAATAAGAGCACCAGAACTGAACCGCATAATCGAGGTGCGGCCTGACTAGTGCAAGATATAGTTGCAATATGCCCTCCGCACTCTTATTACTTACACTTCTAGATATAAAACTCAATACTCTGTTTGCCTTATTTCGAACATTAACGCACTGTTTTATAGGCCGTAGGTCCGGGCTTACAAGTACCCCTAAGTCTCTTTCACAAGTCGACTTCTTTAGGTTGATGTTGTTAAGGCTGTATACATTGACAGTATTTGTTCTTCAAATATTAAGTACGCTGCACTTGCTGGTGTTGAATATAATTTGCCATTTTTCTGACCACCCCTGCAGTTTATTTAAATCCTCCTGTAGTGCATTTGCATCCTGTCCTGAATTAATCTGCCGCCCTATTTTGGTGTCATCCGCAAACTTGCTTATGTCACTACTGATCCCAGTATCTAGATCGTTTATGTAGATTATGAATAAGAGTGGGCCCAGTACTGACCCCTGGGGAACCCCATTGGTTACACGGCCCCACTCAGATTTAAAACCATCTACGCTGACCCTCTGTGTTCTATCGGTGAGCCATGATTTTATCCAATTTAAAACTTTTCCTCGATACCATGAGCCTTAACTTTTCTCAGAAGCCTCTGATGCGGTACTCTGTCAAACGCTTTGCTAAAGTCTAAGCAAAATACGTCGTAATTTTCGTCATTATCTACTTCCTCGAAGACTCCTAAAAAACGTTAGCAGATTTGTTAGACAAGATTTTCCCTTTGTAAATCCACGTTGACAGTCGTAGATTCATTTGTTTTTTTCTAAATGCGATCGAATGCTATTTGCTATAATTGATTCAAAAAATTTCCCCACTACTAACGTCAAACTAATCGGCCGGTAATTTGACGCTGATGCTCTGTCTCCCTTTTTGAATATGGGTACTACATTTACCTGTTTCCACAAGTCTGGCACAACTCCCGTGTCTAATGATTTTGTAAATCAATTTACGAGGGGCCCACTAATCTTTTCCTTACACTCTTTCAAACCTCGAGGGAAGATTTCATCCGGCCCTGGGGATTTCGTCTTTAATTTATTTATCTTCTCAGGAACATCCTCTTTTCTGATAGGGATATCCCTTAGTTTCTCTTCTGGTTTACTGGGCGGTGAAAGCTTCCGGGAATTAATAGACAAACATTACGACTCACGTATACAGTAGGTATGAATCCTTTGTTATATCAAGGCTGTGTCACGTTACCACACACCTACACTAACATGAAGATTTATTTTTTCTTGTAGGTTAGGCTAGGCTAGGCTACTGATTCCATAAACAGATCCAAGGCACTTTTAAACGCTGTGTTTTAAAATCCTGATTTAATTGGCAGTAAGCCGTGTGCAGTAATTAGGTCTTCTATGACTTAACTAATAAAGACAAAACAATTCTTCACTTTTATTCAGTTATAATTTTTTCTCCTTCATGAAGTTATTGCCGGTAAATAAAGAACATCCCGACGCTGTTGTGGGTGGTGCAGCCGCGGGTGGGTGGGGGTACCTTCACCACCCGGGCGATACGAGGCACGTTTGGTTCGTCAGGAAACGTTCAGGATACAGCAGCTTGTTCTTCTTGGTCGGCATGTTGTTCCAGAACTCCAAATCCTAAAACAGTATCAACAGGTGAGGTCACGATACCACTACATATAACATAATAATAATGATACAAACTGTAATATAACACGTGGCAAACTTTCAGAGTTATCGGTCTATGATGGAACAGTTTCTATCCTGTTTAATTCACACAGTTGGTAATAAGTGTTGAAAATTCTGTTAGAAAATAATATTCTTTGCTGTTCATTAACGCTTTATATACAGTAGGAGAATTTCCGGTAAGAATTACTGAATGAACATAAATAAAAAGTACAACTTATAAAGTAAAAAATATAAACAGAATCACTTGTGTTCATTCAAAGTCACGGTGTGTCACCTCGGCTTATTAAACAAACACAATTGTTGAACTTTACGCTGTGTTGGCTGTATCAGATACCAGAGAGAAGACGTGTGAAGCAACATGAAGAGCACACCGTTGTATAGTGACTCACCTTATCGGGCAGGTCGTCCGTCATGGTGGGGGAGGTGGTGAGGGCCAAGTACCACTGACGTGACTGGGTCGTCGGCCACCATCTGAAGCCTAGCGAGCCGTCAGGTGTCGGGTTCCTAGAGGGTGAAGATCATGTTAACTCCAAACAACTCCTGTCCCCAACTCCTCTTACCTCTAACCAACGGAACTTATGATTTTCCGGTCAATTTTACAAAGGATTAAACATGCGTCCATCTGGGCTGGTCTTACCCGGTGGCGGCAAAGTTGGTCCACAGCGTGACCATAATCTCTCTCATGAAGAGGTCTGCCGGACGCTCCAGGGGCGGATGTATGTTGGGCAACACATTGAACAGGTACTGGAGGTCGTCAGCGTGTCCCACCCCTGTAACAAACACGACCATCTCAACACATCATCGCCAAGCTAGTTTAAAAAGTCACTTATTTTGATTACGAAAGATGGAGACCGTGATAGTCTGGTCATCTATATTAATACTTATTTACAACCTGCCTCCAATTTTCCCCCACTGAGTTATGTTTACTTTGTAAAATTACTAAATGGAACATGCTAGTGTCTCCTTCCCATACTTATCTTCATAGTTTGTAATTTTTGTTCAGTGAAACACGGAAGAAAGATCAACTCACAGTTCTCGTGTATAGTTGTGTTCTGATGACGTGTTTCTAAATCCGCGATGCTGTGTTGGCCGCGATGCTGCAGTACATACTTGTATACTGTATGACAGGTAGTCGCCTCCCATGCAGTGTGGAACTGTGCAGTTTCCTCATGAGCCGCTCTAAAGTAGTTGTCACTTAATAACTGAAAGAGTTAAATGGCAAATTAATACCACCTTGTTGATGTTTCTGTTTACTAAACATTTCAGGCTTGTGACACTACCGGCAGACCGTGATGTTTATATTCACTTTTAGCTCAAGGACATTGTACAGCTTAGTGAAGCTAACTGTACTACTACGGGACTAAGGCAAAGACAATAAAATTCGTTTAAAGCTTCATTAATGAAGCAGACATCCTCACCTACGTCTGTGTACTAAGATAAAGCTAGGTAGGCAGGTAGTCTATTTTGTTTACAGACTGTACTATGATAACCAGGATATAGCCATGTAAGAAGATGATCATAACTAGACTGTATAAGATAACTTGGTAGATTCGTCTTTGTGTTGTGTATAATAACTTGGGTATGTAATGACTATGACACACGATTCTTCTTCACTTATTATATTTTGATGCTATGGTCGAGTAAACAATGTATAGCTGAGACAGAACGCCTTACCTCTGTAAATTCTTCAGCCTTTTCCTCAGTGATCTTTTTCTCTCCCAGGTAGTAATAATAAGCGCGACTAGCCATGTACTCTGGGTCGTCCTCCCATTCCCGGAAAAACATGGATACTGGTCCAGCTGTAGTGAAGTTCTGTTCTATCTCGTCGATTTTTTCTTTTTCAAACACTACACCTGTGATGATATAATCGTATTTAAATGTTTCAATTTGACACTTTTCTGCTACACCGATGCATTTTTTTAGTAAAGAGAAAAAATATAGCAGAAAACTTCATAAAAACGTAAATAACAGAAAAATTGAAGAGCAAACGTAACGTACTTGAACTATAGAGTGATCCCTCGTGTTGGGTGATGCCGGAGATAAGATCCACCTTATTGTATCTGCCAGACCTCAGCAGGTTGGCGGGGTGGTCAGGCAGGATGTCACCGTCTACTCGTGGCAAAAACACTGTCAGCCAACCATTCCACCCCTGTGACGTAAGAACCTGTTGTCTTTTATTTCTTTCAAGTTTCACTAATACCTAACCATACTCCTTTACTGTTTTTATTTATTTTCGAATATATTTAAAAAAGCCTCGTGGAGCAGCAGTTTTGTTTTACCTAATTTTATCAATAAGCTTACAGTTATTCCTCTAAGATGTAAATACAGTACTGTGGTCAGCTCACTGCCATGCAATAAACAGAAACACTGGTTTAACCTAACAAGTACAGACTGGGTCATCTATCACCCATACACCTCCACTGTTGGTAAACGACACATAAGGACAAACTCTTCTTGAAACCTACTCTTGATATCTTCAGCTCTTGTCGAATGAAACAAGAGTGATTCAGACATAACAGTGATTAAATGTTTCAGAGCTATACATTTTCCACCATCATTCATACCTACTGTACATCCTGCCTCTTATTCCCTGGGGAAAAATATCAATCATCCAAATCTGTTAGCATGTTAAATTAATAAAGCTTCAGTGCCAAAGGATGAATAAACACTAATAATAATTGTTATATCAGTTATTAGCTTAAGGTTGTGATGGATACTAACAACTGGGTCAGGTATGGGTGGGAAGATTAGTTTGTCGACGGGAAGCTGTTGGAGGCAGGACAGCAGCTGGTAGCTATCGATGGCAGAAGACAGCGAGTCAGCGGCAGAGCAGCCTAACAAGTCACCTAATTTGGAGGCCACTTGTTTATGGTTCTCCATTAAGGCCCAGGGGCTCAAGGACGACCCTGACTGTAGGATGGCTCGGTTGAACAACCCTGATGACAGGGAGAGTGAGGAAGAATGAATTGGGTGGTGGCGTGTACTGCAAGAACTTCACAGTGAGATACAACCATATTTACGGGAATATATACAATAACCACCTCATAGACTTGGTGATGGGTCAATCATTACCTTTAGCCTTTGGAGACAACACATGCATGTGGGCAGAAGCCGCTCCAGCGCTCTCCCCGAATATGGTGACCTTGTTTGAGTCACCTCCGAGTTTACCGATGTTGTCCTGCACCCAGCGGAGGGCCAGCAACTGGTCCTTCAGCCCCAGGTTACCCGGCAGTACCAAATCCTCCGTCGAGAGGAAACCTGATGAGAATAGGACAATGATAACACGCGGCTTTATTTACTGACAAGTATCATATCTAAAATGTCGGGTTCAAATTTTGACAGTGACTTTGATATTTAATCTAACGTGACCTAAGCTTTTAAAGACAATGTAATTAAGATTAGAAAAACGTTATGGTATGTAAAGGTCACCTGTACAGTAACTATCGTCCAGGCCAACGTGGCCATATATGACAGATTCGAGACAGTACTCACCAAGGACTCCTAGACGGTACTGGACGACGACGAGAACAATATCCTTCGTCAGCAGAGGCAGGGATGGGTAATAGCCACTCCCGCCTGATCTGAATTCTCCACCGTGAAACCAAACCATCACAGGGAGGCCAGAGGCACGAGGCTGTAGGCGAGCAACAGTTAAATATATCGATAACTGCCAAGCTAATCTGCCCGACTTCACGTATGACAGTCAGGCAGGCATGTGGCAGGTGTATCTTCCCTATATTGTCTGCATTATATTGAACCATTTTGTGTTTTACAAGTGTGTGGTGATGTGATTGTATCATGTGAGGTGGCAGGAGAGCTGCAGCCACACTCACATTAAGATTCTGTACGTGGTTGCTTGTGTACCGTAACTAGATGGTTTAACATCAGCTGACATGGACTATACTGTATATGTCTCGGCGGCTTGAGCAGCCAACGCTTACTTGACCCATGAATAACGTCACATTAGGCGGCTTTGTAATGATATACTTACCGTGGGTGTATACACGTTGAGGTAGAGGCAGTCCTCACTCCCCAATACCTCCTTCTTGCCCTGCACAGAGGCCGTGAAGGACGCCTGGGGGCAGAAGGGAGGGGAGATGGAGCCGTCCCTGGGCTGCGACCATCCGCCAGCAGCAACCGGGTCCTGGTGTTGGTGGTGTCATGGTTCATTAAATACGTACATAATAATATTGGGGATTATGTAAGAGTACATGAGCGATATTAGTGCAGGTAAAACATGTAGCCATAATTCACCTTGAACCTGAGGCTGCCGACGGGTGGCTGGGCGTATGGGATGCCCTTGAAGTTGTAGAAGTACCTTCCCTCCGTGGCCTCCTCCCTGGACCCAGTGATGACCCCCTGTGTGAGTTGTACCCTCACAGTGGACTCCAGTGGTCTAGTCTTGGTGGCGGCTTTAACCTCCACAGTCACGAGCGCCACCATCACCACCCTCACCACTATCCCTGTCCACATGCTGTAGATGGGGATCATTAGTAGACGTTAGTAAGTCAATAATATAAACACCTGCTATAGTGTTCCTGTAGATACAGTTTATATACCTTAAAGGACCGGCTTCAGAAGTACAGGGTGTTCATAAAAAATCTGAACGATATAATTACTACCAAAGTTATTAATAATTTGTTCGAATGATTACTGACTGACCACCCTGCAACATACACATGCGCTAACCATTCCTTGAAAGCTTTATGTACTGGAACCCGTCCCGAGCCTTACCTTCCTCACTTTACAAGTTCACCTGACTGTCATCATGAGTGGTTGTCGTACTAAGGAGGTCACTACGGGAAGCATAATTAAGAATAGAGGGACAACTTTTTCATTAGTTACTGCAGAGTAAACGTGTATGTGTTATAGTCAGACTTACCTGGTGAGTGTTTGGGTCCGGTCCTAGTGATGGCCTGTGCTCGACTGACATTGATACGAGCTGCCCGTCTTGTTATACGTGACTTCACCCTACCACCACCACCACCACCACCGCCGCCACTACCACTACCACCACTGTCACCCTCACCGCCGCCACTACCACCACCCGGTGTTCCCATGACCACGTAAGGTCCTTCATATCAACACCCGAGGACGAGTTACTACACCACGTGAACATCACACCACCTGATGTCTCCATGACCACGTAAGGTCCTTCATATCAACACCCGAGGACGAGTTACTACACCACGTGAACACCACACCACCTGGTGTCTCAATGATCAGCCCAGGCCCGGGCCATCAACTGTAAACTATAATAATTTGTATGTTCAATTCATGTTCCTTCTTCTTTCAGTAATGAAAGCTTTTGTTAAACGACCCACCCAACCAATGTCTTTGTATGTAATAAGTCATTTTTGTCCAATGTATATTTTCTGCCTTTGGGCTGCTGAACTTTTTCAATAAACCATTAATTATTATTAGTCACCCCCACCACCACCACCACCGTCGCCCCCACTGCCACACGCACACACACACACACACACACACACACACACACACGCACACACACACACACACACTAGGAAAAATTTTCTTTTGACGAGCGACATTCTTACTACAAGTTTAATAATAATAAATAATAATAATTAACGGTTTATTAAGAAAACATGGCAGCCCGAAGGCTGAAAATATACAATGAACGGAGATGACAAGTTTCATATGGTGAACATAAGAACATAAGAAAATAAGGAGTCTGCAATAGGCCGGTTGGCCTGTGCATGGCAGCTCCTGTCGAGAGTTACTACCACTCTCAGGGAGTGGGTCACTAGATTGACAAAAGCTTTCATTACAGAAACATAAGAAACATAGAGTCAACATAAAGATTAACTGTAGATCTGGTACTGTGGGAGCTGGTCTGTAGACATTCTTGTGACCTGATGTTGGCGTCAACAAAGTCCTTCCCACTGTTTTGATGGCCGTTGTTCCTGACTGCTAAGCTGCTACCTCACTACAGCTGCAGATGTACCACGTGGGCCGGGTAGGTCCTCCAGCTGACACAGGGTGTTGGAGATGGTTCTTGTTCCTCGTGTGATTAGTTAGGGATTCATAGTTCCTCACCTGGGTGGAGTAGGGAGTCCTCATTTCTCTCCTGGTGTAGTTTGGAGTGTTTCTTGGCTTCTCATCCAGTATTGGGGGTGGCGAGTGTACCGCGGGCTGGGTGCGTCAGGTCAAGGTCAACATTGGCCGCTAGTACTGATTGTCACTCTGACAGTTGTTTCTTCCTTTCGAGTTGAAATTGCCACTTTTGTATATCAGTTGTGGGTTAATCTTCAATCTTTGCACTGTACTGTTGGTGGGAGGATGTTGATAAATCCAGATGGGAAGGCGGAGATGGGGCAGGGGAGGGCCCGACACCTGAGAAGGTGTGAGATAACATAACAACATAAAAAAAATAAGGAGTCTGCAATAGGCCAGTTGGCCTGTGCATGGCTAGATAGATTCATGGATGATAGAGAGTGGTAGTAACTCTCGACAGGAGCTGCCATGCACAGGCCAACCGGCCTATTGCAAACTCCTTATTTTCTTATGTTCTTATGTTCTTATCCCCTTTATTGATTCCTTTCACCCACTTAAATACTTCTATCATATCTCCCCGCACTCTTCGTCTTTCTAGGGAATGCAAGTTAAGTTTCTTTAACCTATCTTGATATGGAAGGTTTCTAAGTCCCGGAATCATTTTCGTCATTCTTCGCTGCACCGACTCTAGTGAATTGATATTAAGGGAACGTACAGTGCATTTCTGTCAAGGTGTGTGGTACAAATGAGCTGTTATTCGTGTCATCTATTGCAGTTCACTTTTTTTTTAATGCCGATGTCTAGAATATGTTAAGCGTGCTCTATCCTTTTGTTCTTGAGATACTGGAGTGTGAGGTGTTAGATCACGCCGGATGTTGCCCTTCTGCTCAGTGACGTAACCATGACGTTTCACCAATAGCTTTTAAAAACATAAACCTCGTGGTGGACCTAGTGTGGTGTAGGTGTTCGTTCTAGGTATAAACACGGTAGTTACGTTCCCCCCCCCCCCTCTCCTGAGCTTTACTGCCTTCATACACAGTTCCACAGTTCCACACAGTTCCACACATGGTTCCAAAGTTCCACACATGGTTCCACAGTTTCACACACACACACACACACACACACACACACAGTAGTTGGGAGTGAATATTTAAAATGAATATGACATATTGACACGAGTTAAAGTCTGGGTTTACCTGTAAAATAATCTCCCGTTTCCTGTGTCTTTACGTCACAGGAATTTCCCAGTTTCCTTCAATAAAACCCAGTCGTATGTAACCTCTCCACTTAATGTAATCCAACCCAACTTACCTTAGTTAATCTAATTCAGCCTAACTTAACCTCGCTTAAACTAATTCAACCAAACTTGTCCCCACTTAAACTAATCAAACCTGACTTATTCATTAGGGTTCAGTTATGTATATACAATATTTACATAGTAATGTCCTTTAAATGACAAGAATGGATAAGGACCTTCCATAGACGAATCATTAATAACAGATGCATGAACACGGATAGGTCGTTGGCTTCGTTTAGGAAATGATATAAACGTCAACGGGTACTAGAGAGGGTCGGGCTAAGAGGCAGACCGTGTCCTACCTGGCTAAAATTATAAATTATGTATTTACTTGGAACGTAACCTTGGCCATCCTTCTCTCGTTCTGGCTCTGTGGTGCTAGAGAATTGGCATAACTGGCTCCATTGGTAAACTTAAATCTGCTGAAAAACAAAAATCCTAAGGGTAAGATACAGTGGGACGAAAGTCCTCAGATAATATAGCAGATATACTGAACACAGGCGCGGGGCTAGTTTATTGGACGACATGCCAAAGAATTACAGGGTCCAACAAGGAAGTTTTGGTGTTCATGTCTGACATCTTGGACTTAGAAAATAAGAGGGTATGAGTGCCTAAGGGGCCACTGGTTATCTTGGCAGGTTACATATAGTGAAGGAGGAATAAGTGTAAATAGAGAGGATTCCCTGTACAGGTTCGTCAGTTTACAGCAAAGTGTGGTCGGTCCTTAATGTTGTCAAGTGTCATAAACACTGACAACAGTGAGGGACATATCTCTTAGTGTAATTGTCATGCTGTGTGCGTGAGAAAGTGAATTATCAAGGGTGAGGTCCACGGGGAGGAAAGGAAAGTCCCTTTATGACATGGATATGTAAGCCACGTGAACGTCCTTGCTGTAGTCTGTAGTCCTGAGGGAGAGCTCACCATGGTGGGGTGTTTAGCTAGAGTGAGAAGAGTGAAGAGAGCAGGTGTGGGCTGCAGGAGGCGGCATGTTTGAGGTGCACACCTTGAGGAAGTACGCCCTAGGGTCCAGTAGGGGGGGGAGGGGGGGCAGGGACGAGGTAGGAGTCGGTGTGTTTGTCGCAATTAGTGCTGAAGGCACCGAGCAGGCAGGGTCAACCAGGACAGCGAGGGCTGAGGCAGCAGTATTGGACATCAGTGTCCAGGAGGGCCTGGAGGGAGGGGTGTATAGTTCATAGGGCAGTCATCAACTTTAGCTAGTGATGTTTCTGTTACCTACTGCTAGTAGGGACTAGCTGCTAGCTGTTGTTGCTGGGGACTGATGGTGGGGGAGGTTAACTGCTGCTAGCTGGGACTCTGTTAGATGCTGCTAGTGAGGACTTTGTTAACTGCTATAAGTGAGGACTGTGTAGCTACTGCGAGTGGGGATTGTGTTAGCTATTGCTAGTGGGTACTATGTTTGCTATTGATTTGGTAACATTTGCTAGTGGGGACTATGCTAGCTGCTTCTTGTGGGGACTGTGTAATCTGTTGCTAGCAAGGACTGTGTTAGCTGTTGCTGGAAATTAGAACATATCAATACAGATACAAGGATGCGTCCTTTGCGTCCAGGTACTGAGCAGCTTCTCCTCCGTGTGTGGACACTTTGTTTATGGGATCACACCAGAGGTTGGATTTTGTCTTGATGTTGTTTTTGAAAGATGTGTTTATAAATAAGGCTTTTTATCGTGTTTATGTGTCAAAAGATTAGAGTCATGACATCTTTGAAAGACTTATTTTAATATATTATAAATATTATCTTTGTCCACTAACATATAATATTTCCCAAAACAGTATCACGAAAATTTTGAACCCCTGATATACCACAGTAAGAGAGGTGTTGAAGCAGCAGCTCCATTGTGACAAGTGCAAGGCCGTGCGCCTTGCAATATGTATTTTTTTTTTTCCACAAACTTTCCACCTCTAATTTTAGATTTTAGTTTCCTGTTTGGGTACGTTAAGTCTTGACTTGCCTTTCGTTCATGTCATGATTTTTCAAGCTATATATTTACATGAAGAAACATTCCTGTTTTTATAAAGCATAATAGGCACAATAATAGACATGACGTCCACAGTGAGGTTTGTGATATGATGTCTGAACAAACTTTACCTTCAGCTTCCTTCGCAAGTTTCCTTTTCGTATCACATGCTGGTGGGGAAAGTTATGTATATATATACAAGAGAAACCAACAGAGGTCACTTACAATCCCTAGGAGCGCCACAATGGTAAGAACTTGTGGAAAATCCCTAACGCGTGTTGGTGTCTCATAAAGATTTACTTATTACTTTTACGCCTTTGTGTCAGTCAATGTGTGCTTCAGTTTAGGGCAGTTTTGAATCTTGTCAGTCGTCAGGATTTGTGTCTCAACAAGGAGATGACACTACTTACTTCACTCCGGTCTTTACTGAGAGTATGATAAGCGGTGATGCTGGTCGAGGTGTTCTCCAAGACCCACACCACCACAACAACAGCTAACATCATCTTTATCTTAACTTACAGAAAGTTTCGGTGTGTGTCGTCCTCCTCTTGATCCTAAGCTCTATGGCAGAAGGAGTTCAAGAAGAAGGAGGTATTGTGTGTATGGCGCCGTGATTGATTGATTGATTATACAAAACTTGCATTAATAACTTAGTGTAAATTGTCATAATATAACTTACTCTGTTTGATATATGAGGCTGTCAGGGATTTTTAAACCAGATCCTGTCACCAGTCTAACAAATTATGATAATTTCCTTCCAGATGGAAAAGAGGCCAAGTTCTTCATTAAGAGTTATTCAACAACCACCTGGACTTTCTTGTCATCATTCACCTCAACTGTCCCCTACACTTGTTACCTAAGTAAGTTTCCATCACTCAGTTGGATACTAAGATAATTGGGCAGTACTGTACTTTCCATGTACGTTGCGAACTGTAGTGTAATAGTCAGCATTTTTGCCTCGCAAGACAGTGGTCCTGGGTTCGCTCCCCAGACAGGGTGAAACTCTGGGTACATTTCTTTAAGCCATTTTTCTCTTACTAACTCACACTATTTGGTAACTTGGATGTTAACTGATTACAGATCGTGGCGAGCTGTCCTGTCTTGATGGTTTATTCCTTGACATAACTTCATACAGTTCAATAGGTGGTCCTACGCTCGGTCAGCCTCGATCACGAGAGGAGCAACTGTGGGGAATTATTTGTAGAAACTTTTATTATACAATTCATGGTGTAATAAATGTTATTTCCGGGCGCTTGAGTGGTTTATAACGATACATAAATGTTTTATATTTTCCCGAATTCCACAATTTTCTGTGTTAATCCTTGTGGATGTGTGTTGTAGGTGGTGGTGGGCTTGAGGGTGTGATTGGAGCATGCGCAGGCCGTCGACTTCGTCACTCCAAAAAACTTTCCTCAAACCATGAGGCGACCGTCACTGATCTCCTCAGTAGTACTGAAGAAGGAAGTTTAGACGTACTTGACGGATTGTCTAACCAGGAAGAAAATTATTCTTCACACTGTGGAAGACCTCCAGTAGCACCGTCACCGTCACCACCTTCTCCACCGACCACTCCGTCACCATCTCCGCCTCCCTTATGTGTGTTTATCCTGGATTAGTAGTCAATAAGTGCTAACACGGACACTATCGACCACTGTACGATGTTCCTCCTTCCTTAACACTATACTCACTCTGTTGTTCTTGCGCTCACTCTGGACCCATCTTTTGAGAGGTCACATTTTCAATACTTTATTATGGCTGAACGTAAACTAGATTAACTTATATTACTATGTGAATATTGTATATACATAACTGACCCCTAATAAATACATGGACTTGCAGATTATCTTCTGTTGTTTTATATCTTTGTTTATTTTTGGTGATTATTTGATGTAAAGTTTTGACAGAGGTATGGAGCCTGAGGGAGAGGAAGGGGTGAGGGGCCTGGGGTAAAGAACCACATGTGTTTATGGACACTGAGAACATGTTTGTCGGCAGACACTAATGATGTGTGAAACAGTTTGTGCCAAGACATAATAAGAGCAACGTTTTGTTGGGATTTATTGATCAATTTGTCTTATGCAATACGTGATTGGTTCATACTGGTCTTTATTGGCTTAAACAACTATGTGAGTTTATTCAGTGAAAGGAAATGAACTACCTTCACCAACCGCGGGTTTACCATCCACGGTTTATTATATTGTACGCCGTCTCTACCAACCATGGTATCTTATTTCAAGTATCCGCGGGTTTCCTCATCCTGCATAAAATGTTTGGAGATCTTATGACAAATACCCAATGTCGTCATCGTCATCATTGTTAACTTTTCATTAAGTATTATATCCAACTTCAGCTGCAAAAGTATAATTTCAGATTTCTTTGACAGAGCTTGATCATAAACGACACTTTTACGTGCCTGTGTGTTTACATTTGATTCTACTCCTCATTAAATGGTCATTATTATCCGTTGCTTTATATGTTTGGTGTTGTTTGTCTTGATATACATAATAATCAGTTAAAAGAGAAGAAGTAATGTGTTCTCCGAAAGCGTGAATATATTTGTGACTTCGACGGAAAATATTCTTTATTTCATTTTTTTTTCACTTATACCATGGAGGTTAATGTTCTGAATCATTTATATATCAAACAGACGTTAAATTCGCCATTAAAGTGAGCCATATCTAACTGTATATTCATAACATATATATTTATTTATTTACGATACATAAATATTAATCGAACACTCGGGTGAGCCAATGAGCTGCAAAGGGGGCGGGGCTTGTTAGTCTATAACCGCCTGGTAAATAAGAAAACGATTATACTTATCCCTGATTGGCTGAGTGAAATTATGTATTAAAATTACTAAGAGTATTACGGTCCTTGCAATGTGAGGAGGAGGACGGAGTGTCTATTGCTAAGTCTTAAGGAATTACCCAGAAGCCAGCCAGTTCCTGTTGATGGTGCAGCTGTGAACATGACGGGGATGAGTTCTGTCTGTCTGTCTGTCTGTCTGTCTCTGCTTGAAGGCAAATTATGCTTAGTGATCGTAAACTTGTAAGACTGTTTGTAGATTGAGAAAGCTGTGGTGTAGGGTTCGTCGTGTACGTGTGTTTTGCGTGTACATGTGTGAGTGATGTGTACTGCTGCGGTTGAACTGGTTAATGTAATACGATACTATTATTAGATTTAAAATGTATGCATGTATGTATGTATGTATGTATATATGTATGTATGTATGTATGTATGTATGTATGTATGTATGTATGTATGTATGTATGTATGTAAGAGGTGGATGCCAGATTTAGTCCATTGGCTTTCCTAAATATACGAGAAGTTTGTTAATAAGTAAACACATGTTACTACACTCCGTTAACCTAACCTAACCTAACCTAACCTAACCTGTACCTGTAACTGTATTTCTGAATTAACAAAACAAAATAACACGAAGTAAATTATCCAAGGAAATTAATATAAAAAATTCTCGACTATGTGAGTTAGTGAAGAACATAACCAGTTCAGTAATATTAACTTTATTTCGTTATCTTGTTAAGTGTTAAGTGTTAATAGTTATCATTATACTTACAAAAATAGACGGGAGGATACTTCTTGGGCGGGTTTGTTCGCCTGTACGCTCTCTAACCGCATGTTGCAAGTCCGCTCTTAAGAATAGATCATTCCTTGCATCACAGTCCTCCTCTTGGTGGCTAGTAGTGTTGCTCCGGCGCTCTAGTGAGGTAATGAAGAATAAACCTTGGCCAACTTTTACTGCTTCTCTGGATGTCCTATATTTCACTTGATAATTAAACACATGAACGCTAACCTAACCTAATCTAACTTAACCTAATCTAACCTAACCTAACCTAACCTAACCTAAGGACTTATATTCATTCTAGCCTCGTAAATGTATCAACCGACAACAACAATTTTATTTTTGTGAGGAAATATTTTGTCAACGTTTATTCAAAGTTCCTGCTGTTAATCTTGGTACAAAATTTTGAATTAACTTCTATTTTTTTTTGTTAAATGTAGTTAGCTTGTGATAGAAACATCATTTATCATGTTTATACTCCTTGTTTACCTATCTCACACCTGTTGTAGCTCTGAAGTACACCTGGAACTAAGTCAGGTAACACCAGACTGAAGGTACATTTTTTATGATGTTCTAAATATCAAGTAAGATACACACGTTGGATTTTCCTCTCTCCTTCTGTCACTCTTAGACCCATTATGCTTGCAGGAGTAGTAGTGGTAGTGGGGTGAGGTGAGGAAGGGTAGTGGTGGTGGTGGGGTGGGGTGAGGAAGGGTAGTGGTGGTGGTGTGGTGGGGGTACAGCATATGGTGTTGGGTTATTGTGGTTGTTGAGGGTTGAGGTTAAGTAGATCATGGTTGTCGAGGAAGGGGGGGGGGATATCGTCCACCTGACAGCAGTTTGGTAAATGGGTTGACTGGCAACTGCTGTACAAGAGTTATATAAAAGCATCCATAACAAAAACGAAAGACACACACACCTTCACCGTTCTCAGCGACGAGTACTCCAGAGGTTTCCTTAACCTCCATCAGCTCTTCACCGCCTCCCTCAGGTATCAATACAGATTTCCTTTTCTTCAATTAGACAATTTGTTTTCCTCAACTATTATACGGTCACGAAATAGTGTCCGTGTCCACACATTCATCAAGTCTCCCTCACACAACTATAACGTTCATTACCTCCATAAAGACGCTCTTGGTGTTGCAGGATGAAGATGTCCTACGTGATGGTGCCCGTCGCACTGGCCCTCCTGCTGGGTGTGGCCTCCTCTACCCTGGTGATTCCCCTGGCCACCACCGCCGGCACCTCCTTAGCCATCACCGCTGGGACAGGTAGTCTCGCAGGTGTCGCAGCAGCGGCCGCGGGAGTTGCCGGGGTGGGCCTGGTAGCATCTGCTCTCCTTTCGAGGCGAAGAGGTACAGTACACCAGTCTCTGAGAATTCAATACGAGTGAAATTAAAGCAACTTTATGTTGGATATACACTATACATATTTACTCTCCGAAGATGAAGATAATAATAATAATAATAATAATAATAATAATAATAATATTGTTATCATATACAAATGATCGCTATAGTTGTGGTAATACGAATAATGATAATATGTTTAATTGTTACTTAACTTAATCTAACTTAATTTAACCTAACCTAATGTGATTGAACAAACCTTCTATAATGTAAGATAAAACAGTTAACCTAACCAATGGTACTCACCCTCACTCTATGACAGAAGAACCTCGAGGCTACGGAGCTGCACCTGACAGACGCTACAAGAGGGACGTCGATGAAGAGAGGTAAGAACACTCAGTTAACCAAGTCTTTGAGGGCAGACGCGTTACATTATTAGCTAAAACTATAATTAATGTGATTTATAAATAACACTTATAATATTCCTACAGTATTAACACCCAATAACCGTGTATATATAACCCTCGCAGGCTGGAGGAACTCTTCGCTATGGTCGCCAAGATGGACACACATGGGTGCGGGATGCGTCACGTGTGTGAAGTGTATAAGAAGCCAGAACACCAACTGAACCTTCGTGAGCACACTATCAGAGCGCTGCTGGGGTGAGTTCCTCTCTCCTCTTCTTAGCTGTGTTGAGTCAATAGCTTTACTCAGTTCCTCTCTCCTTTTCGTAGCTGTGTTGAGTCAATAGCTTTATTCAGTTCTTCTCTCCTTTTCGTAGCTGTGTTGAGTCAATAGCTTTACTCAGTTCCTCTCTCCTTTTCGTAGCTGTGTTGAGTCAATAGCTTTACTCAGTTCCTCTCTCCTTTTCGTAGCTGTGTTGAGTCAATAGCTTTACTCAGTTCCTCTCTCCTTTTCGTAGCTGTGTTGAGTCAATAGCTTTACTCAGTTCCTCTCTCCTTTTCGTAGCTGTGTTGAGTCAATAGCTTTACTCAGTTCCTCTCTCCTTTTCGTAGCTGTGTTGAGTCAATAGCTTCAATACTCAGTTCCTCTCTCCTTTTCGTAGCTTGATCGTAGCTGTGTTGAGTCAATAGCTTTACTCAGTTTCTCTCCTTTTCGTAGCTGTGTTGAGTCAATAGCTTTACTCAGTTCCTCTCTCCTTTTCGTAGCTGTGTTGAGTCAATAGCTTTACTCAGTTCCTCTCTCCTTTTCGTAGCTGTGTTGAGTCAATAGCTTTACTCAGTTCCTCTCTCCTTTTCGTAGCTGTGTTGAGTCAATAGGTTTACTCAGTTCCTCTCTCCTTTTCGTAGCTGTGTTGAGTCAATAGTCAGCTTCAGTATTTCTCCTGAGTAGGTTTGCAGAAGCTCAGTTCAGTTCTCTCTCCTTTTCGTAGCTGTGTTGAGTCAATAGCTTTACTCAGTTCCTCTCTCCTTTTCGTAGCTGTGTTGAGTCAATAGCTTTACTCAGTTCCTCTCTCCTTTTCGTAGCTGTGTTGAGTCAATAGCTTTACTCAGTTCCTCTCTCCTTTTCGTAGCTGTGTTGAGTCAATAGGTTTACTCAGTTCCTCTCTCCTTTTCGTAGCTGTGTTGAGTCAATAGCTTTACTCAGTTCCTCTCTCCTCTTCTTGGCTGTGCTGAGTCAGTATTTCATCCTGAGATTTCTTGAACAAAAGTCATCAGAGTGAGATAGCCCGGTAACGCTAATCTACAACCTAGTAATATCTGTCTGTGTCTTTATGTACAGGGACAAGCCAGAACCAGTGTCACCCAAGAAGGCGAAGCATCCTCGCTCATTCTACCAGTCAGCAGCTGTGTTGGGCCGGGAAGGTCAGGACTGTTACAACCTCTACACTTCCTGCCCTCTTACCTATGAGGAGGTCAATGAGTACCTCGACAACCTCGACCTTCAGGTTAAGTAGAACCTTGAGGCACTACTAGCAGCAGCAGCAGCAGCAGCAGCAGCAGTAGCAGCAGCAGTAGTGATAGCAGCTCAGCAGTGGTAACAAAGAGAATATCGACAAGAGCTACTATTGGCATCTGAAAATATATCTTTTTGCACGTTTTGTCTTCTTTCTCAAGATGTTGGCTCGATATTGTTTAATTCAGAAAGTATATATAATATTGTTTATAATCTTAGCCACTTATCAGCTTACCAGCCGTTCGGGCGGTTGGTCTATCCAGTGTAAGGAATTCTGGTTCCTTCCATATGTTTTAGTATCATTACATATCTCTAGTTTTGCAATATAAAAGAAAATAAATGTTTTCCTGAAAATTATTGTTTCTTCATCCATTCCTGAGGCAACTTACTCGCTTGTGATGAAAAACGGTGACAAACTATGTACCAAGACTGTTGTTTATTCGGTCTACTGAGATAACAGGTGTTTACTGTACGTCTGCTGGCGACAGTCTGTTGATCCAAACATTGAAGACACTATGGAATATGTTCGTTTCACTGTTACTGGATGCACTTATTGTTTTTTTTAAGTAGAACAATGACTCTGTTGTTCGTGAGTGTGTTCCAGGATATGCAGCGGGCTTAGAGACAAACTGTGCATCACCAAGACCTCCTTCGTCAGTACTTGGGTGACAATGACTGATCTCGTTAGCTTAAAAAAAAAAGATCTTAATGATGGCAGGCGACCTAACCTCACATAACCTAACCTAACCTGGTCTCTTATAAATTAAACAACACATACATACACACATACATACATACATACATACATACATACATACATACACTATTCAGAAATAAGATAGATCGTTTCTTTGACTCTGAGTGAGCTGTTTCCCTGGCTGCTCTGTTGTTATACTAGGTACATGGTCGTATTTTAGTACTATATGTAAATCAGGCGTTGGAAAGTGGAGGGGGAGCATCACAACAGGAGGGGGGCATGGGTGTTCAGGGTTATTTATCTACATCTTGTAATGGACCTCCCACAGTATGCCGCTTCAGTGATAAATGTCCATAAAAACATAAGCACCTCATGGCATTGTTCCGGCATAAGGCGAGAGTTACAGGTACACTCTCAACAGGACTTCACCAACACCTGGACACGATGGATGTGAGAATGAGCAGAATGATTTGAGATTCTTCGTTCATTTTTTAGATTGCATAGTGCTTATAGCGTTCGAGAAGCCTTTGGTGAGAGTTATAAGGACATCAAACACCGGTGTAATTTGCATAGTAACTACTGAAACCGACACTGGGGTGAAGGACAACAGATGGTGAGGAACTAGACAATGTTTAACACACCTGAAAGAGTTAATTATTGATGTAGTACTTTCATTTTTTCACGTGTTGAAGCTGTGGAAGAAAAGGCAGTAAAATATAAATATTCATAGGTGTTTATTTTCTTGTATACCCGCCAACTCTGACTTGACTGATGTAAGCATCTTTGCTCGTGAGGGATATTTTGTACTCTTACTTTTTGATATACGAATGACATATGTTCGGCTCAACTAAGATGGATGTTCATTGTTGATGTTTATAGTGATCATTTTTATATTGTATTACTGCGCTCTCTGTTGCTTCAAGTTGTGGGTCTTCTCGAGATGTTGAACAGTTAATTTTGTTAATAGAAATAAAGGATTCTATTATTTGTAGTTGACAGCGGATAAGGTCACTTATTTTTTCATCCATATCTAGGACTCACCCTGCTGTGAATACCTGAATAATTGACAGTAATCATCATCAACTGTCTGGATATATTTAATATATATCTTATCATACTGTTGCTCTTTCGTTCATTTTTCACATTAATATCTGTACATCCCTAGCTATGTCATTTATGTAATTTATATTTGTTGTCTCAGTGAAATTCGACATATTTTGATATGATTTCTGATTATATCCACCATTACAAGCATTAACATAATCATTAAAAGAAAAATCAAATCATTGCTACACTGCATAACCTCGATAAAGATTTAATAAAGATTCTCCTTTATTCATAAGCGAATCTTCGTTTTTTCTTGTGCGGCCGTTACTCCATTCTCTTATACTTTTCCTGGGATAACTAATATAAATTGACTCACATAGCTGACGCTCCGGGGTACAGAAAAAAGTCCTGACTCGCATCTCTCGGAGTCATCGCCTAGCAGGGTGGGGGTTTTCGTAGCAATTTTCCTTTAACTGGGAATGTGAAGATGATGCAAGAGCTCCTTACTTTAGTTGTGGCAAATTTAGAGAGAAGAATCAGTATGTAATTGAAAATTCGTTAAGAGTTTTGCAAGTGGATGAGCTATTTCAGGTGCAGTAATAATAATAATAATAATAATAATAATAATAATAATAATAATAATAATAATAATAATAATAATAATAATAATAATAATGGGTTTTATGCTCTATCCACTAGGAATAACTATTTCTTGGGCAAATGTTTCAATTTTTAGTGACTATCTGTCTCTCCCCCTTCAATATTGCTAGTTTTACTTTTACTTTCTTTACACCCCATTGAAGAAAAGGACAAAATGTGGGGGAAAACACACGTAACACGGTGTAATGGTTGCAGTTGTACCGATATTACAATAATACTCAAACTCATTCATATTATGTTCCATCGTCCATAGAAAATTTGTTGACGTGAGTTATTCGTAATCCCGTTCTCTCCAAGTTTTATCTCTCGTAATTTTTTAATGTTGTTGAACTTTGTTATGCGCCAATAACTCTTCAGTCTACCTTAACATGTTGCTGAAAACCGTTTTCTGTTGAGCGCTAACATGACCCAGACTCTGTTATATTACACTAGTTTGTACCAGAGATCTCACACACACACACAAACACGGTCCTCTACACTCCAGGCTATAACAGAAGAAGCACTACGCTATAATTGAACGTTAAGTGATAAACGCAGCAGTAAAGCTAAAAGTACGGAGACTATACTAACTGATACTAAATAACAGAACCCTTAAGGCGACCCCCCCCCAACACACAGGTCGCTGGAATGATAATGACTGGCTTGAGGGGGTAACATTAATATTTCCTCAAGAGTATAATTACGTCCAGCAGTAGTACTTAGGGTGGAGCCGTAACTTGTAATGTCACTAATCACTTATAAACCGATTCTTCTGCACGTAGAGGTTAAGTTAATCGATGTTACGCTAAGTAAGGATGAAATGATGTAGTAAAGGCTCAGTGGAATTTCGACATCATTGTGGCTGTTTCTTTTTGTTTCATCGATGTTACGGGGATTAGCCCACCGGGAACAGGTCACTGACCCACATCGGGGCCTGGGGCGAAAAATATAATAATAATAATAATAATAATAATAATAATAATAATAATAATAATAATAATAATAATAATAATAATAATAATTCATAGTAAATAAAATTTATAATAAAAAATACAAATTTGAAAATAAAATAATATAATAATAATGCTAATAATAATAATAACAACACTGTAATAATAATAATAATAATAATAATGATAATAATAATAATAATAATAATAATAATAATAATATCAACGGTGAGAAACGATATATGTATGTCGTGTTGTCAACAGTAAGTGAAACAACTGAGACCCTGCAATTGTGTGTAAATGAGGCAGAAAGTCAGATCAGCAACCTGGGACTTGGTCACATATGGCAGCAGGGTCTACCATTAGACAACACATTATGCTTCCAATATCTTCCCAGGTGGTAGTACCTCCCTGTTTGGTAGCTGTGAGTGAGTGAGTAAGATAATATGAGTCAGTGAGTGAACGAGAGAGCGGAGGTGAGTGAGTGAGTGAGTGAGTGAGTGAGTGAGTGTGTTAGAGAGTGAGTGAATGAGAGAATGTGAGTGAGTGAGCCAGTTAATTATGTTCTCACCCTCGCTACTCACCACAAGTCATGATGGTCAACAGCGCTAGTCAGGTACAGTTACAATGAAGTACACTTCTATAACACCATCGTCTGGCGAAGGTGTGTGTAATGCAGGATCATCGTCTGGCGAAGGTGTGTGTAATGCAGGATCATCGTCTGGCGAAGGTGTGTGTAGTGCAGGATCATCGTCTGGCGAAGGTGTGTGTAATGCAGGATCATCGTCTGGCGAAGGTGTGTGTAATGCAGGATCATCGTCTGGCGAAGGTGTGTGTAATGCAGGATCATCGTCTGGCGAAGGTGTGTGTAATGCAGGATCATCGTCTGGCGAAGGTGTGTGTCTGGCGAAGGTGTGTGTAGTGCAGGATCATCGTGGCGAAGGTGTGTAGTGCAGGATCATCGTCTGGCGAAGGTGTGTGTGTGGTCATCGTCTGGCGAAGGTGTGTGTAGTGCAGGATCATCGTCTGGCGAAGGTGTGTAATGCAGGATATCGAATAAAAAGAAAGAAAAGAAAGAAAGAAAAGAAAGAAAGAAAGAAAGAAAGAAAGAAAGCCTTAGAATTCACTTGGCCTCTTGTGTATACTGTATGTTGGAGGATACGTACAGGTGTGTGTGATTAAATGATCAAATCTTAAAGTAGCAGCAAGCAACACATTAGCCGGACCTCCCAGATGTGTGTGTGTGTGTGTGTGTGTGTGTGTGTGTGTGTGTGTGTGTGTGTGTGTGTGTGTGTGTGTGTGTGTGTGTGTGTGTGTGTGTGTTACTACTATTACTACCTGTTGTCTTTACCATTTCCTGTCACTTTCTATACATGTGTGTGTCTCTCTTCCTCTATTATTTGCTTCCTTTGTCTCTATCTCTCTTTATCTCCTACGAGTAAAAGTTGGAGAAGGGTTAGGGTAATTGTGAGAGAAAGAGAGAGAGAGAGAGAGAGTGTGTGTGTGTGTGTGTGTGTCTCTCTCTCTCTCTCTCTCTCTCTCTCTCTCTCTCTGCTTCCTCACTTTATTTTCTTGGCTTATTTTTTCTATTTTTCTTCATCCACCTGTTCCTTCTCCTCACCTATTCTCCCCCATCTCCATTTTCACCCATTCCATATACTACCTGTGTATAGTCTTTTCCATTTCTCTACACATCTACTTTCCTTTCCATACCTATTAATTACCTATCCATCCCACCTACCCACTACCCCCACCCACCTACCCACTATCCCCACCCACTCTTACATATCTTCCATCCCATCTCGACCCCCTACTCACAACATCCATACACCTATACACACTCCTATCCCACCTACACTCCTTCTATTCCACCTACACCACCTACACCACCTAGACACACACTCACCTACACCACCTAGACACACACTCACCTACACCACCTAGACACACACTCACCTACACCACCTAGACACACACTCACCTACACCACCTAGACACACACTCACCTACACCACCTAGAC